CCTGTGGTGCTGTTAAACTATAACGGCAACCAGCTGCGTATCATGCCAACGTTAAAGAACGGCTCTTTTGGTCAGTGTCTGACGCTGCAAGTCACTCCCCAAGCGCCGGATTTTGACGTCCTCGGAGTGAGACTGGGTTGGCTGTTGAACTTTGCTGTGTTCAACAATGCACTCTGACTGGATGTATTATGGATGAATGACGGTTCTCACTCTCACTTTGTTGTCATGTTTCAGGACAAGACCGGAAAGGAGGTCTCTGCGGAGGTCGCAGTCATGAGGAAACTGGCGGCCGGATCAAGAAGGACAGTGAGGATGTCAGCGCCAGTGTCCCTACTGGACTGGTACGATCTGGACCAGGAGCTGATCCTGGTGCTGGAGAGACCAGTTCCCGCCTTGGACCTGCTGAAATATGTCAAGGACAATGGGGGCTCCCTACAGGAGGAGGAGGCCAAGGTAAGCTCCTGAAGGATCCTTGCGAATGTGTGTGTTTGAGGCTTCAAAAGGGACTTAGTAGAGTGACCTGTAGAGTGACCTATAATTTAACATGTAGCCAGGGTCACTGGGGGCAAGTTCAGGACATGTTGCAGAATATCAGATGGGGCTGATATATTTTTGGCCATCACTTATGGTTGTCCACCTATTGCATCTTCTACAGTAAGATGTCCAGCTTCTACTCCCGCACTGCACTAACTTACCTATCTGTGACTTTTACATTCAAACAAAGCTGCACCTCCTCCTCAACCTCACCATTATTATTATGTCTGTGTATTCTAGGTACCTCTTCCCACTGCCCTCCAGAGTGGCACAGCAGCGGTACCTACACGGCTGGCCCCACCACGGTGTGGCAGATGGCTGTGGTCCTGTTTGAGATGCTCCACAGGAACACAAAGGTTGAGATGAAGAAGTTCCTGATAAACGAGCTGAGGATCAGCGAGGAGCTGCCTGAGGGTAAGAAAAAGACACACGCCAGCAGACACAAATCTGTTGAGTTTAGTTCACGTTCAGATGGGTCACCTTCACCTTTCGTCTTCTTTCCCTCCAGATTACCAGGATTTCTTGAGGGCACGTTTGTCCAAAGACCCCAACCAGCATCCGACCCTGGAGGAGCTCAAACGTCACTCATGGCTGAGATAAACCCACACACACACATCATATCATGACACCAGTCAGTGAATCCATCCAATGCCATATATCAGGGTTGTAAACTGGTCACATTTCCGTGAAAATTGCTGTTCTGGATCCAAAATAGGACATATGTGAAATATGTCTTTATTTACTCCAGAAAGTGGCGTCCCTGCTGTTTAGAAACCATTCGCTTGCTTTGGTTTTCCGCCTGTTCATGAAAACACATTAGCTCCATCTTTGTAGTTCCTGCTTGGTGCAAGTCTACAAACTGTGTGATAGTTCTGCCATCCTGGACAGGAAAAAATGCAAAGTGATTTTGCTTGATTAACCGGTCGTGTGAGGCGGACATTGGTTCATGGGACACGTTTGGCCCATGAACCGATGTTCACTTTTGGACGTGCCTGCTCTAGCGTGTGCAGATAGTTTAAAAAAATCTCTTCCTGGTGGGGCAGCTTTGTCACCTTTTACACACTAAATGACACACAACCACTAACACCGTTCTGCCTCACAGGAAGGAGGATTTGCTGCTTGACGTAATCAATTTGGCTGATTGGATGGACTTTCTGGCAGATCCTGTAGTGACCCCAGCCGTCCGAGGAAAGGGGATCTCTCTTCGAATTGCCTTTCCCGAGGTTTCTTCCCAACTTCCTTACAGCCTCAGGATTTTGGGGAGTTTTTCCTTGTCTTCTTAGAGAGCTTGGGCTGGGTCAGGACTGCTGCTGATGCGGGCATGTGAAGCCCAATAAGCCTTACGTGATGTATGCTAATTTGTAACACCGAACAACGAAAATAAACCTTTATTAAATTTGAAATCAAGTGAATTCATCTTTTCTTTAGACTAGACGACCATCACACCCTCTGTCTGATGCATTTTAAGTTAAATAAGGTTTTAATCCACCTCCAGGCTTTTGTCTACATTAAAGTGAAGACACAGGCAAAATAAATAAAACTGAGATGATCTTAAAAAAAAAAAAAAAAAAAAAAATCACCAGTTTCACACCGTGATAATCAGTGAATCAGAGTTTGTAAATAAATTACACATGGAGTTTTGATTACTTTACCAGACATTTTAGGTTTCAGTAAAAATGTTTACTCACTTCCTCTTTCAGTAAGAAAAGACAACTTAAAATATTGATAATGCTAATAATAATAATAATAATAATAATAATAAAAAAAGAAGAAGTGGACATGTGCCCATGTGCTTTACATGGGAAAATAAGATTAAAATACCCTACTAATATACACTCACTGGCCACTTTATCAGGTACACCTTGCTAGTACCAGGTTGGACCCCCTTTTTAATTCTTGGTGTCACAGATTCAACAAGGTGCTGTAAACATTCCTCAGAGATTTTGGTCCATATTGACATGATGACATCACACAGCTGCTGCAGATTTGTCGGCTGCACATCCATGATGAGAATCTCCCGTTCCACCACATCCCAAAGTTGCTCTATTGGACTGAGATCTGGTGACTGTGGAGGCCATTGGTGTACAGTGAACTCATTGTCATGTTAAAGAAACCAGTTCGAGATGATCTGAGCTTTGTGACATGGTGCGTTATCCTGCTGGAAGTAGCCATCAGAAGATGGGTACACTGTGGTCATAAAGGGATGAACACGGTCAGCAACAATACTCAGGTAGGCTGTGGTCTTTAAACCATGCTCAGTTGGTACTAAGAAAATCTCCCCCACACCATTACACCACCAGCAGCAGCCTGAACCGTTGATACAAGGCAGGATGGATCCATGCTTCCATCTGAATGTGGTTTTTCCAATCTTCTATTGTCCAGTGTTGGTGAGCCCGTGTGAACTGTAGGCTCAGTTTCCTGTTGTTAGCTGACAGGAGTGGCACCTGGTGTGGTCTTCTGCTGCTGTAGCCCATCTGCTTCAAGGTTGGACATGTTGTTGGTTCAGAGATGGTCTTCTGCAGTAACCAGTGGTTATTTGACTTCCTGTTGCCTTTCTATCATCTTGAACCAGTCTGGCCATTCTCCTCTGACCTCTGGCATCAACAAGGCATTTTGGCTCACTGGATATTTTCTCTTTTTGGGACCATCCTCTGTAAACCCTAGAGATGGCTGTGTGTGAAAATCTGTTATAATCAAGTGGCCCGTGAGTTTATTTCACTGTTATGTTAGTTTTAGGAACATATTTAAACAATAGCTGAAACAGTCCATATTTAAACCTTTTCTAAAACATTCTGTTTAATCCAGACCATTTCCAGGCCTGGAAAACAGTTTTTGTTTCTAACTTCATAACTTTTCCAGGAATATCAGGACCATTGGAACCCTTTCAAAACAACCAAGGCAGCCTGGTGACCTTATGATAAAAATACATGTCCCTGGTTTGATTCTTTAAAAAATATTGATACTGTTTTGTTCAGTCTGTCATTTCATCCCACAACTCCACAAAGACAACAATGACATATGTGTTTTAAAAACAAACAGTAATTTGGTTTATTAAATGAAGATTTGCGTACAACAGGTGAAAACACAGTGAGTCGCACACAGAAACACAGTTACAGTAAAACTACTGTAGGATTAGACAGCAGGAGAAAACACGCTCTACTGCATTTATTGTTTCAGCAGTCAGTCGGTTGCCAGGCCACCTCTTCACTGCTCGCAGCAGTATTGACTTTTTCAGTGAGTTGTGTTTGTTTTCTTTAATGTTATCAGAACATCACAAAGTCACTTTAAACAGCAAGGTCCAAAGACTGGCCTTAAAATAACAGATAAGGTTCACTCTCATACAATTGTTCATATTCAGTGTGTTCATCTGAAAAAAAATTGAGTCCTGTTCATGGCCGCTGACATCAAAATGTGTCCAATTAAATGTGCATTCATTTTTTTGCCTTTTGTTGGCAGCACACAAAGCTATAAACATATATCTTTAATAACAATACAAAATTTTCATGGCTAATTGGCGACATTTGCATTTATTTGTAGTCAGAAATTAAATTAAATAGAGGCACACAACTAAAATCATATCTGGACTGTGACATGAAACTGTGTTAAAAACTGAAATAAAGCCAAAGAATATAAATCAAGATGTAAAATGAAATGACTGAGGCCCTCTACAGCTGCATTTGCATTTTACAAAAACAAAGAGTTCTGTGTCACATAGCGACAATTCTCTTATCCATCTGTGTTGAAATAACAATGTACCCTACGTCGTAGCCTGACATGCACCTTACCAGAAATGTAACTACATGTCACAGCGACGCAGACCTCCTGTCTGTTTCTGTAAGCTGAAACCATTTCCCTCAGTGGAAACAAAACTTTTATTTAATTTCACAGATAAGAAACAATAAATTGTTAAGACAATAAGGCCTCAATAAAAATATCATTTTAAGTCTTGTGTGTGATTTATCCTGGCTTCATATGAGCAGAGGAGATCTCTGCTCTTCATGTGGCTAATTTATAAAATGTAAAATGCCATAGGCTTGTGAACTGAATTTTGCAACGTGACCTTTGTTTAATGTTGCTGTTGTTCCTGGCTTCATATGAGTAGAGGAAAAGTCAGCTAGCTGCTAGGCTAATTTATACAATGTAAAATGCCATAGACTTGTGCTAATAATGTTAGCATGTTGTATTTGTGAGGAAAACGTGTTACGTATTAGTTGTTTTGTCAGTGAACCTTGTGAGTTGTAATGGAGCTGAATTTTGTAACGTAACCTTTGTTTAATGTTGCTGTTGTCCCTGGCTTCATATGAGTAGAGGAAAAGTCAGCTAGCTGCTGGGCTAATTTATACAATGTAAAATGTCATAGGCTTGTGCTAAAAACATTAGCATGTTGTATTTGTGGGGAAAGTGTTTGTCTGTGAATGCTGCGAGTTATAATGAAGCTGATTTGTGAACTTGTGTTTGAAACTGTTTCTATTAAGCCATGTTTAATGTGTGTTTAATGTGTGATTTAAATCAAGTTAACTTTACAGCATTTCACAGAAACCTCGTCTGTGCACAAGTATAAAAACTCACAACGGTGTAGACCACGTGCATAGGCTACAGCTTAGGGTCTGCCGCACAAGTATAAATCCCGCTTAAGCGTGACTACTACTCTCGACAGCAGCTTCTTTTATGTATATTAGTATAAAATTCTTCAAATTTTATAAAGTTTCACATTTGAAAAAAAAAAGTTGTATTCCTTCAGTCTGGTTGTAACTTTCTCCAAGAGATCTCACTGTGACATCAACATAAAAGTCACATTCCCAGACAGGATCACTGCAGTCTGTCTCTACCAGCTGAGACACAGTGACATGTTGGGGTTATGATAAACAACCCTTACCTCACAAATACCAAAATTTGGTAAACTGTCCTCAGCTTTTTCCCAGTCCAAAAAAGTTTCCAAAAAGAGTTTCTGTCACTCCTCCCGTGCTCCTCAGGACGACTCCTCCCTCTTCCACACTGTCACCATGTTCTTGTCACTGAGAGCCACCAGGAACCGGAGCTCAGGGTCCATCACTACACTGTTGATGGAGGGGCCCTCCACCTGGCCGAGGCCCTTCCTCACCGGGGTCGGCCACTCCAACACCTGCAAAATAAAAAAGGACCATGTCAGAGGCTTAGTGGTGAGAAACGCAAATATGAGGAGTTGTATTGAATGGCACTCCATCTAAGTTTAGATCTTTGCTCAGTGTAATGTGGTGCACATGGAGAAGGTTACTAAGCGACCATAACAAGCACTGTATTATAACCTACTTATATGAAATCCTGAGTGCAGAGCTGATCTTCCAGGCGCTGTTTACAAGTGTGTAGGCCCAAAATATCGTCCATGGAACGGATGTAAAGCTCTGGGCAGCCCTTTTACTTCTCCTCCATATTTATCACAGACCGATATTTACAGATGATGGGAAACATATCTGCCAGCTATGATTGGTTGTTCCTCATCACATGACATGCGGTGTGTGCTGCTGCGTTCCAAAAATTGAACTTTGCATATCTCAGGGTGCAGCCGTCGCACCCTGAAAAATAGACACTCAGGAAGGCTTGATGAAAGAAAAGAATCTATGAACGAAGCTTCAAACTATTCACATTTGAGAGTGAATGATCTCTGTATTTCCTTGATTTAATCTTCAGGGTGACAAAATGAAATAAATGAAATAAATGAAAATGAAAGTTTTTCACAGACAGCTGCTGACATCGCCTATTCTAAAATATGAATGTTTTATTTAGCTTTGTTGTGATAAAGTTAATTCATAGAGCTGGATGGAGATGGCAGCAGACGTTCAAAGGTTTAGATTATCTAAACCACTTTATTGTACCCAAACTGTCAGTAGTCACCTCAAGCTGCAGAGGAAACTGTGCACACACATCTAATGTAAGTACAGGTGTTTCAAGCTGAACCAGAAAAGTGGTCTGTAAACTGAAACAAATGTTTACACTGGAGTCATTTTACTGTTCAACTCTGTTTTTCTCTTCTAAATAACCCGAGGCATTTGTTTACAACCTTTCAAATTATGACGGTTTGTGTTTTTCCCGTCAAACTACTTATTTTTAGTAACGTCACCATGTTCCCAGATTTCAGTAATTAACTCGGTGGGTGTGGGTGTCAGACAGAGAAAATAAATGTTCAAACCTACGACATGATTAGAGAGTTCTCCTACAGTGTTTTATGAAGGCGTTCAGTAAGAGGACATTTATAGGACAGTGATACCTCAGTGGGCGGTATGGGTGTCCCCGTCTGGAGACTGTTCTTCTGCAGGTCGGTGACGTGATATGTCCACAGTCTGCCTTTGTCATCACCACACACGATGTAGGCTCGACCTGAAGAGATGGGAATGAACACACATAAACCACTTAAAACATGAAAGCTGCCTTTACCTCAGGTTTATATATATATATATATATGTATGTATGTATTTTTATAAATAGTTTATTTATAAAGCACATTTAAAAACAACTGCAGATGACCAAAGTGTGAGTTTGTTTCTTGTGTGAAATATTATTTTTAAAGGGTTTATTTATATGAAAAAAAGATTTATAAAATATTATATCTGCTTTCATTTTTTAAATGTTAAACTTGCCCTGAAAAAGCCTCGTTCCACACAAGAATTCATAACTTCAAACAATTAAAAAATGTGTGAGGGTGTTTTCACTCTTGGTCCTTTTCAGCCCTTCATGATAAACGTAGTGCCGTATGAATTAGCTGACTTGGACCTACCAGGACAGGTGTTGAGAGCCAGGTAGGGGATCTCAGTGTTGGCCCACTGCAGCTCAGCCAGAACCACAGCACACACCGTCCTGTCCTTCCTGTCAGGCCGCTGAGCCTTGGTCTTGCTCCAACTCCACAAGTAGATGGAGCCGTGCATGTAGTTCTTGGAGGCTGGACAACCGTAATGACCCGTAATTTCACAAGGAGAGAAAAAAGGGAGAAAATTAAGGACATGAGCAGAAGGAAGGGTGAACTGATCTTAGAGCTGAAATGTAGGACTTTAAAGCTTTGTGACTTTGATTTAAAGTCAATTTGACACTGAAATGAAGAAAATATAACGAAAACTGTCCTCAAAAACAAAAATGAGCCTTTTTTCAGTATAACTACACAGCAGCAGTTCATACAGTCATCTTTATTTAAGTACTTTTACAGACCGATCTATCTTTTTTCCCCCGAAATGATAGAACACAAAAACAGAACATGGAGTGTTGTTCATTTGAAATAAATAAATGCCAATAATAATAATTAAATAAACAATTTTAGAGTAAATAAGGGCATTTCATGGCTATAAATTTTCCACTTCTCTCTTAATTTACTCAAATTTAATTTACTGAAGCCTCATGGAGAAGACGTAGTGTTCACAACAACAAGTTTACAGTTGGTAAATAATGGAGGAGAAACTGGTGGTAGCGTTTGCTGGATACCCAGAGCTATACGGCCTGACGACAGACAGCAGGTTGTCAAACTGCCCCTGAGTCATCCTAAAATCTTCTTTCATCTTCTAACCGCTTCATCTTCTTGAGGGTCGTGGGGGGGCTGGAGCCTATCCCAGCTGACATCGGGCGAGAGGCAGGGTACACCCTGGACAGGTCGCCAGCCTATCGCAGGGCTGACACATAGAGACAGACAACCATTCACACTCACATTCACACCTACGGACAATTTAGAGTTATCAATTAACCTAGTCCCCAATCTGCATGTCTTTGGACTGTGGGAGGAAGCCGGAGTGCCCGGAGAGAACCCACGCTGACACGGGGAGAACATGCAAACTCCCCACACCCGGGATCAAACCGGCAACCCTCTTGCTGTGAGGCGAGAGTGTTAACCACCACACCACCGTGCCGCCTGTCATCCTAAAATATGCCTGGAAACGTCCATCATGGAGGAGAAGCTCCTGGACCAGCTGGTGGTACTCCCCATGATCCAGCCTCTTTTTTTTAGGGTCTCATGTACCCACACAGATCTCTGTTTTTCTCAACCAGAGCTACAGACAGTACCCTCTGCCTCAACATGTCAGGGACTACACACTGATTACTGGGGGGCAAAAAAACAGTAGATTGATTTAGTGTAAGGGGTTGATGGGATGGTTGTCCGGCAACAATAAAAAGGCGCAGCAAGTGTTTTTTTCCCCATTCAATTTCAAAACAAAACACAGTGCAGTGCGTCTCACGTTTAGCAACCTGCAAAATGCTTTCTGTGTGATCGGTTTACAGCTGGTTTATAATGACCTAATACACCGTTAGAAACACTAATGTACAGATAGACATGAAGTTCTTAGGCAGTTGTGCCCTTCACTGACAGGGATCGACACAAGACTAAACTCTAGCGCCACCAAGTGGCCAACTTAAGTAAAATTTGTGATGGTAATTTTTTTAGGACCAAAATTTATATAGTTTTGTATTTTTCATTAGTTTTTATTTATTTTTATTTTTTATTTTTTGTCTTCAATTCAGTTTAGTTTCCTGAGTGGATTTTTTCAGTTTAGTTTTACTGCTAGTTTTAGTTTGTTTTCCTATTATAATATGGGGGTGTTTTTCAGGGACGAGGTTTAAGATGTTCAGTTTAGATTTTATAATACAAACACAACATGTTATGAAGACTCACAGTCATGACGACATCCCAGTGTCAATAAACAGATGAATCATCGTGCTGGTTGTGTTGCCAAATTTGACCAAGTCTAAAAAGTAAAGATATTTCCTGTATGCAATATTGTTTCTGTTCACTTTATAATAACCTTTGCTGGAGACAACAGAATCATTAAGCAATTTCCATATGTAGTGTTCTGTGTATAAAACACAACGTCAGGCTCATTTATGCACTCAGTTTCACACAAACTTCAAATTCAGACTCTGACCTATCCTAATTACATCCAGTGTGACCCCAGTACTGACTGAGAGGACATATCTTTATAGGATATTGTAAAAAAGACTACAGTGGTACTGTGGCTTACTGTGAGAGCCTCACTTACCCACGATGTCATCAGTAAGAAAACTCAGGCCATCAATGGTGTGGTAGTCGTTGTCTTTGTCTTCCTTCTTATATATGGGGAACGTTATCTCCATCTCATCAGACCTGTTGAGAAGAAACACACACATTACAGGCTACAGACTGGCTGCACACAGCTGACATGAATTCAATTACAGCAAAGGAGCACTGGTCTGATTAATAAGTGAAGGAGAGTCGAGGCAAAATTTTATTTTTACAGACTGAGGTCATGACTCATTAAACTGATTTATTTTTCTTACTGCATAATTCAGTGATGCATTTATGGCAGTGCTCTTAAGAAGGCTGTGATAAAAGTGACTCAGGTGCTCATTCATACATTAGACCAACATGTAAAATCACCATCACAATTGCTTAACTTGGTTCATGTTTGAAAAGGACTCAATAACCTCTTGAAAAAAGGTGTAGATCAGCCAAAGTTTTCAGGCTCTCCAAAGCAAACTGACACTCAGGGACACAAAGACACACAAACACACACACTGTGGAAGCCTTTACCGCTTTGCGCTGTTGTTGGTGCCGAGTTGTGTGTTGAAACAGTACAGGCCGTCCTCACAGGCAGTCAGCAGGTGTGCGCTGGGGGAAGTGGGTGGGAGGCAGATGTGCAGAGGAGTGGCGCTGAGCTCCAACACCAGCAGCTGACTGGAGGAACAAACAGGGCAGAAATATTCTCAACATGTAAAATACATTAACAGATTAATTTAAAATTTCGTCATAGTCTTTCAAATGAGCTACTTCCTGTTCTTATTTATTTTCAGTAGTATTTTTTTTTTTAATTTTGTCTTACTTATTATTATTTTGATTTATTTCTCTCCGCTTCCCTCATCCTTTCACCTGTCAAACCCGTAGAGTTAAGACACACAGACACACGCACACGACAGCCAACACAACCTTGTCCCCTGACAACAATTAATTTACTGGCCTGCATCCACTGTTTTTGTTGTTTAGTTAGTGTTTTGTATTGTCTTGTAATTAAAAAACAAACAACAGAATAGTCTCTCCCCAGCAGAAATACTCACACAACTTTAAAGTTGTACTGACTGTCCACTCCGCCGATGTCCCACATCACTATCTTGTTGTCGTATGATCCCGCTGCGAGAGAAAAGGTGAACTGGTGAGACCACACACTGATGTGAATGAGTTAAAACATTTTTAGTGAGCTTAGATTGAGCACAGGAATCAGGAATAAGCCTTTATGACACTATTTGCTTTATCGCACTGGGACCCCCAGCATGCACTGGGGCTGTTTGCAGCAGAGTGTGATCTCACCAATTAACTCCAGAATCATCAACAGAATTATCCTTTAATCTTACTGAAGTCTGACCTCAGAACGTAGAGGCTGCAGACAGTCAGAACTCATAATGTTTGTTGTTTATCTATAAGACGTAACCATGACTCACTGAATAGGAAGTTTCCCTGGTGGTGGTTGAAGCGCAGGACGGACAGCGCCTTGCGGCTGGCTCTGAACTCCCCATAGGCCACGTTGTTTCTGGGGTGGATCAGTTTGACCAGTCCTCTCTTCCCTCCAGCTGCCAGGATGCTGCAGTGTTGAGCCGAGGCCCCGCCTCCTCTGGACATCAACACCGTGGACCAGGCCAGAGAGAAGAACTCCTGTCGTGAGGAGACAAACACATTGTGGTGGCAGAAGTGAACAGAAGTTGTCTTTTGTGTTATTTAATAATAATAAAGTTTATCAATGGTTCAATGTTTGAAAAACTCCTGTCACTAAATGGTTTTGTGATAGTTCCTTAAATACTAATAAAATATGTTTTTAAAACAAACTGCAGATTCTGTTTGGGCCTGGTTATATGTCACACTAGAGGCCGACGCTGTTGTTACATGTCATGCCTGTCACACACTGGAGTGGCGTGTTGCTGCAGTTGTTTGGTAGCGGCCCTAAAGCGCGATCTCTGTGTATGATCAGAGCTTTAGAGAATAAATGGGGCAAACCTCGTCAGGAACTTTGTACTTTTTCATCACCATCCCAGTTTCACAGTCGATGACACAGAGAGAGTCTCCACCGCAGGTAGCAACCAGACGGCTTCCTCCACCAGTGCCTGTTAATGCAGGAAGAGAGACTGAGTTTAGAGCTATTTTTCTCTGATGAACACAGTTACAGAAATGATACAGATTTGTTGACATGTTTAAAACCTTTCATTTTGATCACTTATGCCTTGTTTTAAATCTGATGGATCGGCTATTCTAAATTAGGTGAACAGTACCAGTGGAGTCTGGCATCGGCTGGAAAGCACAGGCCCACAACTGAGTGGAGAAGTCCTCTGAGCTATCCTGTTTACTGTGGCACTGCAGGACGTGGAGAGGCTTCAGACACACCGGCTGGTGGAGGAAGGAAACATGGGCAAAGAGGAAGATTGAGAAAGGGAGATAGGACAGTGGGAGGACAGGAGGGACTTTAATGACATGACACTGACAATACCAACAGATGGGCATTCGATATGGCTGTACAGATATACACCTGAGGAAAAAACAAGAACGTGTCTTCATGCCAACTTTTCATGCCATTTTCATCATCTTACTGTAGCGTCACAGAATGCTTGAGCTGAGGCTGATGGTAATGGTATTGTTTTTGCAGTTATTTGGTCATAAACTGAAGTATTTGACCTGATGATGGTGCTGGATGAAAAGTTAAAGGATCACTACGGTTATTATAAATCACCCTGAGGACATGAATATGTACACCACATTTTATGGCAATTCTTTCAATGGTTGTTGAGATATTTCCGTCTGACCGATCAACTTATATTGCCATAAAATACACATCAAGGGGTTTTTTTTAATCTTTCTTAAAATAAAGGGTTCGTCCTCAGAGGACAGTGAATATGTTTAAGCTTCATGAGAATCTAGCCAGTAGTTGTTGAGATATCTTTGGTTGCTCTGGGTCAAAGTGGACAGGCAGATTGACCATCATTAGGGCTGCATGATATCAGGTAAACATGAGATATGCGATTACATTGTTGAATATTGTGATTCAAAGAAGGAAACAAATTTGTTGCTCATTTCTCTAATTTCAAAGACTTCTTATTTGCTCTTTTATAAATTACTATTGCCTTTAAATAAAGCTAAAGTAATTTAATGAAAACACACAGTATTTCTTATCCAGTCACTCGATTAATTGCCAGAATAATCGGCAGGATACTCGATTATTAAAAGAATTGATAGCTACATCCCTGATCCTACATTTTCGTAAATTCGAGTGTATTTCATGAAACTTTAAATGCAAGGTTATTATGGAAGATTTTACTGGACTTTATTATTTGTAACTAGGGATGCACCGAAATGAAAATTTGTGGCTGAAGCCAAAGCCAAATAATATTACACGCGTGGCCGAGTACCGAATATCGTTGTTTAGTTTTTGCAGATGAACCCCCTCCAGATTAGTGTTGTCACGGTACCAAAATTGGATCCCACTGTACAATACCAATGAAAATATCACGGTTCTGAGTAGTATCACGATACCACAGCGAAAATGAGGCAGATGTGCCTTTTGTCATTTAAGAAAAGATAAATCACTTTTCTATTATAGGCTACATCAATGATATTTCAATGGAATAAATTACTTATTGACTTATTCATACTTTAAAAACAGCATCAATCAGTGATTAACATAGTGGGGATCAAAATAAAATAAATTAATAAAATAAAAATCAACCAGCCGCCCTCCTCCCCTGACAAGTAAAGAACAGTCCCTAAAGTGCGGTGAGGTTTGTGGGCTCGTTTCTCCTCTGAAACGTCACATACCTGTGTTCGGCTGGCTCGGCTGTTCAGGTACTTCTGGGCAGTTATGACGCCAAGAAGAGGATATTATTGGAGCCGACTTATCCGTCCCCGGTAAGCCGATGGCCGCCGTATTTCACAGGAATACATTACTGTCTGTGTCTGTGACCCCCGTTCAACCCGCAATCGGTGGGATTCGCCTTTCGTTTCTGCTGCTGGGTGAAATCTGTAGGCTGCTCGCACAGCGTGCTGAATGATTTAAGCCTATTTTGCTCGCTCAAAACTATTTTTAGTTGCAAATGTGAGTGCAGTGAGGGACAGATTGCCACACTGCAGACATTTTACTCTGCGCGTCATGGCACGCTGTTTGATTGCGTTATCAAAACATGCCACTATTACTTGGCCTTGCTTTTAACTTATTCCACCGAATACCGAATGTGTGTTTTTTTGCAATCTACAAATGTGTACCATGATCCACGACGACTATATATTTGTGGATTGTTTTTCTACAGATCTGCTCCGATGGGATTTGGACAAAATTATGCAAACAAATAGGAAAGAAGTCACAAATATCACATGACCTGCAAACTTACAGGAAGCGATCCACAAATGTGCAAAACCAGTCTCACGTGTAAAAAAAGATCCATAAATGTGTAAATATGACTTAATGCAAAAATCTTTACATTTGTAAAACCTGTAACATTTTCATGTGAAATTAAAGTGCGTGTTTACAGAGTAACTTATATGCATTTGCTAATTAATCTGTATTTTTGTGGATATGAATTTACACAACACAAACGTAAAAAAAAACACGTTTATGGATCGTGAATTATTTGTGGATCGTGGTACACATTTGTAGACTGTCTTCTGTGAGTTACAAATAATAAAGTCCAATAAAAACTTCCATAGGTTAATGTTTAGTCATCTAGTCATCGGGGACCTCCGTACCGCCCCGCCGTCTTTACAAGGAAACGGCAGCAAATTAATTTCATTGAATTATAAAAGTCACGCGACGCCACTGTTTCTACACGACATGCAGTGTTTGAAAGCACGGCACATGTAAACAGTAGCTCAAGTCGTCCTTTGCAATACCTTTATTGTGCATGTTAATATCACCATGAAGGTATATTTTTGATATATCGCGAGCTCTAACCAAATCACCATCCACAAAACTGCAGTACCAATTAGCAGACAAAAGCTGTAGATTGTGGACCGGATTTAAAACCATACAGACAATGTCTGACCCTCTGAAGATCCCTCACAGGCATTTCTGCAAACTGTTATTTAAGTTCTTGGAGTTCCAATAAACAGACCACTTGCTTTGTGGTCCTGTGATCGTTAACAGCGCCTGGAACAAGACAAGGTTGAGTATTTACTGGCTGTTGATATTACCTGTGTATTGCTGCAGCTCTTCAGTGAGGACAGCATGTCAGCGTCTCTCTTCAGCTCTGCTCTGTTCTTCTGTTTTATCCGAGCTCCATCTTCATCTTTAGTTTGCTGCCCTTTAGAGCCTCTCCTGGGCGTCTCTGCCTTCATCTGTCCTCTGGTGGGGGTAGAAGGAGGCTGACTTTTCTTGCGGGGACTCATCCTGACTGTGTTGGTCTCAGTTAGCGTCTGAAGTTGGCGGCTGGATTTGCGAGGACTTTCTGCAACTGGGGAGGCTGGGAGATCTGAGCGCAGTTTCTTGTGAGGCGTCAGCCTTATGCTGGTGTCCATTACTGATGCAGTTTGTTTCCTCTTAGAGGGCGTTGAGACATCCTGGAAAGCAAACACATGATCCTTTAACTAACTCCAGAACTAATCAGCTACACAAAATCCTGAATTTCCTTTACTATCACTACACCATATAACCATTACTATCATTACTTTCTAAAATCACTGAATGGTTTCAGAATCAAAATGACCATTAAGCCAAATCTGGCACAGATACTGAGTTAAAGTTGGTCATCCTTCAAAATCTTACACAGTTCTCTTTAGTGTCAGTGGACACCGTGCTCTCCGATTCCTCTTTTGGATCCGTGAGAGAGCGCAGATACTCTTTAGCAATAATCTCCACCTAAGAACCAAAGGACACAAAGACACAGTTACTAAAAATGTCAAAAGACAACAGACAAGTGTGCAGAATGTCTCCCATGTCCCGCGCTGGATCGCACCAGGTATGTGTCAGTTCAAATGTCGCCTAGTTAGAACATATTTCTTAATTTAGGTCAGAGTTTACCATAAACTGTATATAAAGATGGACGACATGTAGCTCCTCAAAAGTGAAGCCAAAGCATCTGGATTGCCCCCTGGTGGCTGGCTGCAGTACAGGTTATAAATCCCACCTCCATATATATACCCATATATATGCCCATATATATATATAGTACAGATAGACACTTATCATCCATCTTATTATAAACAGTATGGGGTTTACGCACTACTAACACTTTAAGGGTTGCAAAAGCTGAATTAGTTCCAACGTAGGCATCATTACAGCTTAAATCTTAAACCGAGCCCTTAGAAGGTATAAAGACCCCCCGTTGAGTAGCGGTTGTCATGGTGCATTGTTTGAAAAGGTGGGATAACTAGGAGGATGAGGACCGAGTTATACTGGCTGTTTGGCGTCGACAACTCATTCTCCATGATAGATTACACCCACAGGTGATCTAGTGCCTTTCATACTCAAACTAGAAATGCCCAGAAGTCAATGGGGATGTCTGTGAACGTGCAAAAAAAAGTGCATACGCATGAAAACAAAAGGAGGTGGCCTATGACACCACTTATCACCCACAATACAGTCTTGAGTTCCCTCCCCAGACGGCTCAGCGCCCATTCACACCTGGACTCATCTAACCCAAAGACACACACGATGGCCGGGTGGGTCAACGACTCACACATGACCTTAACTACTGTGAAACTCAAGAGCTCACAAGTGACCTCAACAACTCGGTAAAGGTTCACACCCACACAGGGTTTTAAGCCTACTATTTGACAAGACAAAGCAATAGCTAACCTTCAGCCTTTTTTTTAGTTTGGATATTTCACCCTGACTTAAGAGAGAAGGTGTGTACAGTTGCTGCAGCAGGCTGCTGAACTTACCCTCCACTTGGTGAAGTCACTGACTGAACTGGGTCCAAATTTAACCTGTTGGCGGGCAGTGTTGACAAAGCTTTCCTCCAAGGCGGACATTTTCTCCGCTGTGATGGGATCTGGCAGACAGAAGTTCTTCTCCCAAACTGCAATTATCTAAAACAACCAAAGACAGTTTATAAACTGACAACAGCAACAGCTTGTGCAATAAAATAATGCTGTACTGGCATGTTTGCAACAGAAGTAAAGATCATAAAATAAGACAAAATAAGCATTTCGTTTCGTACCCTGGTCCTCAGGTTCTCTGTGTAGACGTAGCGCAGGTGGTTGGCGGTGGTACTGACATCTTTACCATTGTAAATCCTCAGCTTGGACAACAACACCATCAGCTTGTGATTATCACTCACCTGGGGAGGGAAAGCAACATTAACAATCAAACTTAAAACCCCTGTGATGTGTCGTTTTATTTTGAAAGGACTCAAAGGATTGATTGTGAACACAAAAAAATAAACATGTTTTATAGTAGTGCAATACGACATCTCTAGAGCCATCTTTAAAGCTTTTTACATGGCTCAAAAAGTGACGCTTTCATGTGATATTTGGTGACAGTAAAACAGGTGTGAATAAAGAGAAAGTCTCTGTGTGATCAAATGCTTTATACTGAATAAGAACCTGGCGTCGGTTGCACAAAACACCTCGAGTTAAGAGCTCCCTTAAAGTCCTAGTTGAGTTGATTTTTTGAGGAAACAAAAGTCTTCTCCTTAAGGTTTCCTTCAAATTTTCACTTCAGTATTTATAGTTTTATCTTTGTCTTATATTTAAGGTATTTCTAGACCTTTGCACAAAAGACCAGAGCAACCAAAGAAAGGTGAAATAAAACTTAAGGCAACCCTAACTCATACTTAAAAGGATAGTGCACCCGAAAATGAAAATTCAGCCATTATCTTATTCACCCATATGCCGAGGGAGGCTCAGGTGAAGTTTAGAGTCCTCACAACAATTATGAAGATCCAAGGGGAGAGGGGGTAGCAACACAACTCCACCTAATAGAGGCTGACGGCGCCCCAGATTCAAACGTCCAAACACACAAAATTGAAACCACAAAATATCTCCATGCTGCTCGTTCGTAGTGATCCAAGTGTGCTGAAGCCCCGACATAAAAAGTTGTTTGGAAAAACGTCATTTGAACTCTGAACTCTTACTGCCTCTCTGTACACCGCACTCACATGTGTGCGCTTACATGAGACCGTGAGACATGGGCACCGTGTTCATGTGTGTTCACATGCTTTTGTTGGTCTCGCGCGCAAGCGCGCACACGTGAACGTGGTGTACAGAGAGGCAGTTAGAGCTACAGGCTACAATGAGGCTAAAAACAGAGTTTAAAGGACATTTTTCCAAACAACTTTTTATGTCGGGGCTTCAGGACACTTGGATCAGTACGGACGAGCAGTATGGAGATATTTTGTGGTTTCAATTATGTGTTTTTGGACGTTTGAATCTGGGGCGCTGTAAGCCTCCATTAGGTGGAGTTGTGTTGCTACCCACTCTCCCCTGGAATCTCTGCAAGGGGTGTGAGGACTCTAAAACTTCACCTGAGCCTCCCTCTGCATATGGGTGAGTAGATAATGGCTGAATTTTCATTTTTGGGTGCACTATCCCTTTAAGGACACTAACACATTCATGAGAATACGCAAACTTAGCTGGCGAAACCAAACACAGGAACTTCTTTCTCAGAGGCAACAATGCTAACCAATTACCCACTGTAGCTCCTTTAACACTGCCTGTTCACGGCGGGAATACTGCGCCATCATGCTGCCTTGCCATTTTGTATAAAAGGTGCAATCGCGGAATGGGGGGACAGAGTTGTCTTGCCTTTAAGCTGGCAACAGAGGTATTAACAGCACTGAAGCAAGGCATGTATAAATGGGACAGCTAGCAGGATGGGATGATGGGTGGCATGGGTGTGGTATTTTGATGACGTGTTATGAGTGCGACCCACTGCAGGAGATTTAAAAAGTAGCTGCTAGCAGTTAGCAGCTACCTCAAAGAAGAAGAACTAGGCATGTCCCGATCCGATCACGTGATCGGAAATCGGGGCCGATCACGTGGTTTCAGACTCGATCGGAATCGGAAGTTACATTCCTATCAGTGATCGGATATAGGCCTATGACATATCAGATACATGTCAGGGTTTTCTCTATTTGTCTAAAGCAAGACGGGCCGCATGGGGGGCGTTCAGATGTAGCTCTTTTGCACTCTCAAACCCATTACTTTTACTGTAGACGTGCGTCATGTGCGCTCATAACCCAATGCGATGCCAGCTGCTTTCCTTCGGTGCAATGCGCTTGTTTTTCGTGCACGTCCGTGTGTGTGTGGCTGCGTCGTCACGGACATGTAACGATATGAAATGACGGCGCTTGCGAGAGTGTGAGAGACGATCGTCCGTGTCACCGTGTCAGCTGACTGTTTAGTATGTGTGTGTGGCTGAATTGTTTCACTGCTGACTTCCAAGCAGCTGTTGTTGTTGATGTTTGAGCGCTACAGACCCCAGCAGCAACAACAGTCACTGCAGCTTCTACTGAGAGCGAGTCAGACGTAACATACGTGAGACAGACACACGGACAGACTGCGCAGATGTCGCGGACATCGTTAAACTTCTCACACTGTTGTGTGACGGCAGATACAGAACCAGGTATTTATTTAAAGTTAGAGAGGGAGAAGGAGTGAGGTGAGCTGGGTGAGGGAGGATTTGGGTGCGGTGTTGTAATATTGTGAGATTGTGATATTGTTACATCCCTAGTAGAGCACAAAGAACAGAAAAATAGTGGGATGATACAGTTAATCTACTTTAAAAAATTTTACTGCATTGCCAAAGTATCGGATCGGGACTCGGTATCGGCAGATACTCAAAATCAAATGACTCGGACTTGGACTCGGGGGCAAAAAAATGTGATCGGGACATCCCTAAGAAGAACAGCTGCCCGCAATGTCTGCAAATTTGGAAAACAATGAGGTCCAGGAACTCCTTACTCTCCAAGCAGAGGACGAGATCAGCCGCAAAATAACAGGGACAGTAAATGATTGTTACTGACACGATAATACCATTGTTATTGTTTAGAAAGCACAGCAGACGCGTCATGTCGCACTAGAGGCTGAGGCTGTTGTGTTTACATGTCATGCCACTTTTGATTCAGCCATAATGGCATGCTGTTTAAAATCACACAATGGAGTGATATGATGCCACCATAGTTTGTTTCTGCGTAAAAATACAAAGGCAACATAAAGAGGGGACTTTGTAGCGGCCCTATAGCTCAATCTCTGTAGAAAGGGTTTGTGTCTTAGAAAGGATTTGGTCGTTTTTGCTCCAGAATCACTTGACCAATAACCAAATAAAAAGCCATCAACCATGTCCTTACAGTGATATAAAGATTGTCCTCCATCTTGAGCTCCTCCAGGCTGCTTAGAGATTCCAGAGTGGTGACGTCCTCCATCTGGTTGTCGCTGAGGTCCAGGAAGCGAAGTGCAGGGAGCTCCAGGTTCTTGGGCATCTCTTGCAGTCTGTTCCCAGAGAGATCCCATCGCTCCAGGGACTGGAGGCGGGACAGCAGCTTGACCGGCAAGTCCTGAGGCTTCAGTCCAAGTTTAGAGAGACTGAACAAAAGAGAGCTTCAAGTCAGTGTTTCTACAAAGTTGGCAATCGAACTCAACATGTTATTAAATGACGTCTTCGACAGCTCTTCATTGTTAACACGGGGGCTCCTCAATCATATATGCAAACAAAAACACACAAGAAAAACACCAATGTACTTAGACTTAAGTTTCAAACTATCTCCTATACTGTACTCTAAAATTTGTGACAGAAAATTAAACATTTTGAATCAAAGAAACAACACTGCACTGCAACACTCCAAAACCAGCCAGTCCATCTGACTAGTGCACAGATAACAATTTCTAGGTGGTGATGTCTTCAGTATAGCCAGGTGCTTCTTGCTGCAAATAGGTGTTACTAACATACAAATACTGGACAAAGACGCTTTAACTACACACGTCCTGGGCTGTCACACACAAAAGATCATAAGGAGAATAAAGCCATGCTTACTTCAGCGTCTTGATTTGCTCCAGTTTGTTGGTTTTGGGAGAGCCTCTCTCCAGTAAAAGTTTCTCTGTTATTTTCTCCATTGATTATCTGGGGAAGAGACCACAGTTAAAACATTAAGGCACCAGAGAAACAACTGCTAGGACCGGGTATCAATGAGTTAATGGCTTAAGCTCCGTCATCTGTTGAAAGATTCAGGTCTGTGACCACACAGAGCATCAATGATGGGTGTGTCCAGGTGCTCTGCTGCACCTATAACCACACCCTCGCATATGTATACATTTGCTCACTTGTTTTATTTGTGAGTACTAAAGTAGAATAAAATAAAATAAAGTAAAAAAAATAAAAAAAATCTAAATGAAATAAAGTGAAATAAAATAAAGTAAAATAAAACTAAATAAAATAAGAATTAAAACAAAGCAAAGTGAAATAAATTAAAACTAAATGCAGTAAAATAAAATAGAATAAAACAAAATAAAGTAATATCAAATAGAACAAAATTAAATAAAGTAAAAATAAATAAATCTAATTGAAATAAATTGAAATAAAATAAAGTTAAAATAAACGATAAAGTAAAACTCAAAGAAGTAATAATAAATAAAACAAAATAAAGTAAAGTAAAATAGAATCAATTAAAGTGAAATTAAAATTAAAAGATAAAATAAACCCGTTCACAGTGAATGCGTATCAGAGTTATCACCGATAAGTTAAGAGATCGCTCAGGTCAGAGACAATAACAACACTCACGAGTTTTAGCCTTTTCTGTAGTTTTACACCTCGAATAAAAACAGCTTTTCAGATATGCTGTCGTACCTTTATAAAATACCTTTTTATATCTTACACCATCTTATATTTGTTGAGTTAAAACGACTTCAGTCGACAGAAACACCAGAGGTTAGCTAAACACGCTGGAAACACCGACTGCCGTTTCTCTGTATCTCTCAGTCACTAAGTTCACATTACAAACAATAAACTACTTATTACTGATGTTTAATTCACTTTAGAACCGTTTATTTCTTATAAGAAAACAGCAGGTGGGTGAATGTGTTAATACTGGTGGATAAAATAACTTACCGATACTCCTACAGCAACTTCAGCGAACTCACCACAGCAGAAACCGAGCTTTCCCGGGGAAACTCTACGTACTTCCTGTGGGCGTGGCTTAGATGAACTTTAATGTTTATTGTGGTTTGTTTACCCTGAGCTTGGCCTGCCAGGCACAATGTAACTGAAGCCCACAGCCCAGTCTGCACCAAAAATACATGTTTTAATATAGTGGTATAAATCTAGAGTTTCATTAAGCATAAAGAATAAGAACTGTTTTTTTATTTAATAAAATAAACGTGTACAAAACATCAAATAACTGCACCAAACAACCACTGACAACACAACAGATAGTTTGCACTGGTGTTGCCTCAAGTTATTATAATAAGAGTCAGAATCAGAAATACTTAATAATACTATTACAAAATACTTATTATAAATAGAAAGAATAAGAGTATGAAAAAGAAGTATGTAAATATAAAGCAGTAAATAAAATAAATTAAAATGTACATTAAAATAAAAACAGAATGTGCATTATGCTACAGTGTTTAACACTAGTACTTTAGATATTTAAATATTAAAGAATCAATATACATTGTCACGGTTTATAACATTAATTATACATAGAAATCATACATATTCACGTTTATAAGAACATATCCATATATTTCATATACATATACAGTACAGGCCAAAAGTTTGGACACACCTTCTCATTCAATGCGTTTTCTTTATTTTCATGACTATTTACATTGTAGATTCTCACTGAAGGCATCAAAACTATGAATGAACACATGTGGAGTTATGTACTTAACAAAAAAAGGTGAAATAACTGAAAACATGTTTTATATTCTAGTTTCTTCAAAATAGCCACCCTTTGCTCTGATTACTGCTTTGCACACTCTTGGCATTCTCTCCATGAGCTTCAAGAGGTAGTCACCTGAAATGGTTTTCCAACAGTCTTGAAGGAGTTCCCAGAGGTGTTTAGCACTTGTTGGCCCCTTTGCCTTCACTCTGCGGTCCAGCTCACCCCAAACCATCTCGAATGGGTTCAGGTCCGGTGACTGTGGAGGCCAGGTCATCTGCCGCAGCACTCCATCACTCTCCTTCTTGGTCAAATAGCCCTTACACAGCCTGGAGGTGTGTTTGGGGTCATTGTCCTGTTGAAAAATAAATGATCGTCCAACTAAACGCAAACCGGATGGGATGGCATGTCGCTGCAGGATGCTGTGGTAGCCATGCTGGTTCAGTGTGCCTTCAATTTTGAATAAATCCCCAACAGTGTCACCAGCAAAACACCCCCACACCATCACACCTCCTCCTCCATGCTTCACAGTGGGAACCAGGCATGTGGAATCCATCCGTTCACCTTTTCTGCGTCTCACAAAGACACGGCGGTTGGAACCAAAGATCTCAAATTTGGACTCATCAGACCAAAGCACAGATTTCCGCTGGTCTAATGTCCATTCCTTGTGTTTCTTGGCCCAAACAAATCTCTTCTGCTTGTTGCCTCTCCTTAGCAGTGGTTTCCTAGCAGCTATTTGACCATGAAGGCCTGATTGGCGCAGTCTCCTCTTAACAGTTGTTCTAGAGATGGGTCTGCTGCTAGAACTCTGTGTGGCATTCATCTGGTCTCTGATCTGAGCTGCTGTTAACTTGCGATTTCTGAGGCTGGTGACTCGGATGAACTTATCCTCAGAAGCAGAGGTGACTCTTGGTCTTCCTTTCCTGGGTCAGTCCTCATGTGTGCCAGGTTCGTTGTAGCGCTTGATGTTTTTTGCGACTCCACTTGGGGACACATTTAAAGTTTTTGCAATTTTCCGGACTGACTGACCTTCATTTCTTAAAGTAATGATGGCCACTCGTTTTTCTTTAGTTAGCTGATTGGTTCTTGCCATAATATGAATTTTAACAGTTGTCCAATAGGGCTGTCTGCTGTGTATTAACCAGACTTCTGCACAACACAACTGATGGTCCCAACCCCATTGATAAAGCAAGAAATTCCACTAATTAACCCTGATAAGGCACACCTGTGAAGTGGAAACCATTTCAGGTGACTACCTCTTGAAGCTCATGGAGAGAATGCCAAGAGTGTGCAAAGCAGTAATCAGAGCAAAGGGTGGCTATTTTGAAGAAACTAGAATATAAAACATGTTTTCAGTTGTTTCACCTTTTTTTGTTAAGTACATAACTCCACATGTGTTCATTCATAGTTTTGATGCCTTCAGTGAGAATCTACAATGTAAATAGTCATGAAAATAAAGAAAACACATTGAATGAGAAGGTGTGTCCAAACTTTTGGCCTGTACTGTATATACTGTACTGTAAGCACAATAATACCTGCATGTCATTGGTATCAGCCAATATTGGCTTTAAAATGAACTCTGAATCGAAATGGGACAACATGCTTTTTCTTATTGCACCATAAATGAAGAGATTTGAGACTTGATGATCACTAAAATTAGGTGGGGAAAAAAGTGGATATATCGTTTACTGGTTATCGGCCAGAGACATTGTTATACATCGGCATTATCGGATATCATAACTCCAACATCGTGCATCCCTATCATACTGTGATACATGCCTGAACAATTTCCTACTGTGCAATATTTATCACCACTGTGCAATAACATTTACAGGCTATATTTCTATATATTTATAGTAAATATACAACACACTATCAGTGTATTTCAGTCACCCTGTGCAGCTATTAACCATGAACATACAGAATCTATACAAGTGAAAGGTAGGTACATAGTGTATATAAATTTGATTTTATTTGTTATCTATTATCTTGTATTTTTGTAATAATCTTATCCTTGTTTTTATTGCTTCTGACTCTTGAGCTGCTGTAACAGGTATATTTCCCTGGTGTGGAATTAGAAAGTCTTATCTGTTGTAAAATAAAACCAAATAGGTAAATGTGAAGAGTATAAATAACGGTGTTTCAAGACAGTTACATAACAATAAACATACAGACAAAACATTGAAAGAAAAAAGATAAACAGGGGTACAAGCATAAAGTTGCATAATTTTCCAAAAGAAAAAAACCCAATGATTTGAGAGAAGCTTTAAATCCTTTAAAAATTCAGGAAGTGACTGACAGAATTTCTGTTTGTGAGTAAAAAAAATAAAAAATTTTTTTTTAAAAAAAGCATTTAGAATACCAAAATTATTTAGATATTCAAGAGCTCTATTATCTTGATTATTACCATAACAAATAATAAAGGAGTGAATCTTAATAGGAGGTTTCAAAGAAGCGAGATTACAGATTTCACATTAAAACAGATGAGAAATAGTTTCTATATAATGTTTACAAAAGGAGCAGAAGTATCAGTGTCTGTAAATTTGGCATTAGGACAACTGGCAGGGTGTATTTATACATATATACTATTTATTTGAGATAAAATATTTCTAAGAGCCAGGTCCTGCTCCAGTTTATCTTTTAAATCTAATTCCAACCGTTTGTGTGGGTGATAGACCATGCATTCCGCTAGGTGGCGGTGTTTATCTGTTCCCACAGGTTCGCTACATTAAAACCAAAATTAGAAGAAGAAGATGCAGGAAGATGATGACTCCTGACAACAGGGACGGTGTGACTTCATGTGCCTGTAAAGGCATCCGGCGGTGTCTCAGGTGTGAAGACGTGAAGGAGAAAGGAATACAGGAAGCGAATGAACTGAAGGTAAACATGTCTGACTGAAAACTGATGTTATATTGTTTTTATCAGCCGGAAACAGACGCAGCTGCTGCTCTCTGCTAGCTGGCTAACTTACTGCTAGCGCCACTCAAATACAGCTACGGGTACCCTCGCAGGACATTTCACGAGCTCTCAAAAAGTTATTCGATTAGTTGTTACAGTATTTTGTCGTTATTACGCCTTCATAACGTCTTTCGCTAACTACCAGCCTCTCGCGTTTCTGTACATTTAGTCAGTGATAGAAAGTAACAAAGTACATTTTGAGGTATTTGTACTTTGCTCGAGTATTTTCACTTTATGCTACTTTATGCTAATAAGTGAGGCATGGTACAATAACCATCTCAGATAATATCGCGGTTTCACGGTATTACAGAATTTATATTATTATCAGTTAGACTGGTCATTAATTAAAGGAATGAAAACTGAAGGGTTGTTGTTGGTTGAACAAATGTTGTATAACTGAAACTGAAACCTGAAACTATTTTGTTAATGGACGTTTGTGTAAAAAGTCTCCCCTTAGAAAATAACTAAAATAAAGATAAATAAACGGGAGATTCATATCCAGTTGCATTTTTTGCAATATCGTAGATAAGCAAATGTCACAGTATATCTTGACACCAGTATATTGCTGCAACCCTATATAGCAATATCTGTAGACACGCTGAGAATGTTCCACTACATTCAGTCCGATTTTGCAGTCTGCAAGCCAGCATGCTTTTCTGTCTGCTCTTACCCACAATCCTCTGCACAAGCGACGATATGTCACATCAACTGACCTGCAAAAATATGACAACTGATTGACAGCTCTCAGAAGTTGCAATGATGGATGACAGCGCATTTGAGTAACTGATGACCAGTCAATTAGTAATAACAGGAATATTGATTGTTTAGGTGAACAAAATAATCATAAATATTACAAACAACAAAAGGACATAACTAAAAGAGAACTGCAGATGTAATTTCACTGTTGCGAATATAAAATAGTAGAATCTACAATCTGTGCAGTTAGAACTTTAAAGTTAAACTACACACACTTGGATTGATCTCATCGGATAAAAAAAGCAAGCGGGTCAAAGTTCAGGACGTAATGTTATGATGCAGTACTATCCTGATTGTGTGCATACTGGATGTAACAGTACATACTTTTTTAAGAGCAGCTGCAGTACCTACTAAAAGAAAAAGTATGCGATTCATAATGCACCCTAAATATCCTTATTGTGTTTGCAGTTGTGTCTCGTTGTCACAAATGACGACATCAGTAATATAATGAACATAGAGTCGACCTGACACTATTATTACTTTGTTTTTGTCTGTGAAGATTGTGCATCATTTCCTCTACGATCCCGAGACTAGGCTTGCAGTTCCCAAGGATGCCGAGGCTGCATCCTTCCCCTTTCCTGGTGTCTTCCTGTGGGAGAACTTCATATCAGAGGAGGAGGAGAAAAACCTGATAAGCGCGATGGACCAGGATGTGTGGAATGAGTCCCAGTCTGGCCGAAGGAAACAGGTGGACCACATGTTATCCGTGTGCACATACAACATGACCAAATGTGTTCTTTGTATTTGGTTTTCTAGGGTCATGCTTCCCAATGACAAGAGAACGAGGGCTTCATAAATAGCGTGTTTACTGGTCACAGTGTTACAAACCTGTCGTACTGGCTTTGGGCGATTTAAACTGTAATACTTGTAAATTAGTTTTGCACCCACTGAGCCCATTACTGACCAAGTAGGTGCAATGTGACATTGATTCCAGTGTACCTTTTGTTTAGCAAGACTACAGTAGTTTGTGGAAATAAAACAGTCGACAGTGTGAATATCCCACAGTGATTATTGTAATTATTACAATATTCTGATGCATTAACAAAAGTTTTCTCTCATATCGTTGCAGGACTTTGGCCCGAAAGTTAACTTCAAGAAAAGGAAAGTGCGTGTTGGTGGCTTCAGTGGACTGCCTCCTCTGAGCCAAGCACTAGTGCTCCGAATGCACCAAGAGCCAAGTCTAGCAGACTTTCAACCAGTGGAGCAGTGCAATCTGGATTACCACCCTCAGCGAGGCTCTGCCATCGATCCACACCTAGATGACTCCTGGCTGTGGGGGGAGCGCCTGGTCACGATCAACATGTTATCAGACACTACACTTACTATGTCGCTCGAACAGGGTCTACCACAGCTGGGACTGACAGAGGAAGTCAGCGTGGCTGTGCGTCTTCCTTGCAGATCTTTAGTGGTGTTATACGGCGAAGCGAGGCACAGATGGAAACATGCCATTCACAGGCACGACGTTCAGGAGCGTAGAGTTTGCAGCACCTACAGAGAGCTGTCTGCAGAGTTCCTACCTGGAGGGCAGCAGGCAGAACTGGGGGCTCAGCTGTTGAACATTTCTTTGAGCTTTCAAGGAACTCCAATATAAGGGAAGGTTGTAATGGCCCAGACACACCAAAATGACTTCAGAGAACTAGCGGCGACAAAGGCCCCTCGCTGCGTTGCCAGACTTTGCTTTGTCTCAGCCAACAAGTTGCACATGAAACTACAAAGACTACAGCTGACTGTCAACCAGCACATACGTTCTGCACCTGCGTGACAGGAAATTACTCTCCACACCAGCAGACAGTGGTGGTCTGTATTCGTCATCAAAAAAGGGAAATCGGACCGTCTTGATGCTAGTTAGCCAGTTAGCACATTTACAACAAAATCTAATGCACCGTGCTTCAGTGAATGATAACACAAACTGTCAGGAAACATTTCTGCTAAAGAGCTCAGTGACTAAAAAATAATCTGACCATATGTAACAACTTTGTTTTGGTCTCACTCCCTCTTGACTTTAGCCCTTTGTTTACTTTCCTCACTTCCATTTCTCTTCTCATTCACTGTGAGGGATTTCATTCACCGACCGGCTCCGACATCTCCGATTTAACAGACATGTACAGCTGCAGACACATTTAATTTGTAGTGTACATGACACGCCCCTAAAAACCATTGACTATTATCTGAACAGTGCTACAATTCACGTTGTTGTGAATAAATATGAAGCCAAAAGTAGCAGTTATCCACTTCATAATTTATTATAAATGAGGACATAATTCACTGTAGCAGTGACGAGATGTAACCCTTAACATACCCTAACCCTAACCACCTCTCTTTAAAATCTAATACTTCATGGCGAGCTAATTGCTAACTAGCGTATTTGTCGGGACTTTTGATTGTGGGCCAAGGAGCGAAGGATCGTGGACTGACGTGTAGGTATGGTGGGTGAGTCATGTAGCTGCTCCAGCTACAGTTATACCTTCTTGATTCAACATGCTGAATTGCCCCCCAGAAAAAGCAGACGAGGGACAACGGTGCGGGACACACTGCATTGATTAGGGCGACAGACGCTCATCAACTGCCTAACCCTGACCGATGACCGACCGTCAGCTTGGTGTGTCCTGGCCTTAATACCAGAGGAGGAGGTACAGACTTCTTTGGTGCCTTGATAAATCAAAGTTTATACCCAAATGTCTATCAAATAGAGTTATATAAATGTAGTTAATACTTGATATGTTTCAGACCTACTGTCCTTCATCTATGCGGTTGTTACTGTTGTTGATGCCACATACAGACAAATATTCTGCACTAGTGATCACATTAAATTAATATTTTGGTTACCTGCCTTGTAAACAAATCTATAATGCATGAAAATGGAATTAAAAAACTCAAAGGATCTGTCACCTGACACAGTCCTGAATAACAATCGTCCTTCTATGTCATAACTGGCTTCATTTAATTGGTCCGTTGTATTTTTCTGCAGACTTTTATCTTTATCATCTCTGTCTTTAATAAAGAAAAACATTTTTTTCATACACGCTCAACCTCACCTTGTTTTGTTATGCAGAATGCATACTTACTTTTCCTGCAGTTGTGACTGGAAACAGGGGTGTCAGAGATTTCATCCCAACATACAGCTTTTTACACCAATTACACCATTTATTATAATCCATTAGAACCCATTTTCAACTCCAGGATTTCATCTTCAACTTTTAAGTGAGATTTATACTTATGCATCAATCAACATCATATCTACGCTGTAGGCTCTGAGGAGACGCGTACTCTATGCTGTGGCCTGATGTGCACCTCCCTAAATGTAATTGCATGTCATGGCAATGCAGACCTCCTGTAAGCTGAAACCCTTATTTCCCTCTGTGGAAGTAAAGATTTCATTTACTTAATTTCACAGATAAGAAACAATAAATTGTGAAGACAATAAAGCTTCCACTAAATAGTATATTTACGTCCTGTGTGTGATTTATAAAACTCTGTGTGTATTTCATACCTAGTAACTAGGGCACACTACGGCCCGTCATAATAGTGTGCACTGGGCCAGAAACGCGAGGCACATAGCAATGCAAAAATAGCCAGTAGAAATCTTTATTTTCATTAAAAACAATAAAAAGCCACCTCCAGCTGCTAAAAAACTTTCTAAATCTGCCTTTAACTTGCAAACAGAAAACAAAGGGTAAGTTTTTAAAATCTAATAACTACTTTATGTTGGAGGTAGGGTCATGCATTCCATCAAATCACTCAGAGACAGTGTTGGGCTTGTTCCTCTAAAAATGTAATGCATTACTCATTATTTGTTACTCTTTTAAAAAGTAAAAATATTACTTTACTCATTACTCCCTGCCAACTGTTTGTAAAACTACTTGTTATATTACTTCAGATGTGTGCCTCTGTGTGAAAGGCTAGATAGCTGGGGGTCTTTAGTTGCCTGTGACCGGTATTTTCCCAAGGTTCTGCCTGAAACACATGGAGCAACATTTCATCCACCACATATCCAACTACAAGCTTAATCATTTCTTTGTAGCTACAGCTGCCCACGAGTAAAATCCAGTTTGGGTTGTTTAGCCAGTGTAGCGCTACAGCCAACATCAACGGGCGAGGAGGGCTCACCTATGGTAGGGTATATTTCCTGGAGCTTCACGTTGTTGTGCTGCCGGTCGTATGTTTCAGAGCGGACGTTTGACAACGTGTTTTTCACAGTGGAAAGAGTTTTTGTCCAACTATCTGCAGCAACAGTGTTCTTGTCATCTTTCCTCCCGACAAAATCAAAGAAATGGGAATATTTCCAGCCGCTAAAATAAGTGTTTCCATCTTCCAAACTACCTTGCTGCTTTGTGATGTGCCTGCACAGCACGACGATCACTAAAATGAGTCCGCTGTTGTGACTGTTGTATTTCATGTCAGTAGTGATGTGATAAGAAAAGTAACATTGTAACGAGTTTTTAGTAATAAGTTACTGGAGAAAGTAATATCCTCTTGAGACCCTCTGTCCTCATATGAGGACATCACATTTTTGGTTTACTTGACCTTATACTTCATTCTACTTAACTTAGACCTGTTGATCACATTTTATGGCTTAAACTTGTTTATTTATGATTAATAATGTTTGTAGTTTAATATGGCAACAAATTTGAGCAATTTTAGCAACAGTAACAAGCTGAGACGCTGTTAATTAGAAAGTAAAAAGTTCAGGTCTAGCCTACGCACACGGCCTGTGATGTTGTGAGCATTTATACTTGTGCAGGGTTGTGTCTGTGTCACTCTGCAGTTACACCTCCAAAACACTTGTCAGCGGCAGGGTTTCTGTGAAGTGCTGTAAAGTTTAGTTGATTCAAAACACATATTAAACACACATTAAACACATATTACACATGGCTTAAGACAATTTCAAACATTTACACATATCAAAGAAGCACTATGTCAACGCAGAGCCTATGCTGTAGGTATGGCATTGAATCAACGCAGAAGTTTAAATTCCTCCTTGCATTACTGCCCAACACTGCTCAGGGAGGCCCAAGGAAAAATATTTGTGGCTTTGGGGAGGGTAAAAAGACCTCACACCCAGCCACCCCTGTCTTCAGTTAAATAAAGAACAGTCCCTTACATGTAAGCACTGCTCTTAGTGCAGGACTTTATCTGGCCTTGTGCTGTATTTAGTTTATTCAGTTATCAGAATACTTCCTCCATCAACACACACACCTGTCTGAGACCTACTTTGTCTTATTTTTTATTTGCATGTTCATTGGTGATGCTTTTATTTTGAAGGCCGCAGCCGGACATCCGTGTTTACTCTGCTGGCTTTTCGTTGGCTGAACTGCTGCTTAACCTGTTTGTTGATCGCTCTATGAGGCTTATTAACGCCCCGACTTTATTACAAGCCGGTCCCATTTCTCAGGGGGCTTTAAGTTGCCGTCGCCAGGAGGAGGTCGCTGGCTCTCTGGCAGCAGACATAGCAACACAACGAGTATGTCCTCAGCTCTTATCTGGCGACGGAGTTAAAGTGAGAAGAGGCTTTTCAGATGTAGCTTGTTAGCTAGCTGCGTCGCGTCCAGTGTACACACAGTCTTTTTGTTCTGCTCTTCAACAGCCTCTGCATGACAAGTCATCACAAGTGCTGAGGACAGACAGGGCGCAAACACAGCGACTGGCTTGTTGGAAAACGTGTCAAGAATAATCCCTGGTTGTCAGTCACCAGCCCCGGGGCTAATCCCCGGTCGCCGACCGACTTAATGGCCGGAAATCCGAGGAGGGGCGCCGGTCTCATCGGCTTGATGAAGGACGCCTTTCAGCCCCACCAACAGCCTCTCCAGCCTCACCAACCTGCCGTGGTCGATAAGAAAATGGTGGAGAAATGCTGGAAACTCATGGATAAGGTACTGACTGTGTGTCTATATCAGAGTTAAAGAAACCGTTAAAAACACAAAACATGGAACTGAAAATGAGTCACTTGACTTTTGTCAGTTATCAGGAGTTTTACATGCAGCCTTACTTCCCTCTTTTTCATCATCAGTATGGACAAAACATGTTGTTTTCTTACACCTGAGATGGAGATAGATTTGTCTCAACATCATCTGTGTGTAAATGTGTAATATGTAAATATAAAACACCTTCTACAAATATAAAAGAGGCTGTAAGGGACTGTTCGTTATTTATGAGAGGGGAGGGAGTGGTGCAGAAAGAAGGAAGTAAGTCAAATAATTTTTTTAAAATGGCTGTATTTTGTATTTATTTTACTGCTAATTTTAGAAACAGAAATTATTGTTGGATCTAACTAGGAATGTATGATGTAGAATGTTTTGGCGATATCCGTTATGCTGATTTATAACAACTTATTTGGCTGATAACCCATACTGATGTATCCATTTTTTCCCCTCACAAAGTCGTAGTGATCATCAGCTCTCTTCTGTAGTGGAATTAGCATTATATTACGCATGCATACTCTTGTTTTTTTTTAAAGGGATTTTTAGGGATTTTTTTCCTTTATCAACGGGACAGTCATTAGCGTGACGGGGGGAAGGAGAGGGGGTGACATGCAGCAAGGGGCTGTAGGTTTTAATTGTTGGGCTTCAGATATTTTCAAGTCAAAAGGCTCAAATTCAAGTGACGTCTGGAGTTGCTGATGTTAGAATGTTTTCACACTTGGTCCTTTTTAAATGAACCGAACTCAGACCTCTTAAAGGGGAACAAAAAGTGGACCGACAGAAAAGGGACTCAGTTCTTCTTGCGGTCACATTGTCAGTTCATTTGAAAAAGGACTCAGTTCTCTCTCTGGCCAACTTCAGCTCTGATGGGGCCTCAGTCCGCTTTCTGTTCCCACTATATATAATATACAGTACAGGCCAAAAGTTTGGACACACCTTCTCATTCAATGCGTTTTCTTTATTTTCATGACTATTTACATTGTAGATTCTCACTGAAGGCATCAAAACTATGAATGAACACATGTGGAGTTATGTACTTAACAAAAAAAGNTCAGTGAGAATCTACAATGTAAATAGTCATGAAAATAAAGAAAACGCATTGAATGAGAAGGTGTGTCCAAACTTTTGGCCTGTACTGTATATCGATGTAGCTTTGTTTTTACTTTGATGTGGCTCTGCAGTGTGGTTATGAATTTAAATTGGAGGAAAACCTTGGCGTTTCTGTGCGTTGTGGACAGTTGATGATGATTTCCTCGTTCCATATCTGGGGGAATGCAGTTGTTTCATCGTCAGACCAAAGTGCTCCTCGTCCACTGGTCGTCCTGTCGTTACCTGGGGCCATGGTTCTGTTGTGTTATTATGCGTCCCACTGAAATAGCGTGTGATCTGTCTACGGCAAAACTGGAGGGCTACAATATAAAAGCAAAAGGTAAAGTGGACCCGGAGTGCTTTGTGTTCACAAGGCACAGGTTAAGTTAACTGTACCGCAGACTTGAAGCCAGGTGGTCTGAGTTCGGTTGTCTTGGAGTGTTCACATTTGCACAAAAAATGCTGAGTCACCGCTCTAAGTCTGCTTAGAGGGCTGAAAAGGACCAAGTGTGAAAACACCCTGAAAGTCCGAGTCGAGTTGCAAGTCTATTTTGATTTGAACATGTTGAGTCTAAAGTAAAAAATAAATTGACTCAAATCTGACTCGAGTCGAAGTCTGCACCTCTGATGTTCATATGTGTTACCGTGGTTACATGTATGCATTATCAGGGCTTGACGCTAACTTTTTTTCCCAAGGAGCACATGTGCTCCTAAGTTGAAAAAATAAGGAGTGCACAAAGAACTTTAGGGGCACGATGTAAATTGATCAAATAATGTGTTTTCCGTAATAAACGTGATGCAAATAGACATTTACAAGCAAAATTATTTAATGAATGTGTATACAAAATGTACAGAAAGGTAAAATCATCAAGTTTTGAAAAAGTATTGCAATTTAATTTTGTCTTTAATGTTATTATCTTATATATATTATCTTTGTAATATGATTATCTTATATAATGTTATTACTATCCTAAAACATTCTCCAGGTCCTCTGAAACTCTGCAGGACTTAAGCCTCTTTCACACAGAGCTTTCGCAGCGCCCACCGAGGGGTAGGGTGCAGAGGACAGGATTTGGGGGAGTACAGGCTCCATGGTGACCGCTTTCGGGTGTACTTCAGGCTCTGCTCTGCTATTGGACGCGCGGCGCTGAGGTGTCGTCACAGCGCGTTGCGGTGAAATTAAAAAAAAATTCGAGTGCAAGCTCGGTGGCAGAGCGGTGCGCTCTTGCACCACGGTAGCACATACACAATGAATGGGTTCGTCGGCGGAGGTCTGCGCTTTGCGCGCTCTGTGTAAAAAGGGCTTTATTTCCACCCTGCCCAGCAGCGGTACCGTGGCGAACGGTCCCTAAAGGCCTCTACACATGATCAGCTGTAAAACCGCTTTGCGCTGGCTGTCCCATTGTTTGTCTATGGAGAGGTCAGCAACGCCTGACAAATCGGCACTGCTACCCTTGGCGTCGCGCACGATATTCATTGTGCCGACAGTGGCTTGGAAAACCGCCCATAACCGTGTCACATGGGAAGAGTGAAGGCGGCTGGAGTTCCTCCAACATTTGCGGTTAGATTATCATATTTTTTTATTGACAAAAATATAGGCTGCTTAGGCTGATTTTTTTATGCGCACATGTGCCCCTAAATATTTTTTACAGTTCGCACACACCTATTTTTAGTCGCAAATGCGATTGAAACGCTCGCACTGTCGAGCCCTGATTATCATAAATAGATTATGGCAGTGGCACCAAAGGGCGAGCCAAAATCTCAAGGCACACCTGCATTTATATGTGTCCACAGCAGTCTCTGTAATGTGTTTTATCACTTTTATCACGACATAAATGTTTGTTTTTGTTTACTAATATCAACTAACAATTGACAACCAACCGTTACCTATGAAAGATTAATGAAATTATTTAAGAATTCATTTTCTTTTCAAAACTTATTAAAGTTACATCACAGCACCAAGAACACATCCATTCAAACGGAAAAAATAATGTTAGATAATGTGATGTGTCACACAGTTATGATGCCTAAGCGTAAACAGTTACAAATAGGTTCCCCGCAAAGTTTTTTTTTTTAAAAAAAAAACTAAATTAATTTTTCAGGTGGAGTTTGCCTCTTTATTAGGAAATGGGTGTGTACAAAATACTGATACACACAATTAAAAGTTCATTCATAACCTTTTGTATAGGCCCAGATGAATTTTGCAATAATAATGTGTGGTTATCACAAAATCCTGCGGCGCACCTGGACTTGCATCATGGCACACCATTTGAGAAGCACTGGATTATGGGATATACGTGGCCTTTATCAGGATCAATGAATAGATCGCGGACAGACGTCACGATAAGCAGATGGATTTATTATCAGTGTAGCTGTTGAAATCCTGCTAAAATCACATATCTGCTATCATAAAACTCTGTGGTTCATTTTCTTTCAAACCACAAACTGCACCAGAGTCCATTTGGAAGTGAACCGAGACCCACCTTTTTGAGAGGTCTCGGTTCGGTTGTTTGGTCCGCACCAGGGTTTGAGAGGCAGCTATCAAACCAGCCCAAATGAACCGTACGAACCTTGCAAATGGATCTGAGTTCGTTTTAAGGTGAGTTGTGAAAGCACCATTAGACAATATCTATTCTCATATCACAACATAGGTATAACATCTATATATTGCCAAGCCCAAGTTACCTATTGTGAAACAGATGTTCTCTCATTTAATAGACATTTCACTAGATTTAGTCTCAGAGAGGTATTTTGGCAGTAACTTAAGCTTTTAGTTTTGGAGCTGTCTGCTTCGTCTGTCTGGGAGAATTGAACCCTCAAAATTGGAGTACAACAGTGTCCCTGATGCATTATCTAATTGGGATAATTTTAGTGAATTAGGTCAGGGACGGTAATCTTTTAAATGACTTTGTGGAAACACCTCAAGGGCCAATGGGTGTCTGTGGGACTACACCTAGCTAATGTTTGGTGTTAGACTGAAAAAGGTGCATTTGTGTGTGTGTGGACAAAAGGCTTAGTTTTGTATATTCATGGCCGAATGTCACTCCTGTTTATCTTTTCCACAATCTTAACTAAGGCAGACAGGAGAGAGGGATGAGGAGACAAGAGTTCACAAGAGATTAATTCAGGAGGGCTGGAGTAAGAAGAGAGGCAGCTATCAGATAAGACAGAGTACAGTACACTATTTGCATGCCTGTTGTGCAGTGTGCTGTGCAAAGAGGTGGCTGTGCTGCCTCATTTACATCTATAGTACGATGTCTTCGTGTCACATGGAACTGACTGATCCCTTTTGCAGTCAGAGGGTTTAAAACTTCTTTTCAACGCAGGTCATATGCTTCCACTTAGGACTGGCTGGGTAATAATACAGTAATACAGTAGTGTTGTTTCTTTGCAGTGGAATTTTATAATGATAATATGTTTTAATGACAAAATAAGAAAATTAGTTACTGGAGTTTTTTTGTGAGGAGTTTTGTCTGACGGACTGCACGACAGTGGAGCAGTCTGCAGTTGCATCATCTTTAACCACATCTCCCAACTCTGTTCCCTCAGCCCTGAAGTAAACAAGACATTTGTTATTAACTGTCATGTTGTAAAGCAAAGCTCTCACAATTTTTTTGCCATGTATGGCACATAGCTTTTAAAAAACAAACTGTATACAATAAGTTAAAGGTCCCCTGTGGAGGATTCAGGAGCATCCATTTACAGTTTGGATAGTTTATAATCATCTGAAAATAAGATTTGTTGCATTTTCGTCACCTTAGAATGAGCTGCTTATATCTACACACGCAGTGGGTCCTGTCACACCAGGTGTGCCATGATATTCTACAGTAGCCCGGAACAGACAAATCAAACACTGGCTCTAGATTGGGCCACTTGCGTTTTCGTGTCTGTCACCATAATTCTTCTACATGCTTTGCACTCGGAAAAAAAGTTTCAGTTCTGCAACCTCACTGCTAGATGCAACTAAGCCCTACACATTGGGTCTCTAAAACCAAACTAGAATTAATGCTTCGTGGTTGCATGCATTGAGTAACGGACAGAAAAATGTTTTATGCAGAATATTATGATGTCACAGTGAAGTTGACCTTTGACCTTTTGGAAATGTCATCACTTCGTTATTTTATCCTGTTAGACATTTGTGTGAAGTTTCGTCATAATTAGCAAATTAATTCTTGAGTTATGGCCAAAAACATATCTTGTGAGGTCACAGTAACCTTGACCTTCAACCACAAAATTCCAGTCAGTTCATTCCTCAGTTCAAGTGGATGTTTGTGTCAAATTTAAAGAAAATCCCTTAAGGAGTTCTTGAGATATTGTGTACATTTGAGTAAAACAGATGCATGGTCACATTGACCTTGACCTTTTACCGCTGAAATCCAACAAGTTCATTGTTGAGTCCAAGCGAACATTTGGGGTGGCGGCGGCTTATCTACTACTAGCTACTTTTTAAATCTCCGGATGGTGGGTTGCATACATAACATGTCGTCTAAATGTCAAACTCACGCTGCCCATGGTCGTGTCCTGCTGGCTGTCCTGTTTAAACAGACATTGTTTTGACGCTTTTACTACCTCCAATGCCGGCGTAAAGGCGAGACAGCTCTGTCCCCCTATTCCACAATTGTACATTTTATACGGAACGGAGAGGCGGCATAATAGTGTGAAATTCCCACCTTGAAGAGGCAGTGTTAAAGGGGCTTTAGTGTCAGTTTCAACCAGTGTTGACAGTAGGAGGACGGTAAGCGCACATCCCAGCCCTGCTGTTAACTGCTGGTGGCTGATGCCCACTCTCAATTCTACTACGAATGGAACAGCTTGCACGCGTGCACCTGTCACATTTTAAATGCAAAAAGTATACCCAAGCCTTAAGTTGTTGATGTGGAGGATCTTGTAATTGCCAGTATGGACAGCAGGAATGATTCTAGCAAGCAATTTCAGCGTTCAGTACGCCGGACTGTTTCTGTCAAGACAGCCTTTAAAAATCACGAACCCCTCCTTTAATACAGTCTTTGTGCTTCCTATCTAGGTGGTGCGTTTGTGCCAGAACCCCAAGGTGGCGTTGAAGAACAGCCCACCCTACATCCTGGACCTGCTGCCGGACACCTACCAGCACCTACGCACCATTTTGTCCCGATATGAGGGCAAAATGGAGATCCTCGGGGAGAATGAGTATTTTCGCGTGGTCATGGAGAACTTGACCAACAAGACGAAGCAGACCATGAGCCTTTTTAAAGAGGCCAAGGAGAGGATGTACGAGGAGAACTCCCAGCCCAGGTAGACCTATATCCTGATGAAATGTCAGTCATTCCCAGTGGGGAGAAGCAGGCAGGGGAAAGGAGTAATGATGCAGGGAAAGTGTTTAACAGATGTTACAGAGATCAGACTTAGCGTTGTTTGAGTTGGCTCTGTTTTTATGAAATGAGCCCTGAAGATCATGATTGTATAAAACTGCCTGATTAGCAGTACTGCAGCTGACTGAAGCCACATCTGTGTTACAAGTGTCAAAGTTAATTCTTTATGGATTACTTGTGCTCAGTATTGGTTGATTTGGAATAGGTTGTCTCATCTAAGTGTTCATGCCTTTGTATATATTCAGTCTTTTGTATATACAAGGAAGACGCTAACGTTTTCCAAGCTAACAACAAAATTTTAAGTAAAGTAATTCAGTGAATCTCTGTTACTTTTTTATTTTTAAAATTAAGAAACATATCAAAGTCATTTACGTTGCAGTGGCCTCATTTGAACAACAGCTATAATCTGTGCATTTACCACTAGGTTGGCAAGGACCTTTTGCCCTAAATACAGTGCTTGTATGTGCTTTAAACAGGTCCGACAACCACTGAATGACACTGCTTTCCTCTATTTTTATGATTTCTTAAAAAAAGAAACATGACATGTTCATGTGAAGTCGAAACTTTCCACACTCCATTTTTACACTGTTGTAACACTGTGATGAAATCTAACCTATGACATTTTCGTAGAAATACACCAGCCACGTGAACAAAAGTTAAATCAGATGTATGATGGTGGCATGATTAGACTGTCGCAATCACATCCACTTCCTCTGTTTCTCAGAAAGTCATTGCTAAGGGAAAGTACATCCTTCCTCTGACGCACTCTGATTTTTATCAAGCATTTCCTCACAGATGCTCTGCATCAACAACTATTGTGAACCTCTGCAAATGTATCAGTCTCAGGCGATTTACTGAGTTCATTCTAGGTAAATGACCTGTTGGCGTCTTCAATTACTCACTCTCCGCCCCCATCAGCAGGTGCAATCGCTCACACCACTCCATCCTTGTGAATTTATTTTCAAATTAGAAAATAGTGGGCTCCTTTTTAGCTGAAAATTCTGTCATGAATCAAAAAAATCTATAGATATTAAAACACTGAAAAGAGGAAGTTTGATTTAGCTTGTAGAGAAGGCTACATTTTAAAGTTACACCCTTTGATAGGGATGGAAATCGAGAACCAGTTTGAAGTTGTTCAATCTAATAGACATATGCCTCCTAGTTTATCAGTTCATTTTATTGATGTTTTTCATTTGCGCGTTGCAAAAGTACAATGTCAAACTCATACGTTTACGCTGCTGGAAACTTAGACCAAGAAGGAGTCATGGCGGATAGAAAGAAAAGGTTCAAATGTGGCTTCATTTCATGAAGAAAGATGACAGCAGTGCTGCTTGTAATCAGGGGTGTCATAGTGGGGGAAGTGGGACTATGAAGACCGTTCTTTATGCCACCTTTGCAACTAAACGACTATGGCATCATTCTGCTCCAGTGTGTGATTATACACTGCATCCCGGCTTTGTGGAATCAAAAGAGGCGTGACATGTAACAACAGTGGCGGCCTTTTAGTGTGATATATAACATGCGACTACAGAGCTTTATAAACAATAAGAATGGCAGTAACAATCATTTACTGTCTCTGTTATATGGTGGCTGATCTCCTCCTCTGCCCGGAAGGTGAGGAGCTCCCCGGACCTCATTGTTTTTCCAATTTGCCGACATTTTCAACCACTGTTATTTTTTTTTTTTTTTTGAGTTAGCTGCTAACTGCTATCAGCTACTTGCACACATCAAACCGTCACACCAGGGCTACCCATGATCCCGTCCCGCTGGCTGTCCTGTTTATACAGGCATCATTTCTTCCTCTAATGCCGACTTAAAGGCGAGACAACTCTGTCCCCCCATTCCACGGTTGTACCTTTTATACACAACGGTGGGGCGGCATAATTGTGTGAAATTCCCATCTTGAGGAGTCAGTGTAAAAAGGGCTATGGATTCAGACAGAAAGGATGGGGGACCCAGAGAGAATGCTCATGCTTAGGACCCAAAATTTGTTGCTACAGCTCTGGTTGTAAAGTCTGTAAGACGAGAATTTAAAGTGAGGATGGAAACACCAGCAACATGCTAAAACATCTTTTAAACCAACAGCTAAAATTCCAGGTATGCCATGTATTTGACACGCTACACAAATGTCCAAATGCTTCCCAACTGAGCAGTAGGCCTGCCATCAGAGGGGTCAAAGGGTACAGATGACCCTGGCCCAAGGCCAAGGGGGGGCCATGTAAAGGAATCAGGTACAACAATTTACTTACTGACTAAAATCACTGACAATACAAGTTAAATGTATTTGCATGATAAATAAATGTCATTTTATAATTAAAACACATTTCAACATGCCATCTGATACTCCCACCCCCTGCAGGTACTGTGAAATGGTGTGGTCCATCTGACATGGGTCATGTGTGTGATGCACAGAACTCAGTGTCGTTAATGTAAATGTGAAGCGGAGCCGGATGAGCTAAGTCAGAATGCCTCACCAAAAATCAGGGGCTCCTTTAAGAAAAGTCAAAGTACAGAGAGAACAAGACAATGAAAGGAGAAGAGAGGCAACAGCCAGATGTCTGGAAAAAGAAAATGTGAACAAACAGCAGGTGTGACAGGCAGAGCTTATGGAGAGATTAATTTTTAGCAAATAAAACCTGCTCTATTAGGCTCAGTTTTAAAGCCACAGTGAAGACACGGGTATGAAATTAAACTTAAGACCTAAGCTATCCATTAGCACCAACCATGTCATGCTATCTTGTTGGAAAGGGGACCAAATAAACCAAATTGGGAATCAGTTATGTAACCAATGAAAAAATGGGACTGATGAGCACAAGCGATAACAGCATTGATGTCAATAAAATCTTATCTTATTTTTCCCATCCCTACTTTGACTCCCATATTAGAATAAGTAGAAGAAGAAGTAGAAGTAAAGCCGAACGTTTTAAAGTTTGTCTTGCGTCTCTTTTTGCCGTAATATGTGGAAGTTGACTGAAAAGCTCTCAGAGGAACTCGGGAAGTGTGAATAATATTAAAGATATGTTAAGTAAATACAGGTGTGATTTGCCTTGTGTAGTTCTAGATAAGCACATTCATTATGTTTGTTAATAATCTCAGACCAGTGATATGAATTTGGACAAACGCTGGAGCTCAGTCTGATCACTTGTGTTTGTTTCCTCCTCTCCCACTCAGGCGGAACCTCACCAAGCTGTCTCTGATCTTCAGTCACATGCTGGCCGAGCTGAAAGCCATCTTCCCCAACGGCTTATTTCAGGGCGACAACTTCAGGATCACCAAAGCTGATGCTGCCGAATTTTGGAGGAGGTCATTTGGGGACAAGTGAGTTTCTACTTTAGGTTACTGTAGATTGGTATGTTAAAAGTTTATGTTTCTTTTGGTTTGTGATTTTAAATGTTGTTCTGCAGCTTTAATTCAGGTGTTTAGTTTCATGATTAGAGCTTGTTTCACACGTTTTTACATTCAATTCTATTTTTGTAAGTTAAATTTGACTCTGTTACAGCCTTTTATTCACACAGATTCTGTTTGCAGGGTTTCTGCAGATCCTTAAAAAGTCTTAAAGGCCCAGACACACCAACTTCAGAGAACTAGCGGCTACAAAAGTCGACTGTTGTTAATTGGTATTAAAATGTCTTAAATCAATCTTTATCTTAAAATAAAGCTTAAATTGGTATTAAAATGTTTTAAGTCAGTCTTTATCTTGAAGTAGGATTTTACAAATCGGGTTTTTTTTTCTGATGGAGCATTGTAAAGTCTTTAAACAATTGGTAACTTTTATATTTCTAAAACAATTTACCAAACGTCTCTCATATTAATGTCACGAAGATTAGGATAGTAGAACCAACAACGCTAACATTTATTTTCTGGCCAGGATGCTCAGAGCAGAGGATCCACTGTCACAACATGGAGAAATATAAATTCAACTAAAATGGGCCTTTTAACCAAGACTTGGTGGCGTGGCTGACACCGGTACAAGGCAAAGCATTTGAGGCTGTGTGATTTAATGCCAAACATATTTTAAACTCAGCATGATGGGAATCAAGGCAGTGGAATCTCACACGCAGGGTGCAGAAACACAATGCCACCCAGAAAACTCGCCAACAAATGCAACATGTTTACCCGTTCTGTTGTGCCCTTATCTCCACCACAAGATGAGAAAGTCATGTTTTATGTTACAATAAACATTTTGGCAAAATTCTCCCTAACCCTACGTGTGAGTTCATGTTTCCCTTCAGTGGGGGTTATTGTATAATTGTTCTTAAATTTAATTCAGAGTGGCTTTACAAAAGTCTAAACTCTAACTTGTCATAAGCTGTAGGTGTCCTGTGTTTAGTAAGTTACTGTCTGAGCTTTAGGTTTTGAGACTGTGATATTCAAACTTATGAATATATAAGTTCCTTCAAAACCTGTAACTTTCTGCCCCCCCCCCCCCCCCTCCCCCTCTCCCTCCTCCTCCTTCCCATGTGTTGCAGGACCATCGTGCCCTGGAGGACATTTCGTCAAGCTCTCCACGAGTTTCACCCCATCAGCTCGGGCCTGGAGGCCATGGCTCTCAAGTCCACCATCGACCTCACCTGCAACGACTACATCTCTGTCTTTGAGTTTGACATCTTCACCAGGCTCTTCCAGGTAAAGCGGGATTTATACTCGTGTGGCAGACCCTACGCCATAGCCTATGCCAAGACATTATCTGTGAATTTTGTTCCTTTAAATCCCCCACTATGAAGAAATAACATTCTTTGCTAGCCTGATGCTAATGGCAGTACTCAGCAGGTTGATAAAGTGTCTCTGCTGTTTCACGCCTTCATTTCTCCTTTTTTTTACTCTGTGTGCTCGTCCCCAGAGGAAATGTCAATTACACTGGTGTTTGTTGATATACGGTTGTCTATGGCAGTAGATCACTCTGTGTTTCTATTGGTCAAAGTGATGGCTGTGGCGGGAGAAGTCGTGGAAAGACAAAAAGAAAAACATGCTAGACTTTCTGTTGGGATATGGCGTCGGTTGTCGTCTGTTATGACACACTACACACAGTAAAACAATGGATTATTGCCTATGACACTTGTTGTCGTTCAGGATCTGAGCTGACACTATACAACACTACAATGGGCTATAACCGAGCTAATGTCATGTAGTGTGTACCTGGCACCAGGCCCAAAGTTATGCATATTTAAGGGCGGGGCCGCTTGAGGCTGTCTGTGAGGCGTTGCTACAGTCTGTAAGTCAGATCCACCCCTCGCTCCTCCACAGCTCCACCCACACGTCCAAAAAATCACTTCTAGCTCCAAAAAACCAAGATGGTGACGGTCAGAATGCCGAACTCGAGGCGAAGTCACGTAAGCTACGTCCATTATTTTACACAGTCTTTGCTACTCACGTTTTTTGTTTTTTTTTTCTTTGCAAGTACTTGATTATAGATGTTACCTAAATTGCCCATCCCTACTCTGAATCACATTTTAGTGAAAGGCAATGAAATTTAGAGGCTTCCAGTCAAAATCGGCACATAGAATCAAACCTTTTGTTTTGTAGAGTGGAAGAACTTTGGCACTTTCAGTTATGTTGGTTTTTGTCTCTTTGAAACCTTTGTGTACGTATATGTTGTTGTCGTTAGCCTTCTTCCTCCCTGTAGTTGCTGGTAGACACTGCAAACTGTCACAGTCTGATTCCTGTCTGGATCATGCAAATCTGATTTGGGCATTGAAGTTGAACGAAGCCTCAAAGCAGTCGATATCTGCATCATGAACTCCATCTTGTTTTGCAGCCATGGTCGTCCCTTTTAAGGAACTGGAACAGTCTGGCAGTCACACACCCTGGGTACATGGCCTTCCTAACGTACGACGAGGTCAAGGCGCGGCTGCACAGGTTCATCCACAAACCTGGCAGGTAAATATTTCTACATCATAATCCGATGTGGACCAGAAATACATTGAAGTAAGGAAATAATTGTCAGTTGAGCTGTTGCTTCGTCATGATATTACAGTTGTGGATGAATCTAAGAGGGATAGGAGATTACTCAAGATAAACACATTGTTCCAATTAAACACTGCCAGTATAAACTGTTGGTTGAGATTGTCGTCTCCCTCTCAGCTACATCTTCAGACTGAGCTGCACTCGGCTGGGCCAGTGGGCAATTGGCTATGTGACAGCTGATGGGAACATCCTGCAGACCATCCCCCATAACAAGCCACTCTTCCAAGCCCTCATTGACGGATACAGAGAGGGATTGTGAGTGCCATTACAACACAGTGTCAATGCACCATACATACATTTTAGGCTTGTTATAGCTCATACATGCCTCTAAGGATGGGTAAAAAAAGATTAAAGACGAAGACATAATGACTCCAAAACAGCTAGAATGTTTAGTCAGTGTATTGAAGTTATAGTATTGTCTTTTAATGTGTCAATAATGGGAGTAGCAGTAACTTGATTTATTAGAGCTACAGTGCGGGACTTCAGCGTATAAATAAACCTCCACTACATTCGCGCCCTTGCAAAACGAGTTGCTGCCAGGGAAAGCTCTCTGGAGTTTTGGTGTTAGGTGTCTATAGCAACTTTTCCGTGTGGACGCACAGGAAGTGATGCATTTTACATCAACTAGCCAGAGTGAAAGGGGGCGTGATAAATTTATTTAGTTTGTTAAATTTGTTTTTTTGTTTTTTTTGTTTTTTGTTTTTTTAGGGATGCACAATAACATCGGCAAATATGACAAAATGAAACGTTGGAAATGTTCTTTATAAATATAAATCAGACGATGAAATAACAGTACTACTCACTGAAAACACAAACACATGGTCTTAAACCAGGGTATCACATAAGTAGGCCTACATAAAGTGGGGTACAAGCATACAGATAAAGAGGTATATTCAGTCAGGATTCGGAGAATAAAGTTGCATAATTTTCATCGTACATGGATATATCGATATCAGTTATTGGCCAAATGCGATGTCATTTATTGACAAAAAAAATCCAGCATTGTGAATCCCTAGTTTTTTTTTTGTTTTCTTTTTGTGTTTGGCGCTGCTTTTCATTTCGTTTTCTCAATGCTTCATCTGCTGTCTACTATGTATGTTGACGGTTTGAAATAAAGCTTAGAGGGGGGGCATATTTTTAAATGTATAATTTGAAAGGTTTCTCCTGTAGCGGAGAAACTCACAAAGAATTAACATCTGTTGGCTGTTTCACAATCTTTTGACTCATTGTTTTTGCTTTACGACTCTAGTTAAGACATTTCTTGTAACACTAACCTGTGTGTGTTTACATCTGTTGTGGCTCTCTAGCTATTTGTTCCCAGATGGTCGTGCACAGAACCCAGACCTCACAGGACTGTGTGAACCCTCTCCACAGGACCACATCAAAGTTACTCAGGTTTGGACTTGTTTGTTTCTCATCTGTAAACCAGTCAATCTCGTTCTCGTGCCTTGGGAAGGCCGTCAATAGTAAACAAGTTCAGTAGACACACTGCAAGAGATGCGTAAGGAAATCAGTGCCACCATGTCACGCGCCAAAGTAGACCATAAACAATGAATGGATAAAATCTTCTAGGCTGAGATTGGTGTGACTAAGTGTTACAGCTATGATGTTTAGTATAAACAGCCTGTGTCTCCTCTTTCTCCTCCTCCCTCCCTGCAGGAGCAGTATGAGCTGTACTGTGAGATGGGCTCCACTTTCCAGCTTTGTAAGATCTGTGCAGAGAACGACAAGGATGTGAAGATCGAGCCCTGCAGACACCTGATGTGCACATCCTGTCTGACTGCCTGGCAGGTGAGGCTGCCTTCACACTATAAAGTTTTATTACGTTGTTTTCTAGCTGCTCTGTGAGTCCAGACAGTCAAAGAGGAAGAGTATCTTTTTGCTTACTGCTGGAAACATTTATGCAAATAAAGCTATGATTCAGTCTTGCTAAATATTTGCACTTTTACTGCAAATTTTCTTTGTATTTTAGGAAGACGTTTCACTGTTTCACAACACTTTTCTGATCTGATCTCTGCCAGATGTTAACTTCACGTCCTCCATGTTTATTTAATGTCTTGATTAATTTAGCTTAATATACATTTCCTCCACAGCACAGATTCCTTCAGATCAAACTCTCTTCTCCAACAGAAACTCTTTTGATTCAGATTTTTTTTTATTAATGTTAAGATACCATCAACGAAACTCAACAACTCAGCCCTTGTCGGCATTCTTATTTGAACCATCTAAAAGAAGTGTGGAGTTCCTTGACAGTAGCTTCACACTGAGCAGTGATTGGACATAATTAGTGTATCAGTGCATTAGTGTGACAGGATGATGATGACAATCGCTGTACTGATGGAATTATTCGTCATGTGTTTGCTCACATGATAAATTCAGCATATTATCCTGTGATTTGCTTAAAGGGACATTTAACCAGCCTCGTATCATCATACTGTCGGTTTCTTCCCTCCATCTTGACATCACCCAGACCTCCCCGCTCATTTGCCTGCAAAAATTGTTTTGCATCATCCGACAGATTTTTGGTGGCTGTTGTTAAAACTACAGATTGTACTTGCACATTTTTGTAAGGAAAGACACAAAAGGTTCATCCCAATACATGGTCTCACATCCACGTTTCCTCACTTGTGTCTCTTCCTCGCATCTTATCCGCCCGCATAAGATGTGAGGATGAGATGCAAGGAGAGAGGAAACAAGGAAATGTGTCTTTAGAGAAAAGAGACAGCTTTTCCTCTGAAGTGTCACAGGAAGCGTTGCCTGTTCCTGGTGACGGTGGCAGCTGATTATAGCTGGACCAGGAAACAGTCGGCTTTATTCACAACTGTTGAGACTTGTCGGCACACACATTATTGGCATCTGTATTCATTGATATTCTGATTATGAATTTTTTATTCAAAAACCCAGGATATGATTATTGTGTCTCTTAAACACTGGAAATGATTGATTAGGATAAATGTTTTAGGGAAAATTGAAATTTTGTTAAAATCAAAATCAAATCACAGCAGCTGCCACAAAGTCACTATTTCCTCTTACCCACTACCTCGATCGCGGAACAGTTAAAAGACAATGTTCGGAGGATCTGAGAGGTCGGGAGCTGGAGTAGGGGCAGAGAAGTTCAGCAGTATACTGGAGTGCCAGCCCATGTGCGGCTTTAAAAACGAAGCAAAACAAAGTTTCTCATCAAACCAGACGCTCAGGAATGATCAGCCTCACGTGACTGAATGGAAATGACAATTAATAACATCAAAAGTATTTCTTGCTGACAGACACACTCTCCTGCTCTCTCCGACTTTAATTATCTCCAGAATAAAAGTTAATAGGGGAAATAAGAGATCACGAAAAGTGTTTCCGGTCTTTTAGTTTAGTTTTACATATCAGATCAGTCTGATCAGCTGCAGCATCCAATAAACAATTGATAATCAATAAGAAGGCGTGTCGGTCGGCAGAAGACTTAAATGAAATCTGCTCTCGTGTATCCTTGCTCATGGCTCCTCAGAGATCCCTCCCCTCTCTCCTCGACTCCTCCATGCACATCTAAATAATTCAGACATCCCTCAAGATGGCAGGTATTGATCAGTTTCCAGATCAAGTGATCGAGGACAGAGGAGTCGAGGAGGGATGTAGGGATGAACCCAAAGAGTATAGCCAGCCACCATATTGTTTCCTGTATCAAAACGGCCAAGCTCGCATTACGTCACCCACTTGCGGGAGCATTTATTGATCCAGTGCGGCAGAGTGCATTCTGGTAGTTGTAGGTTTTCTACATCTTGAGCAAAAGCAAATGCCACAGTCCTTTTCCTGTTTTCTCTGGTCATGTAGCACCAACTGCAAATGTGTGTCTTTCTTCTGCACAAACAGCCCAGTTTTATGAAAAGAACATCTTTCCAGTAGTGAAATACTTCTTTAAGTTTTAAGCCCAGTTACAACTTCAATTTGTAAACTACTGATCCATTTATTACAATCTTTTCAGATGAGAAAATTCACTCACAGCCAGTGATATCAAAGGAACAAACTTCATTGTAATCCTAACATAATTTATTAAGTAAACAAATGTAGTGTCCACTTGAATGTCCACAAGGTTTGTCCAACTCATAAATGTCCTCCTTATAGAGCCCCCTAGTCCGACCAAAAAAACAAAAGTGGAATGTACATGTCCTCTTTTCAAAACTCAAAAAATACAAACCAGCTACAGCAGTCTACTGCAAAAAGGACTCCAGAAGAATTGAACTCACATGTAGAGCTCGCTCAGATGTAGACCTGTGGTTTGGTAATCTGGCCTTGGCTTGATTTCCAGTCTGCTCAGTAGTTGTGGTCCTCAGGTCACGCTGAAATTCTTTCTTCACTCCACAAAGATGAAGTGAAACCATTAAAAGGAGCAAAATGCTTTTTTCTCTCTCAGTTAAAGGCTACCGGGCTCCAATATAACTTCTCCGTTGACTTCCAAACACATTTTCTTTTCCCCAACACCAAACAATTCTCTTCTCTTTGTTCTCCAGGCCACGCCCCTTACACCTATGATACTAGAGGAACAGATCACCTGACCAGTGTTGGCCACACGACACTGTGCATGGCAAACATTTATATTCATTTTATTTCATATTTTTAATTTATTTCGGTGTCATGCCTTTGGCCCGTCCCATCTTCCAGTCGTTGCACATTCGAAACAAAACGTGGAAAAAAACATTGACAAACGAAACTGGCGACAAGGACACAGTGCACCAGAGGTTAAACTCAGCACTCTGTTGTTTCGAGTGTCAGAACAGATTTATTAATGCAGAGCAATTTTATTTTACTTTGCTGTTTTTAAGGTCCATTTTTCAATGTTAAACGTTCTGCAGATGTTTTTGTCGTCAATGTGCCCCTCACCTCCTTACATCTTTACCTTGTTTTATGCTTTTGAATCATGGATTTTGTATTTAAAACAGTTTAGGTTTAACATGAAAAGTGTTCTACACTGATACGACTTGTTTTCACCATCATTCTTCACATGTTAAAGAAATGCTCGCAGGTGTCATCTGTGTTTGAGCTCATATCTGCCTCCTGTGTGTGTGTGTCTATCAGGAGTCGGAGGGTCAAGGCTGCCCATTTTGCCGCTGTGAAATTAAAGGCACGGAGCCCATCGTAGTGGACCCCTTCCACCCGAAGGCCAGCGGGACCTCCTTTGCTGGTTTCCAGGGGTCCAGCAGAGCAGAAGCTGCGGGGAATGACGAGGAGGAGGATGATCGCCTGGAGGACCACCTTGTCATGAGCAGGCTGGCCTGCTCCAAGGTAATGTCAGGAACCCTCCAACACACACACGTCAACTTGACAGACATACACTTACACAGTCACATACACAGTCAGATTTCGTCTCAGGAATCTATGTGGGATCATTTAAGTCTTTATTTAAGGATACTTTATTTTATTAATTTGCAGTGAAATTTACCTCTCATTGCTTTGTGCCATGCAGCCTCTCTAAATGTATCTGTGTGTGTATGTGTGCAGGTGGAGCGCCCACCATCTCCAGTGTCTCAGCTGCCTCCAGTGCCCCCCCGACTGGACCTCCTGCAGCAGAGACCCTCCAGCTCCCACAGCGCTCAGGTTCAGGGAGCTACAGCCAAGGTAAGTGTCGCCCTTTTTACACAGAGATGGCGCTATAGAGCCGCGACTGAATCCCTTCTTTATGCCGCCTTTGGATTTTTACACAGAGACGAACAACAGCGGCATCATTCTGCTCCAGTGTGTGATTTTAGACAGCACAACAATGTCAGCCTCTAGTGTGACATATAACATACAGGTTGGCAGCACTTTCTAAACAGCAAAAATGGCATTAAAATGGCAATAACAATAATTTAGCATCCCTGTTATGTGGCGGCTGATCTTGTCCTCTAAGAGGGTAAGGAGCCCCGGACCTATTCTTCTTTGAGTTAGCTGTTAACTGCTAACAGCTACTTTTTACATCTACTGTGGTGGGTTGCACGCATAACACATGGTCAAAACGTCACACCTGTGTCGCCCATGTTCCCGTCCTGCTGGCTGTCCTGTTCATACATCTTTTCAGTGCTGTTACTATCTCTGTTCCCAGCTCAGAGGTGAGACAACTTTGTCCGCCCACTCAGCGATTGTACCTTTTATAAAGAATGACAAGGCGGCATAATGGCGTGAAATTCTCACCTTAAAGAGGCGCTGTAGAGGGACTTGTGTGTGTGAGAGTGCCTTTAAGTGGAACAGAGTTTTAACCGGGATCGATGGTCAACAATCCTCTAATCTACTGCCAGTGGTACTAACACAGTCAACATCAGGTTGTGTGTGTACGTGTGTCTTTACATCCTCTCCTACCTCCACCACAGATGGCAGCCACTCACCGAGATAAGCCTCTACCTCTGCCTCCAGCCCTGAGAGAGCTGCCCCCTCCTCCCCCTCCGGAGCGCCCCTCCCTGGTCGGCCAGGACTCTAGACTCCAGAGGAGACCCCTGCCCTCCACCCCCGACCAGCCCGCCTGGGCTTCCAACTACATGGTCCCACGTCCGGCAACCAAGGCCCTGTCAGGCTTGTCCTCCACCCCTCAGAGCAACGGAACCAGCGCAGAGGGAAGCAAACCTCAGGCAGCTACAAATGCTGTGTACTGCCTGGCTGCAAGGTACGGCGCTCTGCTGCTGTGAGCTGTGATGGATAGGTAGCTGTTGTCTCATCAGGAAGGAAGAGCAAACAGCTGTAAAAGAACCGTAGGACAAAAGTATATTCACAGTTTTTCATACTCAGTCATGGTGTGACCATTTTGTCCTGGACAGATCATTGTCATCTTCTAAATATGATGGTTTCCATTTTTAATCAGAGTCAGTGACATGGCGTAGGAAAAATATGTGAGGAAGTTGAGTGAGTCAGATCTTCTAAAATATAAGGCATGATGTGCGATGCTGCCGGCACATCACAAGCAAAATGACCCTGTTGGGATTTAATTACCTTTACAAGATGCAAGAATACAGCAGACATGAAGTATGGACATATCATACACATAAATGGCACACATCTTTTTTCTATCGTAACATGTAAAAATAAACACAGTAATGCAAATGTTATTACCTGCTCAGGTGCAAAGTACAGAATCAATAGCGTGATGTAGGAATGAGTCCTAAAATCCAGAAATGAGTTAGCAGATGGTTCCCTTGTCTAAAAGTCAGTAGGTTTTTGGAAAAGTTTTTTGGTTAGATGCCTGAAATACAGTCTGTGGTGAACACAAGCTTAAGAGACTTTGACGTTTTCTTCTATGACACAAAATACGTAGGTAAATCCCCCACTCATGAATTTTTTAAGCTTTTGTGTGTCTTAAAAAAAGCAAAATTAAACTACAAAGTGTCATCATGCATAACTGTGCAGAACATGGCTTTACAGCCTTGTTGTGGTGGCAACGTTAAATCATGCAGCAGTAGCAATAATACTGCATGCATTTCACCTGTTTTTTAGTAGCGGGACAAATCATGTCCTGCCAAAAAAACTATAACTTATCAATACAGTAATTCCTAGGGTTGGGTACTGAAACTCTGTACTTTTTGTACTTGTACCGATTCACGTCGGTACTACCGAGTACCGATTCACTTAAAATGAATCGGTGCCAAATTTTGGTACCTGAGGTGGAGGCGGAGCGAGAGCGCATGACTCGCACCTCAGACTCAGTAACAATGGCGACAAAAAAAATGTGCAGACAAAAGTTAACGTGCAGCACTGTTCCTAAATGTTCTCAATAAAATGTTGAAACTGAGAAGTTTAGACTATGGGCTCGAACGACGCATAGTGCGTCCAAATTCACACCCGTTCTTCTCTGTGGATTTTCTCCGCAACCGTGCGTCGTAGCGAGAAGCCATGCATATCACGTGAAACAGCAGAACTGTAGCTTTCCGATACTTGTCGGTAATCCAATGTTTTCACAGCGAAAAAAATTGATAAAGTTACAATAAAATGATGTATAACAGAGCTTTCATACAGCTTTGCACACACATTACTGTTGGATGGATTACTCGCGAACGCAGGCTCGCACAGAAATGCCATGCATATCACGTGAAAGCGCAGGACAACACACATCATTGTGCTGTCATCCCATCACGCTATAAATCCAGATCAATTGTCTACAAAATAAAAACCTGACGAATTTCTTTACAATCCATTATACAGATCTTGTTATCAGTCACTTCATATAGTGAGGAATATCGTATCTTACCACGTCTTAGGCTTGCGTGTGTTTCTCCCTGTCTATCCACATTTGTAGTCCGGCTTTCAAGATGCAAATATCTCCATATTGTCCAGTTGACACTCCATCAAACTTTGTATGACAAGACCAGCCACTTCACCTTTGCGCACCCAGACAACTGCAGCCTAATTATGCATGCATGACAGGGCCGTAGTCACCATATACATTGAGGGGGACATGTGTCCCCCCACCAATGCCCAAAATGTCTCCCCAATATATAACTGAAACTGAAAAACAAATATTATCTTGGAGGACATCATTGCACTTGGTTGACTATTTTTCTATGATCTTAGATGTAAATATTGCATGTTTCTTTCAGATAAAACACATTTTTGACTTGTGAATGAGTCAATGGAATTTCTTGCAATAATGAAAAAATACTGGCAATCATGTCCGCCTGGCACAAACCACATGTTTTGGACAGCTGTGAAGTGACAGAATGTCCCAGCATCATGGTTCTTATATTGCCAGATTCCAGAGAGTCTCCCCTCTTCATATATGGCAGAATATGTCAACTTCCAACTTGCTATGGTGAGATACATGTAAAAATATAAGAATTTAGTAACACGGATTTGTTTTTTCATTGATATAAAAATTAATATAAAATACAGGCACATAGAAGGACATGGAATGATGGCAAATCTGGTTAGCCCAGATTGTCCTGAAAAAAACAAGATATAGCATGTGTATGTAGCCTTTATAATGACTGTGATATGAGCTTAAAAGTAAAGGCAGTAAAAATACCCCAAAAAGGCCTAGGGCCCATACGGTTAAAAAGTACTGAAATAAGGTTCCGTTTGGTACCGGTACCGAATTCCAGATACCGGTACCGGTACCGTATTGGTTCAATTATGAATGGTACCCAACCCTAGTAATTCCGTATTTGGGTTAAAACATTATTTTTAAGAGATTGATTTATTTGAAATAAATGTACTTTATGAAATATTTTGATCCGCCATTATTTTTTTAACTTCTAGGCTTGCCCTGCGACAGAAAACAATCTTGACCGGGACAAGAATTCACAACTTTAAACATTTTTTTCTGCAATAATCTAAAATCGAATGGAAAAATTCCATTGGCTTTTCGTCGAGGGAACCAGGGCGATGTTAACTTCCACAAAAAAAGGTCATCCCGCAGCCCTCTATACGTGAGATATATAACGGACCTCACAAAATTGATTCACAGATCAAATGTACCAAAGGTTCAAATCAAAAAGCATCAGTGCATTTATCAGTTTGGTAATTTGAAATGTGAATTTTTATTTTCATTTATTTATTTATTTTTGGTAAAATATTGTGACAAAACAAAAAAAAAGGTTCAGGCAGCTACCGCTCTTCATCACTCATAAATTCTGACTTCAGAATCATCACCAAAGCTTAAGCCATCAGATTAGATACAGTCATTTCCAATTTAATACACCACGATCAGACAAGCTTCATCAAAAGAAACATGCTTCAGATAATGACGAAGACTATTTAATATCATCAACCTCTCACAACAAACTGAAAATAGGACAATTATTGTACCACCAGATGCAGAAAAAGAGAGCCACAAACTTCACCGGGGCACAAGACAAACATGTCCACTCTCTTCCTCATAGTTAGCTGTCTTAATAGAACCTCTTTCTGCAGCTACACGTCATAACCAAACCATTAAATGAGTCATACTATAAACTTCCAACATAAAATTAGCCTCTATAAATTGTGTATTTTTAACTCAAGGTTCACTTACTGAGATATTTTCCGAATAGCCTTTGTCTAAAGAAAGCTGGGGATACGGCTTTCGGATTGAGTTTATAATTTCTATCTCAGCAAAGGTCAAGACTGAACCTACACACTTAAACTGTGTATCCTTAAATTAGTCAGAAATAAGAGGAAATTTCTTTATAAGCCAAATCAAGACAATCCCATCATGCTTTGTGTTGTCTGTATGTGAACAGATCTCTGCCAGCGTCAGCAGTATCGAGTGCAGAGAAGCCGTCGTCCGACTGCGAGGAGAATGAGTACATGAGCCCCACCTCTCTTCCAGCCTCTGGTGCCCCCTGGGTCATAACGGGCTCCTTGGTGCCACCGCCACCAGCCCAGGCAAACCACCACAATGACATCAGGTAAAAAACAGGATAGCCAGTGGTGATGTTAGGGCTCCCCGGAGCCAATCATTGTCCTGGTATTGAAAACCAATCAAGTATTTTTCAGTGTCTCAGTGCAGAGATTGTAGATATTAAAAAAGTTCAGTACAGGCTGTATTTTCTGCTCTGCCCATGAGGTGACACTACATGCAAGCTCCAGCTTACTCTCGATCATATATATGTCGATACACTCGATCAGTATTGTTCAAACAGATGTGTTGATACAACAAGAAGGATGATTACAACAAGCACAGCAACAGAAATCACAATGGTACCACTGCATTTGTACCAACCCGTACAACCAATGCTTAAAAAAAGACAGACAAATGAAGATGAGGTCCAGGCCCTCATTAGTATTTGAGGACGTTCAGATCGACCTGGAGTCTGAGATTAGAGATCAAAATGTGCACCAGAAGATTTAATATTTAATACCTGGACAGTGTTACAGTAATACTGGACTAACTGCTGCAGTAATGTATCATGAGCAGTAATGTCTTTGTCCACCAGGGGGCTCTGGAGCCTCAATTTTTTTTTTTCTTTGTTTTTCCCCTCTAAACCCACAGATGCCTCTCTTTCTCTTGTTTGCTGTGTTTCATCTCCTCGAGTCAGTAGTTTAAAAGAGATGATGCAAACGCAGTGTGTGACCAGAAGGCAGCAGCTTGTTGGGACCTATTCCGCTCATTTTCAGGTTCAGACTTGTATTTTGGGTTTTCACTAGAATATGTTTACATTCTTAATGTTACAAAAACACTGTCTTTTCCTCATACGGTCTGTGCTGGCACACCTGCATTCACCCTCTGTCTGAAACCCTCCGTTTTAGCGCCTGTCTCGTTAAGCCCCCCCTTCTGAAAAAGCCCAGTCTGCTTTGATTGGTCATTGTTTCAGGGTCTTCTGTATTTTGGTGTCTCGGCACCATCATTGCAGTGGGGAAAGACTGTAATGGAGTATCACTTCTGAACACAACCAGATATGTTCCAGCAGATATGATCCGAAATCAGGGAGAAATTAACAACGGTGGCAACCACGATTCCTGACGTTAGCATGTAGCTACAAGTAGCAGTGTATGTGCAGTTGGTGTAGCATGCCTGGAGCAGATGACGTCATCTGGTAGCCAAAATAGATAAATGTTGTGAACAGAGAATTCTGAAAGGTCTGGTTAGTTCATCCTGATGACAGGAACTTAACAGTCTCTGGAATCAGCGCCACCCCAAACTCTTTCCAGAAATTAAAATCCAGTCAGGGCCAATCATGTAGTTCATAACGTAAGCAGCCAATCAGGGACTGCGTTGTAGCTAATGACTTAAAATGCAGGCTGTAGCTTGCAGAAGTTTTATTTCAGGTACGACTTGAGAACTTTATTTTTACTTTTTGCAGAGAGGACTTGATGTTGTGGAAAGACTGGACAGAAAGAATGATTAATAATAACACTCTCAATTATTATTTTCTCTCCCTCCTTGTCCCGGCAGCGAGGCGGCTGACAGCGACTCTGAGGACCCCCAAGTCTACGAGTCCATGTGTAACATCCAGGCCCAGGCTGGTTCCTCTGAGACGGCACAGGCCTCCGACCTGGGTAACATTCATAGCTAATTATGAGTGGAAATAAAAGGGGAATATTTCACTCCTCTGTTCGTAAACTGTAGTCTTTTTCTAATTCCAGTATTACTTCGCCCAGAGGCGCTATCACCACTGGTGTTAATGTTTTGGCCGATTGTTTTATGTACGTCAATTTTGTATGAACAAATAAATGCAGATATAGTCTCACCATGAACTGAACATTTTAAATAAGAGGGTGTTTATTGCATTGCGATACATCGTACAGATCTTTTTCTATTGTCTTCTGTTCTGGTCCCTCAGTGTGTGAACTGTGTCATTGTTTTTCAGACCTCCCTCAACATCCAGCTGCGATTCCCCAGGAGAAGAAGGAGGAGACCACTGAGGAGGATGTTTACGAGTACGACTGTCCCAGGCCGGTTGTCCCTCCCGCCCCCACCAGGAGAACCCTGTCAGATATGGGCGGTGCTTCAGCGGCCTTCAACGCTCTCAGTATTGACGGTGCCGTAGATGCCAGTAAGTGTTTCTGCAAATGATTTCTAGAGGATCTGGGGCCAGACACATAAACAATGTGTACCTTTTTTTACCACACATGAACTGACAGTTAAAAGTAGAGAAAGCGCGGTGAAAACATGCACACCTCACACATTCTTCAGACCAGGAGCACACATGGTTTTAGCGGAGAAAGCTGCAGGTGATGATGAGATGAGACGAGAATAAATATAAGTTGAAAGACAGATAACAATGTTTTTTTAAGGTTGTGTATAAAAAAAATTGCAGGCTGCGCGGCATTCTGTAAAATGTCATTCAAAGGCGCATTATAAACTTAATTTTAAATACTTCATGAGTGATACATTTCAGCATTATTTTTATTTACCTTCATCTCCCTGGTTGTTTAATTTCATCTTGTGAAACATTTTGAAAAATCAGTTTCAACATGAGCACTATGAATGACTCATTGATCATCCTTCTGATGTTTAATAATCATAATGATCGAGATTTTACTGCGACGATGGTTAGCAGAAATGTGATGAGTTAATGAGTTAGTGGTGCAGAGGCTACAAATTGCTACAACAGTGCGTAATTACAGCTGGACTGGCACTGTTGGAGAACCTCACCGATGTGACACGGTCGGTGAAATTGCGCTTTGTTGCAGGGTGTATAATTGTAGCAGAGGAGCAGCTGCTGCGAGTGAATGCAAACTTTTAGACTCAGCAGAATGAATGGTTAAGTTTCACTTTGAACGTGCCTGACGCTCTGCTGCTCCGTCTATGCCTCCGACAGTGTGGTGCCATAAAAACTAAACATATATATATTTTCCAATAGAGCTCCTAATGAATCTCCAAAAATAGAAAATATATTTGTGGCGGCAGATGTTTTCATCACAGCGGGCCGCCACAAATAAGTGAATGTGTGAGAAACCCTGCATTTATGGTGAACTGTGAGCGCCCATCATCACAATGATTGAGATTTAAGAAACAGATCAGGTTTACCCATACGAATACATAGGTATTTTACTGCCTTTGTGCGTACACACAGTTTTATGCATCTGGCCTCTGCTGTTTTAAAGCAGAATGCCACCAATGCAAGTGTCTGGCTGCAGCGGCAAAAACACAAGCGTTGCATTTTAATGTTTCAAAAGGTTGTTGTTCTGTCTTTGGATAATGCTGGTAGCCAGCCATCAGTGTTATAACATCCTGTCATTCATCTTACCATGATCTATACTTAGGTGTAGGGATGGGACGATGTATGATTTCATCACAGACTGCAATAAAAAACACAATAAGTTGATTGTGATAAATTTCCATTACTCTGTTATTTGTAAACATCACATCCAGCAGCACCCAAAGAGACTAAAAGAGACTCTTTAAGTAGTATTTTAAGACTTGTTACATATTGATGATTATCAGGATATGTTGAAGTATTTTGGCCAGGATAATTGTGCCAAGTGTTACCAGAAATCTACAGCTTTAACTGTCTCTGTTCACCTCCCTGACAGCTAAGTTTACCAACCAAAACCAAATCACCTGTGTGTTCCAGGTATGTTTGCAGCTGGTGTCGACCCTGAACGCCCCCCCAAACCTCTCCCACGTCGAGCCAACTCTGACCGACGGCCTCGGCCTTTAAACCGTGAATTTTCTGCTCCGCTGCCAGAGCTCCCTGGCCCCTCCTCTGCCTCTTCCTCCCCTCCTCCTCCTCCTCCTCCTCCTCTTCCCCCTGCTCCTCCTGTAGGCCCTGGAAGCCTGGCCCTAAACGGGGAGATTGAATGCCTGATGTCCCAAGGCTACTCCATCCAGGACATCCAGAAAGCCCTGATGATCGCCCAGAACAACCTGGAGACGGCCAAGAACATCCTGCGCGAGTTTGTCTCCATTCCCTCCACGGCACACATCGCCACATAGTCACTCCGGGCGCACCCATCCTGTCTGTTTCGTCTCTGTCTCCACTCTGTGCCATTATCATGGATAAGCATTTACCAAGCACTTTCCTGCAGGGCCACAAGTACATGCCAAAAGGCTTTACTCTGAGGAGTAGTGCTGCGTTCACGTCATATCAGGAGATGAAATCATCTGCAGGGTCTAGTTTGAAACACTCGTGTCCAAAGTCATTTCTAATAATGATGCAACTGCGGCAGGTTTTGTGTGGAGTTAGTGTGGATATATATGATTATCTTGGAGTACTGTTACGTCAATGCCAAGTGTTTGACATTGAAACCTCAAAATTTCTATTCTTTTTTTCGTAATCGCCACTTGAAGGTTGTTTTTTTTTTTTGCTCCTGTTAAAACTTTGAGTGGAGTTTGGTTTGAGGAGCAGCTCAGGAGAGGCCGATATGACCTGAACGCAGCATACACGGAGAATGGAAGCCTTTAATGTGAGCTCTCTGTAGCCACGCTTTGACCCTGTCGTACTCTGCTGAGGTCCACTCGTGCTGTGGCAGCGTTTCCCCTCAGTCTGAGTACTTCCTCTCATTAAGCTATGTGTTGAAGCTGCAGTGATCGGCAGAGGGACCCTGCAGATCGTCGAATTTGACTCAGTGTCCCACCGCTGGCAGCCGTTCAGTTTGGTGCTTTTTACGGGCTTCTTGGCAAATTTGTGGTGTACGAATATGTAGCGACGCGAGTCTGGTCGGAAAATTAGTGATTTAACTCAGTGGTGTGTGTGTGTGTGTGTGTGTGTGTGCTCATGCTGATGAATGTGAATGTTAAGTCGCAGTGCAGTATCGCAGGGCTTCAAGTCGTACGTGTCACTGTGGCTCGCTCCGTTTTCGATGGTATTTGACAAGTTGAACATGACTCCATGTTTTCCTCTCAGCTCCCGGTTCAATGATGGTTCTGTAACGAAATAACACGTTTTAATGTTTAAGTACTCTCATAACTTGTCGTGCTGTGTGTAGTACTAACAATGGCTAAGTTTTATTTTGTCAATTCAGGATCGCCTCGCGGGCAGTCCGACCCTGAAGGCTGGTTTATTTACTCAAAAGCTTCTCTTATAGTTTCTTACTAATAAGCAAAAGGACTTTAACATGTGCTGTTAGATTTCCCCTCACATGTTCATGTGATTTAGCTCAGCGTCACATTTGTACCCAGAGCAGCTGAGAGATCAGATCGAAGGGATTTACATTGAGCTCTAAAGCAAAAAAGCAGGTGCTGTGTTGTCATGTGGACTCAGGTACTCAGTGAAAAGCCAGGGTTGAATGTAATGAATGAACAGATGCTGAAGGACACGTGATATCATGTTGGCAGTGTGACAGTGACGAGCGCCAACTCATGACACGTCACAGAAACATTCCAGTGATTGGATTTTCTTCATTATTTTTACTTTACCTGCATAGATTTACCACTTTATTCAATATTTTAAAATCAGCTTTGCAATGTTTCCCCATTCTCTTCCTCCAATTTCAGACTCTGGAGATGTTCTCATGTGGTTACAATAATCCGCCTTTCGTACTCGGACATTTCAGTCACTCAGCAGTTTGTAGAATTTGTCGCAGGATGAAAGTTGAAAACATCAAATCACCGCAACCTGTTTAACAATTTATATTTGAGCTAAAATGATTAATAGATTAGTTTCTGGGTCCTCAACAGGGTCCACGAACCCCAGGAGGTCTCCAGGGGGGCTGCCAGATTACTGCTTAAGGTTTCGTACACATGCCGTGCTTTTTGCAGCCTCAAATTCATTGTTTTCAACCAAGACGCGTGGCAGGCACGCTCAAACGCCATTTTTTAGGGCACGAGGCACTGATTTGCTGGAGCTGAAAGGCCAGTCAGAGTGATGCCTCTCACAGACTTGCTCCATCGCTGATTCAACACATTGAATCAGCTGAAAAAAATGGATAAGGGGCGGTGGAGGGCATACCGCAAAATCTGGGGCTACAGCCTGAAATTGACTGACGGCCTTAATCTGAAGACATCACTTTAGGCTCAGTGGCCATTTTTCACAATTTTCTGACATTTATAGGCTACAAAATAAATAGAGAAAAATATCAGCTGGTAATTGAGGATGGTAAACATTGTAAAACATCAGTGTCACGGAAGTGAGTGACTGAAATGTCCGAGTTCGAGGTGTACTGTGATAAACAGAAGGCCTGGCCAGGGGTCTCATTTATAAAACAATGAATAGGATCCATACTTTAAATGTGAGTACGGACAGAAGCCAAAAACGGCATGTGCCAAAAATATCTGACAATTTCTACAATCAGGCTTCCACCTCACCATCTGTCGCTAATGTCCTTGCTCCAAAATGTTCGTAAGCGTGGGTCAAAGTTTCTCCCATCAAGTCTGTTTTTATAGAACACAACTTTTGCGTGGGAAGTAGCATGCACCTCTTTCAGGCCTTGTTTTGTGTGAATGCAATGTTTATAAATGAGACCTGGGATCAGGGCTCGGCCTGTCAAGTTTCAAGTGCTCAGTTTTCAATCCGTTGCACTGCATTCACAACAAAATACCCAAATGAACATAAGCTTGAAACAGACTGAAGTGAACAGTCTCAAGTCATGGATTTCACTCAGGTTTTTAGATTCTTTTCCAGTGGACCAATAATGAGCAGCTGTCACTCCCAGTCACTGCCAGAAACAACACAGGACTGAACGTCTCATTTCCACTTCCACGTATGAAATAAGTGTCCGGTTTAAGTAAGTGTAAAAAGAGGAGTGTAATTTCCTCTTTTTCTCCAAAACAGATCCTCAGTCATCACTTATGATTTCTGCAGTAACATGTAAATGTGCCTTCTGTCAATCACGACCTGCACACGCCAACAGACTAACCAAAACTAAAACCTTTCAGCCACATCCACACAGTTTCTGTGTTTGTCTCAGATCTTCACTTTGAGTGGTTCTGCTCCATTTCAGTGCGCTGTGCACCACCTAACAGGAAGCGACGAGAGGCGGGAAAACTGTCAGTATGAAGTGAAATCTGTCAGCCAGCGGCAGCGACCACGAAACTGTCAGGTGACAAACGAACAACAATGTCTGCCTACAGGGCAAAAGCAACGGTAGCATTTCTAGTTGTTCACAATACAAATTCATAAAAGCCTGAATGACATCATCAGTTCTCTGTCCTATCAGTCTCCCTTGACTTGTTTGTGTTTGTATAAACCATGTGGTCGTGGTGGATTAAGCGCTGGATTTGGCTGATCTGCCGGCGACTGTACCCATCGGATGGTGTGCAGACTCAACCTACTCGCTGCACCACAGGCGTATGTTGGCTTCATAATGTTGCGGACCCAGTATCAAGAGTTTGGAGCCAGGTCATTTGATTCGCAGGCGGCGTCACGAAACGTCAAACCGATAATTTGAGTCCAGTCAGCACTTGATTTCTTTAAAGCCGAAAACGATACGAGACTGTCGAATAAACACCGTTGATACAGACTTAGCTGAACACTTCACAGTTGCAAAACAAACTGTCAGTGTCCCCTGGTGGACAAACGATGTAATGGCGACAGTTTCAAGCAGATGGTTGTCGCAGCTGTCTACAACATTCATCACAGGAAACTAATGCAGACCTTATCTTGCATGTATGACTCCTGCAATTATGACGTACTGTTACTAATTCTAATACATGTCATAATAACGAACCTTTAATACCCAGATTTTGTCGTTGCTCACCCCGAGTTGATCATATTTATTAGGCTGCAGTTTTTAATTTCGTAAATGTTTCCTCTAAAAATAGGTTCAAAATGTGTGGACATGTCAGTAACACATTCAGGGCCGGCTCCATGCGCTTGAAAATGTAAAAGCAGACGTATTTTTTAAGTGATTAGTAAGAAAACAGTCCTCACACTGCTGCTGCTGACAAGACTGAGGTCGGTGAATCTGAGGTTTCTTTCTCGCAGCTTTAATTGCCCCTGAAACCCAAAGCATCTGAAAGCGGCACGCTGCCCCTCAGCTCGCGTTGATTCACAGAGAATGTGTCGTCAGTCCTTCGGCTTTGTGTTCGCATGCTCTAACAGGGACTAACTCCTGACCGTGAAAGTGCTGCCGTGTGAGGACACTCGGGGCTGACAGTCATGTTGAATCACTGCCAGAGGCTCCGCTGTCTCTCTCTCTCTCTCTCTCTCTCTCACACACACACACACACACACACACACACACACACACACACACACACACACACACACACACTCACACTCTTTCCCTCACTGGTAAACTCAGCTGGTGTGTTGGCTGGTCAGATCCACTGGTTAATGATACATGTGTAGTGTAACCATGGTAACTAGCCTTTTCAATGAGAACTTGCCTACTAAAAAAGTTGTCTTCATTGCTTTGTTGTTGCCTGTGTAAATATGATTTTATTTATTGTCTTTTTAATATCCTCAGCATTCGTTGTGTTGCCATGTTTTTCATGCCTAAGCCATTAAGATTTTTAATTAAACAGTATTTTCTTTAACATCTGATCTGTGTGGTTTGTCTGCAGTCACCACAGACTGGCAAACACCACTGTTTCCATAAAATACATTTCTGAGCAATAAACTGCAATTTTAAGTCTCAAGTTACTTTTAAACTTTTTTCAGCTGAAATCCAACGTGTGTATATTAAGTGGTGTTGTTGATGGAGTCAGGTTCAAATCTTCACATTTTAGTGCAAATTCTATATATTGGATTATTAACATAAGCAAATAAGAGACATAAATATTTGAATTTGAACAGCTGTCAAATGCTTAATATTGACATTTAAACACAGCGTTGGAAGTGTATTTTGAAAAATGTGTGTCAGAATTTATTTGTTCTGAAGTCACCCCTTTGAAATCAAAACATTAAATTTTTTTAATTTGCAGTTCTGAAAGCTGAATTTTAAGGGTTTCTTTTGTCAGTGCTCACAAATTTAGAACCAAAAATTCAAGATTTAGAATTAAAAAATAAGAAAATAAATAATACTTGGTCAAATTCAGATCCCAGGTCACAAAATTTCAAGTAGCAACAACCAGGCTACCCAGGACCGGCAAGGCAATAGAGTATGAATGACCTATCAGAGCACAGAGCATCAGTCATGAACCAAGAAAACGTCACAAAAATTGAAACCCTGGTTTTTACTGTTTATGTGTAGTTGATTGTAGGTAAACATTCATGTGTTTACTGCCAGTTCTGTCATGGGTAGCTCAGATGTTGCCATTTGAATTTTTTTTTTCTTGGATTTTTGGATCTGAACTGAAGACAATGAATATAAAGGGAAACTTTTCTGATACTGAACCAGCTGTGTGGCATCACAGTGTGATCAGATGAACAGTGTTTGGCTTCACCCCTGTGCTGCTGCCATCACCCGGAAGTCAGGGATCTCCAGGGGAAGACAAACAACGTTCATCTGCGCACACTGTGATGACACACAGCTGGTTGAATATCAGCAAAGTTTCCCTGCTTCCCCTCACTGGTTCCTGTACAGCAGGGTTGGTCTTTTTTTCACTGTTATAATCATTACAAAGCAAAAGCAGCATGTGTATACATTCAGTAGGCTATATCTTCAGTAGCTAGCTAGCTAACCCTACACTTTTCAGGGTTTGATTTTGGTTTTGGATCAGGGAAGAAATGTATATCTTTTCCCAACCTCTCCAGGTAACGAGTGTCATTAATACACGACGTGCCCCAGATACAACATTTAGCTCCAAATCCACAAAACCAGCCTGACAATGAAGGAAATCTGAAACGACTGCATTAGAGTCAATGGAGCACAGTTTATTAGTTATGATTGGCCAGTTTGCTTCCAATTAGTGTTTTCAGTTCCCAAACACTTAGGTCTACTGAGTGCTGTTAAAAGAAGAGGTGATGTCACACAGTGGTTAACAGGCTCCTGTCCCAACTTGTTTATGTTGCAACATCAAATTCAGAATGAATTGAATTGAATCAGTTGACTTTGTTCTGTCTTCAGTTGAATATAAGTCAGAAAAGATTCGCAATTCACTGAATTCTGCTTTTATTCATGTTTTACACGGCGTCCCAACTTTTTTGGAACTGGGGTTGTAACATAGCGGCTGTCCAGAACACAGAGGTAGAGCAGGTCGGCCACTAATCGCAGGGTTGGTGGTTCAATCCCTGTGAAACACTGCGTTGGCGGTGCACGGGGCCAAAAGTGTGAAGCGCTCATAAGGGGAATGCAAAATAAAAGCAGCAACTGAACTGCTGTTACCACTGTGTAGTGTTGTTTTAAACTTTATCTCATAGATAAACCTGTGGTCTTCACCTGGGGTCGTCCTCTTCACACCAAATGAACAGAGAGTAGCTGATATGTTTTGCAGCGGAGGGGCGGCTCTGAGGTGCCTGAATTCGTTGCAGATGTGAGCTTTTGTCCTTCCTCCCTCCAGACTGCAGCTGGAAACCTGAGCTACTGTTGGAGTCATTTCCAGCTCTTGCTGACAGCGGTTTGGAGGCAGCGCCACTTCCTGTCTCCTCACTGTGGGACTGAACAGCGCTAACAGAGAGCACAGTGAACCCGCTGCTGCTCTGGTTCACACTGAGCCTTCGGGCAAAAGACAACAAAGAGAAAGCAAAGAGCTCTTTCATAGCTCTGCAGTGATGATTTTATAATGATAGAAAAACAGTCTCCATTTAAATGAAACGTTTTTATTTGGCATTATTTTCTTGCAAAAAATATAAAAAAACGCAAGCATCAAAGAATCACATGTACAGGACTTAATTTACACACATTTTGAAGAAAAAAAAGAACATAATGTTCGGTTAACTTGTTTTCCCACTGGTGAAAAATCCAAACAAAAACTGTATTTGAAGTCGTATTAAACAGAGGAGGTGCAGATGTATGGATCAAATCAGAAATGCTTGGCTGCACCCTGCAGACGGTTGGTGTCATGGCTTTGTGCAGCATCTCTACACCCTAACGACAGCATGGCCCTGCACAGGAGGACACGTCTGGCCTGAGGACGTCCTGTACCTGGATATTTATACAATTTCAACTCAGTGGTACAAAAAAAAAAAAAAAACAGGAAACATCACTACTTTGTTAATGTTGCAAGTCATCTGGGCAAACGTGGCGCTCTCAGCAACGAAATGTCTCTTCACAATAAGCTACACGGTGAGCAATCAGAACATCATATTCACAACACGGGCCTATGAGGGAGCGTCACCAGGGTCCATGCGTGTTTCAGATGGTTTACTTTAAATGTACTGACTGGATTTGTCAGCATCCTGAAGGTTAGCTAGTTAACCTTTGTTTGTTTGTGACTCTCTTCTATTATCATGACATTCAAATATACTTTTTGCAGAAAAATAAACCCCTGATGAGATTTAAAAAACACTTCCTGATGATCTGAAGGTGTTTTAGGACTCTTCAAAGACTCTTTTACTCGCCAGGATTAAAAAAAAAACAACAAAAAAACGTCTGTGAAACAGCAATTTCTTTTTCTATAATAGTATCCACAAATTAAACAGCTTCTTGTCCATTTTGTAATATGCAAGAAAAAATATAAAACCTGTTGTTTATGAAAATATAGGATATTGTAACTTAAAAAGGTTTGATTTATTTTTTACTCCCTTTTATGTTTAAATATTTAAACAATTTTTTCCCAAATGTAATTTTTCATTTTCTCCCCCAAGGATTCCCAAGGATTTTTAAAAAATCCATATGTGCACAATATTTGGAATTTTAAGCAGAATTCCTTTTTCTTACTTTGTTTCGGAAACTATTTTATGTTTTCCTTTTTTTATACTTTTTTTTTTTTACTCCTTTTATATTTAAATGTTTTAAACATTTTTTTCCCAAATGTATTTTTTTTTTCTCCCCTTAAGAATTAAAAAACTGTCTTTGCACAATATTTAATATTTTAAACAGATTTTTTCCTAAAACAGTGTCTGCAAATTGAATAGCATCTTGCTTGTTTTGTACAACACAAGAAAAAATATAAACCTATTGTGTATGAAAATATACGATAATGGAAAATAAAATTAATCTTAATTTGTTTTGGAAAATTTTAATTTTTACTCCATTTATTTTGTTAATATTTTAAACAAATTTTTCTTAATGTATAAATGTTTAAATTAAATTTAAATTAAACACATTTTTCCCAAATGTAAATCTTTTTTCCCCCTAAAATAGTGTCCAGAAATGAAATAGCACCTCGCCTGTTTTGTACAATGCAAGAAAAAAATATAAACCTATTGTGTATGAAAAAAAAATAATGAAAAATTATGTAAATCTTACTTTGTTTTGAAAACTTTTTACTCCTTTTTCTTATTTTAACTCTAAGTTTTTATTGTCTATTATTTTATAGTGTGTGTTGAATTATTTTTTGAATGTTGTCAGTTTTTAGATTGTTGTTTTTGTGTGGACCCCAGCATGAGTAGCGCCCACTTTGAGAAAAATAATTAAGAATAACAGAGAAAAATAAGATAAATTAACATAACATTTTAGTTTTTTCGGTAACATCCTACAGATCAGGCGAGGAGCTGCAGTGTGTCACTGCCAGCTTTGTTTGGATTACAGAATATCACAGTGTTTGATCAATCAATATTTTCATACACAGCACAGACAGTGAGGTGATGTTCATCTGCAGTTTCAGGAAATACAGATGCATCTTAGATTATGGGTGAAGAATTGTAATATGTTGTTGATACAGCTGGCTGGAAGAGTCTTTAAAGATTCTGGAAACACCTTCAAAACTGAGTATTTACCAACTTTCTAGGTTTTTCAAAGATCATTGGAGATTTATCGTTCTGCAAAAAGCAGCTCCAGATGTTCAGCTCTGTGATTTGAATGTTACAATAATTGAATGCAGTGATAACACACGACAAACTGGGGAGAGATGTCGTATTTCTATGTTCCACAGCTGGTACTTTATGCTCAGAGTTCAGTAATCCATCACAGACAAGAACGTCCACATCTACTTGTGTCGTTGTTAAAGATTCATGACAGTTTCATGCAGAGCAGACCTTTCAAATCAATCCGCAGTAAATCCCCATGGATGGAATAATATTCTAACTTTGAACAGGAAACTAAATGTTCCCAGTGATGGATTATCTGAGCGAAGCTGTCTGCCAGTTTCTTCTCAAACTGCACAGAAACAAACTGAAATGTAAAGTCTAGAAACCAAACGGTCAGCAGGTCTGCGTGTGTTTAATGAGCAGTAAACATCCGAACACACACAAACACTGGAGTGCTTCTCCAGTCCCGACGAGCTCTCAGTGGAAACACAAAGAAAACACACAGAGCAAACCAAAGGAAGAAAACAAATTCAGTGTATGATGCAAAAACAGGCACAGCAGATCACTAACCTTTGACCTTTTCACCCTCAGTTACAGTCCAAGGCCACCACTAGCAGGTCTGTACACTACATGTATTTACAAACAGTACGAGGGCTTGACAGCAGTTTGCAGAAGAAGGTTGTCAGCATAGACATATAGACATAGACGCCGCACTGACTGTGTCAGCCTGTTGCAGTGATGTGTCAGCAGCGCCGCCATATTGGAGACCGCAAGACCAGCCTGTAAACAAATGACAGTAAACAGAGGAGCTGGATAAAAAGCTCTATAATGTTTATATCTCTCAACCATTTGCGATGAGTTGTTTCTATATTCATGGGTTTATGATCTACGTGCTGTAGAGGAAAAAAATTTGTCTTCATTTAATTATAATCTCGATATTCAGGCTATAATCACAGCTGGACACTCAGCAGAGTCGTGTGTGTTTGGCTAACATGAACTAAATTACCTGTAATGAGTGATTTTAAAAATTCACATTTGTCTGCATGGATTTGACTTATTTTCCTTTGTATAAGGAAAATAATATAAAATAATTTAAAATGGAAGTAGACAACTTTTCAGCTAGCCAGCAAACGCTGTTCACTTATCAACTTCTTTATCATCACAGAAAATAGTAACTTTCACCACAGCTCATTTTAGAAAGGACACTGCAGGAAAACATGTTGTTTATCGAGATCACTGCTTCCCAAACTACGGTGTGTGGCCCTGGTGGTACACAAGTTTCCAGAAAAATCTCCAAAATATATATACATTCAAAAAATAATCAATTTATCAAATGAAAATACTGAAACGTAATTTAAAATAAGATTTGCCTTTCCTGTATTATTTTGGTATTGATACTGGTAATGTTCATGAATGTAGCGCGCGCATACGTCCGTGTTTAGTTGCCAGTTAAGCTTTGATGGCAAGATAGTTAAGTGGAGGTAAAATAAATGTGATTAGGTGATAGTTATTATCCTATATGTCCTGTAATGTATAATAAACCCGCCTCCTATGTGAACTGTCCTTGGCTGAATAGGGAGGGCCTGCGCTACTGCGTATTACTCTCGGGCGTAGTTATGGTACTTAGAGAGACTTATTTGATGTTTTATTTTATTCTATTTAATGAGGTTATACTTGGTGTAAAAAATGAGAATCACTGGTTTAGTTTATGAAACAGACAGCAGATCATAGATGTTTCTGATGATTCTGGCTGCCAGCAATTAGCTATAGTTAACATAGCTAGCATGCTAACGTAGCTAGCGTGCTAATGTTGGCAAGCTTTTCATTTTCTTGTACCTGGGTGTAGATGGGAACAAACTAATTGCACATTATATAACATGAACAAAAAATAAGTTTTCTTGTGATGGCCTTTCTAAAATAAGCTGTGGTGAAAGTTAATATAATTCTGTTATGACCAATCAGTTGATAAGCAGACAGTGGTAGCTTACTAGTTAGGTAGCGCGCTAGCAAGTTAAAAGTCGTCTACTTCTAGGGGTGGGGGAAAATCAATACAGCAAAGTACTGCGATATTTTGTGTGGCAATATCGTACTGTCACATAGTGTCAAGTATTGATTTTCTATTATATAAATTAATAATATGACAAATAAAACTTGATTTGTCCAATAGATAAATTTTGCAGCAAAAACTTTTGTAATCAGTTAAACAGCAAAAAAGGAAATAAATCGCGCCATATTTTATCACGACACTCACCTTTCGCAACATACTTAAAATTATAATAATAAGTATTGTGATAATATCATATCGTGGGCCCTCTGGTGATTTTCACCCCTATCTACTTCCACATTAATATATATTATATTATAAAGGGATCTCTCCATAATTATTCAACCAAGGAAAATAAGTCAAATCCATGTCTGACAAATGAGTTTTTAAATTTCCAATTTCCAATTATTTATTTATCACCAGTAATTCAGTTCATGTAAGCCTAACACAGACTCTTTTACTGAGCGTCCAGCAGTGATTACAGCCTAAAGATTGAGATTAAAATTGACTGCAAACAAGTGATACTCAACTTACGCCTGTGGGCCAGATAGGGTGCCAGGTGGCCCCCCAACCATTTTCTAATTCACAATGAAAATAATTCTGTTGTAGTTGTGTGTAATAAACATCAGAACGGAGCTTGTTTATCAAAGAAAGTGCCAAGGAAGGATTCCCCGGACCCCCGACAGAGGCCTGGGCCTCAAATCCTAGAAATGCCCCTGACCTATGCAGGGCTGCTGTGACTGGCCCTGGCCTAAGGTCATTTTTTCAAAAGTGGCCCTCAAGCAAAGCAAGTTGAGTATCCCTGTCATAAACCCATAAACATAAAAACAACTCATTGCAATTGGTTAATAAATATTAAAGTTATAGAGCTTTTTATCCTCTTCTGTTTACTGACATTTGTTTACAGGCTGGTCTTGCCTTCTACAATATGGCATCACCGTTGACGTACAATCCAGCAGCCAATGAGGCATCTATGTTACTATATCTGTGGCTGCCAGTGTGTCTGACCGACAGCTTTTACAGATAACATTATGATTTTCCTGCGATGACATCAGTTCTGGAGGAAATGCCTCAGCATTTGGTAAATCTTAAAATCAATTTCTACAAATATTGGTGTCAATCAAAAATCAAAGTGAAGCAAACACACTGACATGCCTTCTCTCAGTGCGACTGTGAACCAACAGTAAGGAGCCGCCGCAGAGGAACGGCTGGCGTTTGGTCTCTGACATCATGTCCCGTCTCAAAACACACCTGGACCCATGAACACGGATCAACATGCACATGACCCAGCCGCTACCATGAAATGAAAATCTGAGTGCCAAAATATCTTAAATAACAAAATATATATAATATATACACTTTCATTGAGAAAAAAAAAGATGATGCTCATGAGACACCATCGTACACACACTGAACACCAGCCAAGAGCTGTTTGAGGAAACAGTACAAAACAAACTGAATGTCGAGGAAGCGAACGTTCGTTTGAAAGAAAATACACATCTGTACATACATACCTGTGTGTTTGAGTGTGTGTGTGTAATGTGTGTGTGTGTGTGTGTGTGTGTGTGTGGTTGTGTAAATCTACTGAATACTGCTGAGAACAAAGCATGATGGGGGGGAATGTCCGGACTGTGAGATGGTGGTGTTACCCTGCAGGTCTCAGATCAGTGGGAGCGTCTCACACACACTGACTGACTGACTGCTGGCTTCATGTGTCCTGCCTCCTGCTGCACAACATCACTGCTGAGCCATCAGGGGCTTTACTGGAGGGACAGAGGAGGACATCAATGTTACACCAACATATGCACACTGCCTACTCATTACGACACATGACTAATGAACTGTGAATGAAAGGGAGATTCCTGTTTATTAAATGGTAACGAAATCCACCTAACAGCACCTCTAAAGCTCAGTAATTAAAGGGTGAGCTCAGTATTTAACATGTTTTGTGTCTAAGTGACTAATGGGAACATCCATTTTTGGAGTTTGTTCAGGATTGAGTGAGAGCTGTGTGGGGTTAAGATGGAGTCAGGTACTTTATGTTTTTGTCCTTGCTTTGGTTACTGAGGTTTCTTTGTGCAACAAACTTTAAGCAATTCCTTAAGTACAAGTGCGAGATAAGGAGAAATCTTAAATCCCGAATTAAAAATATTAAGGAAAGCTTCAGAAGACTTGAGGGTGTTTTGTGTAACCGTTTGTTTTTTTTGTTTTTTTTTTGAGGAAACCTTACTCAGACTTTAAGGAAAATCTTAATTTAAGGTGTTTTGTGTGACTGGCCCTAAGTTGAAAAATACAGAACTTACCCTTTTACACATTATATCAGTTGAGGTGCTGGTAAGTAGATTTTGTTATATTTGGACAGAGCGAGGCTAGCTGTCCCCCTGTTTCCAGTCTTTGTGCTAAGCTAACAGGGTGCTGGCGGTAGCTTCATATGTAGTGTACAGACACAAGGGTGGTCTCAATCTTGTCATCTAACTCTCAGCATGACATAAATAAGCTAATTTCCAAAAATGTTGAACTGAATTTGAAAATTCTTGACTTTGGCACCCCCCAGTGGAATAAATATTGCCACTACACCTAAAACCCCCCCCAACAAAACACACAATAAAAAACAAACCTACAATAATTATTGTGATGTCGCATTTTCATAACATTATGTCATCAGAATAATTTGAAACACAAACACTTTTCTGTTGAATGCTCCCCGTTTTTATATAAGCACAATGAAACACAGTACTGCATGTAATGTTATGATGCACAACAACGAAACTGTGGCTGAAAAGTGATTTAAAACCATCAACAGTCTCATACTAAATCTGCTAACACTAATAACAGCCATAACCGACCAGCAAACAGCATTAAAAACACGGGAGAATCCCTTAAAGTCTTAAACACTTTGTATCTGTTTATATCACATCCAGACATCCTCATATCATCAGATACGTTTTCTGTATGATAGCTGCTGCTGTAGGTTTATTTATAACTGTTAAATAATTGATGGAAAAAGCCACAACTATTACCCCACATAAACATTACATATCCAAATTTAAAACAGCGTCTGTGAAGTTACTGTGAACAGGATGTCCAACTCTGCGTTTCCTGACTTGCATCAGTGATGATTTCTTTCTCCCTCAGGACAAACTTTAACATTTAAACTCCACAGCTAATGAACTTTAGCAGAACAAACTTCTGGCTTGAGTCCTTTTTTAACAGTGTGATATAAAGACGTCCTATTCATCCACCCGCAGTGGTTACCTGGTCATTGGGGCCCTTTTTGTCTCCGTTGATGGCCTTTAGGAGGACAGCTTCCTCATTCTTTGTGTTGGTCTTCATCTCCACGACAATGTCATCTTTGGTGGTCTTCTCTTTGGTGCTGCTGACAGGCACAAAGGTTGACTCGTGGAAATCGACAGACACAGGTGGCTGCAGAGGCACTTCTTTTAATGTAAGTTAAAATTTAACATTGGCTAAAACTCAGTACGTTCACATGCACAGTTAAGTGGAGCTACAGTTACAGCTGGATGAGGACATTTAACTGGACTACTGTCCATGTCCCAGTACACAAGCACGGGAGGGGAATCCATTTATTGACCCAAGTATGTCCGACTCCTCTACAATAGGTGGAGATATGCCCCCTTTCAGCTTGTTAGTATTGGACCTTTTTCCTGTTGACCTATTACGTCACAGATCAATCAATCTACAAATGAGTTAGCTATGGTTAGCTAGCAGCTAACTGGTACCATGATGGAGGAGACACAGCATGAACTGTGTCTCCTTGTCCATCCAAAAAGTCACGCCTCTGGATGTAGATTTCTCCATGTTATTACCAGCTTCCTCTTCTGTTATGCATTTATTGCCATTCACCTCTGGGTCAAAGCCCGGGTTGGAAACTGTGGAGCATGCTGAGAGCGCCTCGGCCAGTTTGGGTCTGATTGACTGTATACATGCAGGAGTTACATTATCTGGGTGTGTTACTCCCACTTTGATGAATCAGATTTAGTACAATTTCAGTCAGACTAACATGTTTACATGTATTTTAAAAGTCCTGTTTTAGTCGGACTAACACAATAAATCTATTTTTCTAATGTCATGTAAACGTACTGACTGGGTTACTCTACCCAGGTTTAGGCTTTTCTTAAGTAGGGCCCTATGATTTCCATAGTCCCTGAATTTGACCCCTCCAAAAAAAAAAAGCCAGAATCCTGAGGCAGTTGATAAAAATCAGGGTTTTCCCTGCCATTAGAAGCATTTTTTTCCACAGCATTTATGCCAAATGAACAGGCAACTAGATTACCACCTCGGGTTGTATGCCTCTGTGCACCAGTCAAGTTTCTCTGACAGTTTTCATCCATGTCAGTGAAAACATGGATGCTTCACACACAGAAGATCTATACAATCAGCACAGTTTCAAGATTAGAGTCACCAATTCAGTATGTCTCCCCTTCTGTTCCTAAAATATGACGCTGAGTAATGGCCAGAAAAAGTGCAGAACATCATGATGTCACAGTGAAGCTGACCTTTGACCTTTTGGATATAAAATGTCATCACTTCATTATTTTATCCTGTTAGACATTTATGTGAAGTTTTGTCATAATTACCGTATGAACTCTCAAGTTATGGCAGAAAACATGTTTCATGAGGTCACAGTGACCTTTGAGCATCAAATTCTGATCAGTTCATTGTTGAGTCCAGGTGGACGTTTGTGCCAAATTTGAAGAAATTCCCTTAAGGAGTTCTTGAGATATCACATTCACAAGAATGGGATGGACCGACAACCCAAAAACATAATGCTTGGTGAAGGGAGCTTCATTCAGCTGTAAAGGTGACCACAAACGGAGTTACACTTCACAACGGAGTGGGAGTGCGTAGGGTCCGGTTTTGGAACGGCTCAATGAGCACAGTCAGGAGGACTCGGAATAACTTAATTACTTAAGTTAAAATCACAACAGAGCTTTGGAGAAAGAATCGAGGTGATATTTGGGCCCATATAGGATGTATTCCTTGAATTGACACCATCATACCACCAGACCAGACACTTTCTGCAAAGCTCTGCAATACTCTTAATCATTTCACTTCTGTAATTATAAGATAAAATCTAATATGAAATAAGTTTGACTAAAATGACAAAACTTGTGGCTAGATTTTCTGAAATGTTCAAATTAATTTGATGACTAAAAGAAGTCAGTCGACAGTTTCCAATGATGAAAACTGTAATAAAAGAGTTGTGTTTGTCTTTGACTAAGATAAGGCTGAAATTACTAGACTTTTAGTTAACTGAAACTTACCGTAAAAAAACACAGGTTGACTAAATATGATAAAAAACTACACGGGACTGAGACTAAAAAAAGATTAACACTACATGTAACCCAGTGCAACGCTGTGGCTCATTGATGTGCTTTAAACAGTATCTGGTCAAAATCTGAGCTCTGTGGCACAAAGACATGAGATATCAGACTTTAGATTCACAGGCTCGTTAGTCGGACCAGTGTTTTTTTGTTCTGTAGACGTCACAGACAGATTTTAGAAGAGACTGTACTCACATCTCCTGTTTCCCTGAGCGTCCACACGGGATCTTCCCCTTCTTATGCAGGAAGTAGAGCACGCTGCCGAGGATGGCCAGCAGCAGCAGACACAGTATGATCACCACTATGATCACCCCACTGCCCTCAGCTACACAAACACACACACAGACCAGTCACATTAGTGTCAGTCCATCTAGCAGAACAACTCACCTGCTACTTTGACAGCAGTGAAGCTAAAGGACATGTACAGCCACAAAAGAAGAAATGTTCCTGCTTTTAGCCTCAACACGAGCAAATTATTTTTGTCTGTGCATATAGATTCTGCACAAAGTCCTGAGGGGAAACACTGCATCCTGTATATCTTATAAGGGGCATTGTATCAGTTGTACACATAGAGGTCAGTTCACTAGTCTTATGGAGAGCTACTCTGTCTGTGAAAACTGATGCAACTGTTGCATAATGTCTTCTGTGATCTCTGGAGGAGCTTTGTCAAGTCTTGGAAAAGGACCCCAGCCAAAAGGAAATAAGGCCTGGTCCACACGTACGCAGATAACAAGGGTTTTCCCTCCTTTGTTAAAAAGTTAAAAGTTGCCTCATTTGCAGCGCCTCACAAAGGAGACAAGCATCGCACGCTCTGACATTTAAAGCCAAAAACTCACTGTCTGTCACATCAACCCTAAAAACAAAATTCCTGTAAATCGTCACCCTGGACACAGCTTTACAAAAGGTCAGTTTTCAGTGAGTTTGAGCAACAAAGGGTCAAAATGCTTTAAAAAAAACTACTTTTTCAAATATACCCATGCTCATGTGGACTAAAAGTCTACATTTATAACAGAAAAGCCTGCGTTACAGACTGGGGTTTGATAGACCTGCTGATGTTAAAGGGGTAGTTCAGATTTTTCTAAGTGGGGTTGTATGAAGTACCTTTCCATAGTCAGTGTATTGCCTGTCGTAGATGTCTGTCCCCCAGTTTGGAGAAACAGCAGGAGAGCTGAAACAGAAGCTAAGCAACGTCCTGCTGCGGAGGGGTCAGCAGCAAGATGTGTTTTAGCCACCCAAACTAGAATTACCACCCTGCAGTTATATGCCTCTGTGCACCAGTCAAGTTTCTCTGACAGTTTACAGCCATGTCTGTGAAAACAAGGATGTTTCACACAAATCTCCCCCCCGACAGCAGAGACCTAAACAATCAGCACAGTTTTAAGATGGACATCCAAAATTAGAGTCATCAATTCAGTATCTGACCAAATGTCTCTCATCTGTTCCTGAGATATACACTGACTCTGATTAAGTTCCTCATACAACCCTACTTCAAAAAATCCAAACTATCCCTTTAAGGGGAGATCAGAACAAAAAGATCCTATAGGTTACATCATGGGAGGTGTAGGACGCAGTGTTTCTGCAGCTTACTAGAGACTAAAATTCAGAACGCTTCGCGTTTTGCTTTTTTTTAGTCTGTCTCTTACAAGTCCCCCGACTTTATGGCAGTGTGGCGCTGAATGACTCGAGCACCCTTTTAAAATCGAGGATAAGGAAACATCTGCTCCATACCTACACATTTCATTATTTAAACTTTTGTTTCCTTAAGTGGCTTATTTAACAAAGCCAATTTCCTCAAGCATGAGAAATAATTAGCTGTGCGTGAAATTATGTCGATTACATTTCAGTGTTATTAAAGCGGCAGCACTGCAGAGAAATGTCATTTATTTTGCGCAGCATCTGTGACCCATTCTTTAATAACTGACTTTACATTATCCACCCAGAGTGAAAAGCTTTTCATTCCCCTCTTTTTCTTTTCAAAAACAAAGAGGCTTCACTTTATATTCACACTCTGTTAATTCAGTTTGTGTAAGAGGCGAGGAGTAGGAGAAAATATTAACTAACCTTCAAAGAAAACAAAGCATTGCTTTCCATGCTATTAGAGTTATTTAAACCCTGTCTAACACTCCTATAAGGACTGAGGATGTATCAGGTATGTAGTATCTAGTTTTATTTGGGGACCTCATGTGACTTAGAAATGACCCCCCCATGTCAGCGAAAACATGGATGCTTCACACACATAAGATCTATACAATCAGCACAGTTTCAAGATTAGAGTCACCAATTCAGTATCTGACCAAATGTCCCTTCTGTTCCTGAGATATGATGCTGAATAGAATCAGATAGGATCAGAGAAGTATTTTATGCATAACATTATGATGTCACAGTGAAGTTGACCTTTGACCTTTTGGATATAAAATGTCATCACATCATCATTTTATCCTGTTGGACATTTGTGTGAAATTTTGTTATAATTAGCGTATGAAACCAAACATTTTTTATGAGGTCACAGTGACCTTTGACCATCAAATTATTATCAGTTTATCATCAAGTCTGAGCAAACATTTATGGCAAATTTGAAGCGGTTATTCCACAGGCTAGTTAATAACATGTCGGGCAGGAAATCCAAAGTGTGGGATCATTTTGAGAAGGTGAAGGATGAACCCAAGGTGATATGTAAACTCATCTTCATTGGTTGACTACAAACATGACGTATCATCTGAAACATGGAAGTAGCTACATGCCCATTAGCCCACAGCGTCATTAACAGGCGGCTCGCTCAGTGTGTGACGTGCACTTGTAGATAAAATATAGGCCTATATTAATGAAGGTTCATTAGTACGCTTTTGTATTTCTCTGTAATGTAGCACAGTGTTAACAATGTTACTGATACTATTCTTTCTCACACCTTCAACTCAAACCACCAAAATATATCATTTAATTATTACATTCATATCAGAAACATGCAGGCAGCTAGTCGACTGATGGACCTAAATGACGACTGTTGGTCGACTAGGAACGTTCTTAGTCGGGAGAAGCCCTAGACGATTCGCGCAAGATTAAGGTCACACACAACCTCCGCAATTATTACAAATGTACCTGATCACCCAGACACCATCCTGATCGGGGACTCAATAACCAAGCATGTAAGAATGGCAAAGACTGAAAATCTGACATGTCTGTCAGGGAGCTAACCGAGCTGTTGCCACTGATCCTCTCTACACACCCAAGTAACATGAAGATTATCATCCATGCTGGGTCTTTTGACATTCTACGAAGAAAAACTGGCTCTGAGATCCTGAAAAAAAGACTCTTCCCTGCTCCTGGAGAAACTGAGTGACTGTCAGTCACAAAATGTGTTCATTTCTGGCCCCATTCCAACCCTGGGGAACGGAATCGAGTCTTTTACCAGACTCCTTGCCCTGAATACATGGCTGACATCGGCGTGCTTCACTCATGGGATAAAGTTTATTGACAATTTTAACATCTTTTGGAACTGTAAGGATCGCTTTCAGCGTGATGGGATTCATCCGAACATCACTGGATGCAGACTACTCGGGGCCAACCTACGTCATGCTCTTGGAATGCCATACCAAAACAAGAATGGACAGATAAGAGCCAAGGACAAGTACGGGGCACAGAGACAGACATCCTGCATCTCTCCCCCTTCACCTGACCCTTTGCTCCACATCACCACATAGTTTCTATGCTCCCTGTCTGTGGAACAAACTTCCGGAATATCTGAGGTTGGCTGAAACTGTCAGCTCACTTAAATCAGGGCTTAAAACATTACTATTTACTGCAGCTTACCAGTGAACTAGATATGTAACTTATTGTTAGGATAATCTGTAGCTATTGTTTTTATATTTGTCTGTCTTTTGCTTTATGTTTGCTTTTTAAATGCATTTTCTGCACTGTTTTTAACTATTTATTGTCTTGCTTTTAGCTTTTGTTTTTAATGATCTCAAACACAATTGTATTGCTCCTTTAATGTTTTATTTCAATGTATTTCTCTTGTAAAGCACATTGAATTGCCTTATGTATGAATGGTGCTATATAAATAAAATTGCCTTGCCTTGCCTTGCCTTGCCTTGCCTTGCCTTGCCTTGCCTTGATGAAGGCCACAAGCTGAAACGCGTTCCAATAAAGTTGTTTTTCACACCACAAGTGTTGCTGGAGCTCTTTTGACATTTTTCAAATGACCAGAGGTCCCCAGGCGACACTCATCCTGTGCAAATAGGGCTAAAGTCATATTTGTGCATTAGTGTATCCTCCTCGACTGAATTAGTTTAGTAAGTCCATTTAATGTCAGTTTCTTAACAACAAAGAAGTGTCAGTGATGATGACAACAGACAGAGTTTGTAGAAGATCAGTTTATAAAACTCATCAAACACATTTCTTTAATTCCACAGTTATGTTATCTCAGACCTGACACCATCACTGTCAGCTTTAAGCCTATTTTTGTGGATTTTCTTTGCTCTCCCTGCATCAAATCATCCAGATCAGCCCTTTGAATATGCTGAATGCACAAAAACTGAGACACAGACTGAGACGGCGTCACTCGTCATAAAACGGTGATGCAATTCATTCTTAAAGTAGATCTTCCACTCCTCGTTAAAAGTGTGTAGGAAGATTCTACTCTGAGTGACTGTGCAAGTGTTTAAATACAGTCCCTAATGACCTCGGTAAATAATTAGGGGACTTTCTGACACTGTTGTTTTTAATGGTTGTGGGTGAAATGTTGTTTATTTGCCCGCTGTATTCCCCACAGGCTGGTGAAGGGTTTAATGGTGTGAAGTGACGGCTCAGATAAAGTCAGATAATTGTCCCATGATAATAATAATAGCTCCCCTCTCCATACTTCACCACAGTTTCACCTGGTGTGTAAAACTCCACAATAAAACACAGACTGTCTGGAAACAGTCAGTAAAACCGAGACTTATTTGTGTTTGTTTAATAAATTCTGGGATATACAAATAATGTGTTTAAGACTGCAGAGCATTCAGTCCAACTATCATTATAACTGTTGGCGTGCTCGGGTTTGCTGGTGTTATGATTTTTCTCTCTGTATCAAACAGAATATTTAATATGCCCACAGGCCATCCCAAAGATCTACCAGCAAACTAAAGACAGTCCTGCTATACAGTCCCTGTATGAAACCCATGAATAATGTACACAGTCCTGCAACACATTCATTGTGACAGAGTCTACAGAAGAAACTGCACTGAAAGGAAGGAGGCGTCTTGAAAAGACTGTAGAGCAACAAACTTACCGGGAGAGAAGGGAGCAGCTGAGGTGACTCTGGGAACTGTGAACAAGTAGAACAATATTTTAATACACACAAACACTTCTCGCAGCTGCTTCAGTGATTACAAATAGGCTCAGAAACCAACAGCTTTATGGATTACAGCAGCACAACTGTCTGGACCGCGGACTTTTGCAAAGACTGACACACAAGGACTGAGCGCCGTGGTGTGTGTGTGTGTGTGTGTGTGTGTGTGTGTGTGTGTTTTTGAGAGTGAAAGTGACGGAGAGAGGATAAGGTGGACTACTGCACGCAATGTTTCTGTAAGCTATTAATAGCTTCCTCAGGACACTGCTTTGTCACTTTTTTTTTTTTTAAAGACATTTTTTAAGGCATTTTAGCCTTTAATCGATAGGACAGTCAAGCGTGAAAGGGGGAGAGAGGGAGTGGCATGCAGCAGAGGGCCACAGGCTGGGGTCAAACCCAGGCCGCTGCGTCAACAGCCTTGTACATGGGGCGCCTGCTCTACCCACTAAGCCACCGATGCCCCCTTTGTCACTTTTTGACCCATCTGTCACAACCTTTGATATTTATTCACCAGTGAATTAAAAAAACACAGTAGTCAGAGCAGCGCATGCGAGCACATATTGATTAGGGCTTGGTGATATAACCACTATGTACGAATAATAGATTTATTTTATGGGGCTGAAAGAGATGTGTGATATTTATACTTTATTGGACAAGATCCTTCATTACATACTAGACAGACCTAGCAACCAGCCGGTCCCAGAAATAAATCTCAAATTGCAAGATATCATCAGAGCAGCCGGCAAAAAAAGGGTTGCCTGGGATGGTCAGCGCTTCTCAGTATATCAGAGGTCGTTACAATTACTGATTTCAGACACCTACTCAACAATAAAAAGAAAAACTTGAAGAGAATATATGTGAGTGGTCGCCCAGTATGGACAAAAGAAAACTGTACAACCGCAATCGTCCAACAGTCCCTCTGTATTTTTTTTCATTCATGCAACTTCACTGATGAAAAACTAAAATTAGGAGTATTAAGCGAAACACTTCAGATACAGCTTGTGTCCAAACTAAGATAGTCTTGGCTTTTACACACTTTGACATTTTAAGCAAATGTATTAGAGGCAAGCAGCACTCACGCTCATGATGGTCGTTAATAAAGCTTCAAAAGCAAAATCATTTTTAGAATCCATCACTGATACAGCCTGTGAGAGAGCAGAGGACGCTCTCCCTCCCTCATGTCATTACTTTTCAACTCACTGCAGCTCCCTCAGTGAAACAGCAATACTTGTGCAGAGTCTCAGACAAATTACTACGGGGATAATAAAGGATACATATCGTATCGTATCGTATCGTATCGCCTCGTCAACAGAAGCTAAATATTGTACAAACAGTCGTCTCACATTGGAATAAAAACTGGAACTAAATGGGCTAAAAGATGAAAAACGATGCCCTGATGTAACAGTGGAATTTACCAAACTAGTGCTGTTTAAATGCAAATGTTTGCATGTGCAGATTTCAGAAGATTAAAAAATAATGTTAAGTGACTATTTCAAAGCCTGAATGTGTCCCCTTCTTCATCTCATCAACCAAAAGTACTCGTACAATATTATAGTGTGAATGAGGAAGAAGCTCTTACTGGCTTTGACGCTGAAAGCTTTGACTTCAGTGCCCATGTCGTTGGAAGCGTTGCACAGAGCGCTGATGTCTGAGGTGACTTTGACCGACACCACGCTGTGGGTCACGTGCTCGGTCGCCTTGTTCACCACCTCGTGCCAGATCTGTGGAGACACACACACACACACACACTATAATTTCAGATATAGCAGATCATTACACAGCTCAAACCAGCACCTAAACATATTTGCACCACGCCTCCATATGAATGTAAAAATACAGCAGAGAGCGTTTGAATGGGCGCGGTCTCTGCCTCTCCTCATTCACCATTTACAACCCAAACATCTGTGCCTCCACAGTGTCAAGGCTTCAGTTTGACTCCACTGTGATATCTGCTCACTGCAGTAAAAACGTTGCTCTCATCATCTTCGCGTCGACTCTTCATCAGCATCACCACAAACAAGGCTGCTGTCAGCTGTACATGTACACCACATGATGAGTTAAATCTAATAACCACCTATTGTGGATCGACAGTGCTGTGAGTCAGACAGGATACCTGGCTGCCGATGATGCTCCAGGAGATGCTGGGCAGTGGATGACCCTGAACCTCACAGCTCAGGTTCACCATTCTGCCTGTCGCCTCCTCCAGCTGCACCTCCTGCTCCGCTCCCACCAGCTGAGGACCACCTAGACACACACAAACACACCATGTTGGGTTTACAACGGAGTCCTGCATGGGTTTCCTTTCTTTTTTCTCTGCACTGTGTTCGATAGATTTCTTGGGTTTTATTGGATTATTTTTCACTGACTGCTCAGTGAGCTTCCTGCTGTCATTTACCTTTTGCTGTACTTTTCTGTATAATGTTAGTTTAGTTCTTTTGTCTAGTTTTCTCCCTCTGTTATCTGTTTTTCTCCTTAGGTTGAGGGGAGGTCCATTTGTTTCAGCCTTTGGCTTCTTGACTTCTCCTGACACATTTCACATTTTTTCTTTTTCACTATTTGGACATGTCTGTGCAAATAAAAAACTAAAATAAATCAGACAGATGTCAGCGTGCGAACACTTCACCAAAGCTGATAAAGCACCATTTTGGAGTGTGTGAATCACCACAGACCTGTGGATGAAACTAAATCGAAGAAGTTAACTACAGCGCTTGCTAAATGGGTTGACATCGTGTAAGACTCGGGTCTAAGAGACGTTCTGAAGTTGGCATGTTGCTGTCGGGGGGAACATTAGTCACACATAGAGGACCTGTATGAATCACAGAAAGCGACTACACTGGAACTTCTGAAAAGTGTAAACGCTGCTTGATTTAAGGTTTACTTGCAGCAAGTAAGAAAGCTGTTACCAGGCACTGACTCAAAGTAGACCCCCCAAAAACAGGAACACTGGCTGGAAACTGTCCAAGAAATGATATTGATTGAAAAGTTGACAAACGGTTTGAGAGTTAAAGAGAATACATTTAAAAAGTAACAGAGAAAATTTTACTTTTTTATTAGACATGACACTGAAAGAATGCCTAACTTTAAGACATGTTACTTTATATTTTTTGTATTTTATTGTATTACTTTTATGTCAATGTGTTTGTACTGTTGAGTTTATATATCTGTGAAAACTCAAAAACTTAAGTGGAAAAAAGTGCAAATGCTGTGGCATTAACCGGGCATCATGGGACATCAGTGAGTAATCCAAATGATATCAGTGACTCTGCAGAAAAGAAGACGCAGGTACAAAAACATCAAGATGGATTTGTTTCCTTCAGTTTTTATCGTATCATGTTTGTATATGCTGACTTCAGCCAAACACAAAACAAAACTATTAATATTTGAACTTTTCCTTCACCTGAAATGTCCTTTCCTCAAGAGGCTTAAGTGATGACACTAATTTCATTTAGTGTTTGATGCAGAAGACTCTAGAAAGTGTATATTATTTGGAAGCTTCCCTTGACGTCACATACAAAGACAAGTTGGTGGAGAGGCATTGGGGTTGACTGACCTTGGACGATGATGTGCACAGAGCCACTGGTGTGCAGGGCAGGCAGGGAGGGAACGGTCACCTCACATATGTACTCTCCTGTTGTTTCATAGGAGGCGTCCTTCAGGTGCAGTGTGTTCCCCGAGCCCACCTGCTTTCCATCCTACACACACAAACACAGACAATTAGTGAATGAACAAGGTGATCTTTGACACTGAGAACAGTCAGTGGACCTCTATCAGTTACTGGTGTGGCTCTAGTAAGGACAGCAACGTCAGCTGGTGGAGCATTTATATTATCTTGACCACTACTGCAAAGACGCTTGTGATTCCAAGAGGATGAATTGTACGGAGCTCTGAAGGCGACATGAGGGAGGAAAAAAATAGATGGTGGAGAAAAAAAGATGGGTGAAGAAGGGGATGATACTTTTACACTGTCTGAAAAACTTTTGCATTCTTTGTAAAACTTTTGGGTTCTCATGCAAAACTCAACCTCTATGGATGATAGCCGAGAATAGCAGCAGTGGTGATTAATAAATACTCTCTCAGCCATGGGTGTAGATTTCAGGAAAGTAAAGGAGGACTTTTATGTGTTGGGGAAATTAAAGACATTTACACCACAACTTGATGCAGAAAAGGCACAAACTGTTGCAAAAATCAAGTGTTTGATGCCCAAATTTTATGTGAAACAAAACCTCAGCCCCTGGCCTTGGCGTCACATTACTGGTCTCCGAGCTTTGAAACAGCTTTGCCACCGTAAACATGATAACAAACTCTGCAAACAAAGTTTTGCCTCAGCAAATGTCTGGATAGATCAGGGCGTCACAACATGAACACATTTCAGTACAAATCTGCACCCAAAGACAGATCAAGTATAATGATGAGCAAGAATTCTAATTTATCTCGTCTCGTATATGGTCACATAGTTTGGTGATGTTACATAACAGCGTTTGCACTGCAGAGTGTTTCAGGGATAAAACAGATGCTAAGTTTGCTAAAAAAGAAAGATGGAAAGCCCTGGTAATTGGATGTCTCCTTGATAAAAAAGCAGAATATTGAGTTATAACCGACCAGTCTGATGTGAAGAGGTCTGTTTGTTTATACTGTCGCAGCCTGGTGTCGTTTTAAGGGGATTTAATGAAGGTGAAGAGTGAGATAACGGCCATGCGTCAGTCAGAACGGCACCAATACCCGCAAACACCAGTTCCAGTTCAATAATATACATAAATGTCAGCATCAGTGTTAATTTTGGAGACGAAAATTTTAAACAAGACAATGACGAGCTAAAAAAGGTCTTGATAATAAAAACAAAGACAAAATCTATGCTTCATTTTTGTTGACGAGACGAGACACCAAGAAAATGTTGGTAGTGGACTATCGGACATTGAAAGTCGAGAACGGCTGTGCTTGTAATCATCATTTCTTTTCTAACGTTTTTTTAAATGAAGAAGACTGTAGGTTACCAGAGTTCATCTTTGTGGATATGATCATGTACAAGGTGAGATACATCAGAATGACGGCTATCATACTCCATCTGTCTCTGGGTGCAGATTTGTGTTGATATATGTTCATGTGGTGACGCCCTGGACCATCCAGACATTTCCTGAGGTAAAGATTTCTGTTTGCAGTGCTCGTTATCACGTTTAAGGGTGCCAGAGATGTGCCAGAGCTGTGAGACCAGTAATGTGACAGACTGAGAGAGTATCTAATAATTACCGTACCCACTGATCTAGAGTATTCACGTTTACCAAGCCGTCTGCACGAGCATGGAGACTTAAAATTTCTCAGGACAATGCTAAAGTATGTTTTTTTCTCCCCCATGTCCCCTTATGGCCCCCGGAGAACTGTCATAACATAGGTGATATTTAATCAGGTAAAACCTTAAAGTCCTCCAGCATTTAAGGTTGAAGTCTAAATACCTTCAAAACTAATACCCCACTCGTGAACTTGGAAGCTTTTAGGTGTCTTAAAAAGGCGGTTGCTAACAAGTGGCTAAATAAGACAACAGCACGTCATCACACCAACCCGTGCTGAACACAGCTTTACTTTGACCTAATAGGTCCCCTTTAATCTAGTCTGACGTCTAACGTACCTTGTACCAAACAGTGGATGTTTTCAGGGAGGACAGAGCGTTGCAGGTTGCAGTCAGATCTTCTCCTTTGAGCATAACCTCTGAGTCTTTAGGTACAACTACAGCCGGGTCCAAGTCTGAACACAACCAACATGGACAAATCAAGACACAGGAAATACCAGGTTTGGAGAAATGAACTCGGTGGTTACAGAAACACGTCTTTCTATGCTCACTTGCTTTGTTTTTTGTGTTTGAGACAAGATGATTGATATTAATCTGATGTCTAGTAGCCTCCAGAGCTGGAGTCAGAATATGGTTAGCATAGCTTAGCATAAAGACTGGAGACAGCCTGGTTCACCAACATGTTATGTTATACACACACTTGTGCTTATGTTTTTCTGTGTGTGTGTATGCTTGTGTGGTCGTTCCTCACAGTGCACGGTGAGTTGCATTTCCCCTTTGACGTCGGTGTAGCCGTCAGAGTCCAGGGGGCGACACTGATAGATGCCGCTGTCTTTCCGTGACACTGGTGACAGCATCAATACATCGCCGCTGCTCTCCAAGTCCACATCTGGTTCCTGCGACAGATACTCTCATTGGTAAACGAAATCGGAGTTGTGATCATGTGACAGTCACAACAGAAACTGAGGTATGTTGTGAGACACATTGCATTTGAAATTAGCGTCACAGAATTTTGTCTTACAGGGAACAGTTGTGGACTTTATCATGACAGTCAGTACCTTTACATGACATCAGAGAAAATCAATTTATCGTGTTAGTCCGACTGAAATCGTACCGAAACCAATTTCTCAAAGTGGGACTAACACACCCAGATAATGTGACTCCTGCATGTATACAGTCAATCAGACCCAAACTGGCCGAGGCGCTCTGAGCATGCTCTACAGTTTCCGCCCCGGGCTTTGACCCGAAGTCCAGTAGCATTAAATGTGTAACAAAAGAGGAAGCCGGTAACAACATGGAGAAATTTACATCCAGAGCCGTAACTTTTTGGACAGACAAGGAGACACAGTTCATGCTGTATCAGTACCAGTTTGCCGTTGACTAACCGTAGCTAACGTGTTTGATGATTGTTTGGTCTGTGATGTAATAGGTCAGCCGGAAAAAGGTCCAATACTAACAAGCTGAAAGGGGGCATATCTCCACCTATCATAGAGGAGTCGGACATACTTGGGTCAATAAATGGATTCCCCTCTCACGCTTGTATACTGGGACAAGGACAGTAGTCCAGTTAAATGTCCTAGTCAAGCTGTAACTGTGCATGTAAACATACTGAGTGAAAAGATGACTGAAGTCCTTTAGTTTATTCTGCGTAAAGAGAGTTGTCAGAGGTCGATGTAGGTTAGAGAACATTTTTCTTTTTTTTTTCACAATCCGGATCTTCTTTTATTGGCATCGGCCATCATGCTCACACTTTACTGACTCTCATGCCTGAGATCTGGAGACAGCTGCTACAAAGGCAGCCACAATTTACACTGGAGTCCATTAGGGTGAGAAACACAAGTGCTGAGATCATTTAAACAAATCCTAACTGTTTAACTGTAACATCCAAACCTACTGAGAAGAAAGTCAAAATGAAAGCACACAAAAATGTCTGTTACATTGTTCAGTGTACTTGTGTACAACTATGGTGACAAGTTTTAGTTTCACAGCTGAAAGACAAACGTTGATCTAATGAACATGAACAATTAACAGTTTGATTAATAACATTATCAGTATTTCTGTAGGTTTCATGTCGACTGGTCCATCCAGCAGTATGTCTTGATGACCATAAAGAAGGGGCAGTAAAGATTGTGTAACAAAAAAACACCTGGTTTACATGCATCCAACCCTTGTGTTTTCTAGTGTGTAATGAGCCCGACACACTGACAGACCTTTGTCTGGTTAAATCAACGTCTGGCGTAGTCATTTGTTTCTGGATCTTTTACATTTTGTGAGTGAGTAAAATATTGTGACTTAGACAGAAAATTTTAAATAAGACCTAGACTGTAAAAAACAACAACATAGAATTAACGCCTCATGGTTGCACTATGTCTAACCAATCAAGTTGCAGATACAGTTTACATCCATGTCTGTGAAAACGTGGATGCTCTCAGTCAACTGAGTCTCTGATTAACCATTCAAATCTTCGACTTTCAAGCGGCAGGCTGTCATTGTTGTCCTGTTGGCTGTGAGATTGATCACTGCAGATTACATCGGGACAGAATACACAGTTTGCAACACAATATGTTGCGATTTGAAACTGTAGGGGCGCTAAATCACAAATATATTAATTCTTCCATCCATCATGTTGCTTTAAAGACATTTTAAAGTATTTCAAAAAATTGAGTTTTTGATTAATTAAAATAATAGTCAGATTAATCACCTATGAGAATAAATAAATATTTGGGCTGCTCCTCAACCAAGAATTTTTTTCGTCGACCAACTGTCATCATTACGGTCCATCAGTCGACTAGTCTCCTACGATATTTACGATATGAATATAATGATTAAATGGTATATTTTGGTGGTTTGAGTTGAAGGTGTGAGAAAGAATAGTATCAGTAACATTGTTAACACTGTGCTACATTACAGAGAAATACAAAAGCTTACTAATGAACCTTCATTAATATAGGCCTATATTTTATCTACAAGTGCACGTCACACACTGAGTTAATGACGCTGTGGGCTAATGGGCATGTAGCTACTTCCATGTTTCAGATGATACGTCATGTTTGTAGTCGACCAATGAAGATGAGTTTATATATCACCTTGGGTTCATCCTTCACCTTCTCAAAATGATCCCACACTTTGGATTTCCTGCCCAACATGTTATCAACAAGGAGCAGTTCCTCATGGAGTTTCAGGTTTGTTTGTTTGTTTGTTTTTCCTGCGACTAAGTGACCAATGAAATCTTGCTGACTGATGGTTGACTAACGTTTGGTTGACAATTAGGGGGCAGGCTAAATGAATATGAATGGTTAAAATCAAGCATATCTCCAACCTAAGACATGGTTATAAATACCACTAACCAAATGCCCCTGACTGCCTAGTTAGTAAAAGTTAAAACTGCAGTCAGCTGAGTGTCTGTATTGTCCACACATACAATGTATGTGTGTCTGACATGGGAATGAGTCTTACCCATGAGCCCTGTCAGCGTGGCCTCTGGTCTCAGACCCCGGCCTGGATCTGCAGGGTCAGAGCTGCACACTCATGTCTACACAGGGGCCCTGTGAGCTCTGCATATCAAAAACATTCCCAACATGTCTCCTGTGTGTCACCCATTCTCTCTCTTGGGGACTTTTAGGGTGAGAAAATGCCTCCTATTCTTACTTGTTCTCTGTTGAAAATGAAGGGCGGCGGGGGGTTGCCATCACCCTGGCAACGCAGCTCCACAGTATCCCCCTCTTTGACCAAGCCCTGGGGCGACTCCTTCCACAGCTCCACCATGGTGGTGGGGTCTGCGCACACACACACACACACACACACACACACATACAAAATCAAATTAAGCAGGCTTATTCAGCGAGCTGCTAAAGTCACTTTACAAGGCCATTTCCATAACGCTGACAGCACAGACTGTGTTTGGCTCTGCCTGCCACAGTATCACTAATAAACTGTTTCAAACAATGGACCAGCAGACAAATAATGTGTCTGTTAAATACATGATTGACAATTACAAGATTTAAAATATGTGTTGCAGCAATTTAATATCGAGACAGTTTAAAAAGAATGGTTAAAATCAAAGCAGCTGTGGCTGACATATCCAGACTTTTAATCTCTGTTGTGGGTCAAGCTCTAAAAATAATGGACTGACATCAGAGATTTTTTTAACTTTGGAAAGTTTCCGACAAGCTTTTCTTTTTACAGGCTTTTTACAACTAAACTGAACTTCATGGGTAATAATCCACAGACCTTGTTGTGAGCAGTTTCATGTAGGGACTATTTTCTCTCCACCAAACTACATCTGCCAACCTTATGATTTGGAAGCTTGCATCTACTGTTTGCTCGCCTAGCACTACTGAGCTTGCTAACGTTACAGCCCAGCAGAGGAAGACACAAATTTGTGAATCCTCAGCTTGCAAAGGCATGACCTGCCCTACTCTCCCCATGATTGGCTAGTGCTCATTGGCTTCATTGGTTGGATTTGTTAGGTGTAGGCAAGAGGAGTGGGATTGGTTAGGGTACGAATGTCAGAGTTAGCAAATCAGGGGCAGAGTAATATAGGCCATTCCTTCGCTATCCTAGGATTCGCAGCTTCTGAGGAGGACGCTCTTGATGTTTACATCCAGGGCTGGAACTAGTATATTTGGCACCCAAGGCAAGACCTCCACCCAAAAAAACCCTCTCTCTTAAGGCCTTGACGCACCAAGCCGACAGTCGGCCGTCAGTCAAAGTTGGGCTGTTGGTGAGATTTTTCCGCCCTTGTTATTGTGGTCATTTCTGCACTGACAAGCATGTTGAATTGGCGTCCCCATAGCAAAGCCCGTCAGCGAATTAAATCACTTTGATTGTCAGCTCAGTGCACGAGAAGACAAACACAAATGAGGAAAGTAAACAAACAGCTGAAGTCGAGAGGGAGTGAGATGAAAACTTGTTACATAAGGTCAGATTATTTTTCTTTATCCACTGAGCTCTTTAGCAGAAATATTTCCTGATGGTTTGTGTTATTGTCCACTGGTGGATGGTAAATATGCTCTGTCCTTTTAACACTGGCTTGTGTTGTTAATGTGCTAACTAGCTAACGAGCATCATAACGACCCTCCGGCGTCCCTTTCTGAATGAAAATTGCAGACTACCACAATGTGCTTGTGTTGAGGGGTATGTCCGCGCACACAGGCACAGAACATATATGCTTGTTGACCATCGGTTTGGTGTGTTCATGTGCAACTTTTTGGCCAAGACACGGCGACAAGAGGCAAAGCAGCAGGGGGTTCCCATTGCTGCTAGTTCTACAATGTTGCTCTGGTGTGTCTGGGCCTTTAAAAGAATACTTCACCAATTTTCAACCAGCTTTGTATCAAAACAATTTGGGTAGTATGTATAAATGAACTGTGGTAAACTTCCCTCCATCTAACCAGTGCCTAGATATCCCCCCTCCCTATTCACTCACTGATGGCAACATTAAGGTGAACTGCATTGCCAGGACTAGAGGTGGTACCCCTTCTACAGATCGACCAACAGTTAGAACTAGATCTTTGAATCTCTTTTCCCTCATGTTGGTGCCCTAGGCTGCTGCCTATAGGAAGTGCCGAACCTGTTTATGTCTTGTGTGTCACGAGCATGAGCCTCTCGTCCATGGATAGATGCACACCTTCTTTTGTGCAGTGATGCTGTTAGTGGATGTAGCTCGCTAGAAAGAAAACAGTTCCTAAATCAACCTGCTCACAACAAGGTCTGTGGATTATTCTCAGTGACCAGGTCAAGATTTCTGGAAAGACACACAGCTGTTGAGTTCTTCAAATGTATTTTTGGTGCTTTGAGCAACACAAGTCGAATTCGAGCTAGTTCTATTATACTGGAGAGAAGGCAGAAATCTCTAAGGCCAATTTCTCCAACACTCAGCACCTCACAACAAAACAATCTAGACTGATAAATAGCTCTACGGGTGAGAGAAAAATATGTATTTCTGACTTTGTAGTGAACTGTCCCTTTAAGAAGAAAGGGAATGACATAACCTCAAAGCTTTAATACTGCAGACATGGACATGAACCATGAGGAACCAGGCAGTGCCAATTTTCCTCCATAACTACAAGGCCCTTGGCTTCAGTTTGAGCTCCCTACAGAAAAGAAAGCAAAATCCATGTGTAACTAAAAACCTGAGTGCTGGCCGTAACTTCATCTGGCCCACTTGGCCTCAAAGCAGAGAAAACACTGAACTGAACAAGCTGAGGTAGGGTGTCCCGAAGATGGAAAAGCTTTGCAGCAATTATTTTACCTCCATCCAGGGACTATTACTGTCAACAACTGATGTGATACAAATACCACCTATCGTCAGTAGTTGATCAGATCACTCATCAGCCAGACCTATGTGACAGAAGTACAAAAAGCCTCAGCGTTAACTCACAGTGAATAGTGACGTTGATGCTGTTGGACTCCACTGTCCTGATGGCTCCGGGGACGAAGAAGCTGACCTCACAGGAGAAATGGGCATCCTTGTCCTCCTTAGCCACTTTGTACTCCAGCGTACTCTGGACAGAGTAGAAGCCGCTGGACTCCCGGGTCACCAGGATCAACACGTTCACATCTAGAGACAAGACAGTATAGATCTGTAACAATTGACCAGAACCAATTTTCACACATCAGGGTCCCAAATATGTGATGAGAAGTGTCTTCTTCTGTCTTCTGTGTGGTCGCTCAGTGGTGGAACTGGTTATAGAAATTTGATTTGTAGACATAACTGTTGTGAGAGCAGTTACTCAAATGTCACTTGCTATGTGCCTGTATGTTAATTCAAGCTCCTGCAGCCTTGGTGTATTTGTAGAATAATTGGGGCACTTATTCTTGATTTACTGTGGCTTGGATTGTGCCTTGTATGTAAGTCACTTTGGATTAAAGTGTCTGCCAAATGGATAAATGTAAATGTGAAGGAACACAAGGGACAAGAATAAGAGTCTTTGCAGCTCTGTGAGACCAAACATCAGCCTGCTAACATGCTTACTAGGGGTGTAACAATATCCGTATTAGTGCTGAACTGTTAGGTATGAGGCTTTTGGTTTGAATGCATTACGAACAAAACGATGCACTGAACTATCCTAATTAGGGCATTAACGACTTTGATTTTTTTCAGGTCGACTTATCTGTCAGTAAAGTCGAAGTCGAGCCGACAAGTCATTTGATGACGTCATCACATTGACATGGCGGAGGAAAGTGAAGCGTCTCCACATATGTGATGTGTGTCTGTCAAGGCCCGAACATACTCGGGCGGAACGTATGCGGAACGGACTCTGCGGAGGTCCGCGCGGACTCAACGTGGACGTCCGCAAGCCCTGTGCGTGCAAAGCTCAGATTTTACGACCGTGCGGACTCCACTCCGCGCACCAGTGACTGCTCAGCATGTATTTTTCACATCGCGGGGATTTTTCACGGACATTTTTACAGGAAACTACAACGCGGAAGTGCGCTTGACTATGAAAGCCCGAATGACTGGAGTCTGCTCCGCTTACAGTACGCCCGAGTATGTTCAAGGATAAAGTATCAGTGTAAGCCAATCAGAGGCAGCGATTGCATTCCGTACACAAGCACACAGAGAGAGAGAGAGAGAGGGAAAAAACACACAACTTGTCGACTCCTCCCGGGGGTGTCGACTTGTGCCACTGACGTCGACACGTCGACAAATCGACATTTCTGTTAACGCCCTAATCCTAATACATTCGGAAAGCAATATATTCAGCTTAAACTGTGTTTAATATGATGTTCTCAACAAGCTAGTTACACTGGGAGGCAGCTATGCTAAGCTAGCTCCTTAAGATGGTTAGTAAGATGGCAGTGGCCGATGTTTTTCTGTTGTGTCACATCAGTTTTGCAGGCTAAAAGTAGGGCCCCAGACTTATGGTCGCAAACTCAGATTAATGAGCTGTTACAAGAAGAAACAATGACTGTTTGGTAATGGTGCTCTGTGATGTCACTGTTGTGTGATTGGCGTCCCAATAAAATGTGTTTTGGACAAACAGAGATCTTCCCCAGGGATGAAAGGACACAGTAAACCCATTGTTGTTGCATCAGAGGATGCACCTTATTGTTTGTCTGATAATGTGACACTCAGTGCGTTTACATGCAGCTTGAGAAAATCAAATTATTGGTTTAGTCCGACTGAAACCGGACTTTTAAATGCATGTACACAGCTTAGTCCGACTGAAATTGGACTATCCGTGGCTCGACTAACACACCCACATAATCCTATTGAAAATTGAACTACTGCTGCATCTATCGACTTAGTCCGACTGGAGTCGGACTCGGCGTTCAGCGCATGCACCGCTTTTTCTTTTGCGGGCTTTCACCAGGAAGAAGACGGAGATGATGTAGCAGCAGTGTAGTAACTCCCGGAAAAACAAACAAACAAACAAACACCATGCCTACCGAGAAGCAGGAGACGCACTTCTGGACGGATGAGGAAAATACATTAATGCTCCGCCATCTTCATTCGTCGTTAGCTTCCTCTTTGGGTCAACTGAAACTAGTTCAATACGTACTATATTAAAAAGGACACAGCGCAGCCTATCGAGCCGGAGTCAGACGGACTTGGTCAGAAATTCGATTTTCTCTCCTGCATGTACACTCAGACAAGACAAGAAGTCTGACTTGACTGATTAGCTGAGCTATTAGCTTAGCTCGACTAGTGCATGCATGTAAATGTACTGACTGTGACCAACAGATCCCGGTTAAAATCAGGAGGAGAGCTAGGCAACTCTGTGGTGTTACAGGCAGACCCTCTGAGACACACACAATGGTCCATCTACTGTTTGCACTTACGTCCAGGTGCCGACATCAGCGGCATGCTGTTCCTGTACCAGGTGATGTTGGGTTTAGGAAAGCCGTTCCGAGCTTCACATGATGCGACCTGGATGGAGAGTCACAGATGACAAATCTTTTATTATCTTGAAGTTCAGCAGTCTACAAATACTCAGAAAGACAGAGATTTCATTATCTGATGTATATTTAACATGTTAATCCTAAAGACAACAGTGTCTACGATTAGGTGGACCCACCTTAGACGGCACCTCATTGGTCACAGATATCCCAGTAAGGACACCCTCTATCACTGGAGCCTCTGGAGGAGCTGAATCCGGAAAATAATCATTTCATCATGAAACATTAAGACTTTACAACAAGCTGTTCTGTCTATGACTGAGAAAATGTTTTCTGAGTTTCCTTACCAAACACCCTGAGGTGGGTCTTGCCTTCAGCGTTCCCGGCGGCCAGCCCATTAACCTGGCAGAAGAATTCCCTCTCGTCATACAGCTGGACATCTTGGATGATGAGTTGAGTTCCCTGCTGGTCTGAAGCCACCTCGATGCGTCCGGTGTAGTCCGTGTTGTTGTCCACCATCTGCTGACTGCCATCACCATAGAAGATCCGCATCCGGGAGCTGTTGCCCACAGATTTCTGCACAAGGACACGCAGTCAGGACACAATTTTACTTGACTCTGACATCTTGGATAGACAGTAGTTCAAGGTTAAATCACTGGAAACCTTTTGCTTGTGTATTTGGTAGATACTGTCGAGCTATGTGTGCAGGTATGATGCATAAAACAACTGCTAATTATCATACTAACTTCAGCCTGGTGTCCGATTAGCAGAGCAGTGATGATTTTTGCCTCTTAGATCCACACGACTGGAGCCGTGTTTATATTAAAGTCATAGTTGGTAACATTTTTATCCTGACAGTAGTACATGAGGCACTTAATCTGTGAAAAAATCATGCTCCTCTGTCTCCTCATGGTGCTTCAAATTAAAGGTGCTGTATGTAAGAATGTGGCCAAATGTACTGGGGACACTGCTAATGCTGCTTGCCGTGCTGCTGTAGCTCAGTCGTAACTGTAACTGATGCTGAGACTCTACTGACTGCGTGACTGGTAGACGGCGGTGGGTGGCGCAACAGGCCAAAACACAAATTCAAAACATAAACATGATTTGCAACTGCAAAAATATTTTTTAGATGAAAATATTCTGGCTGTACTATTGTTGTCGGTGAGATCAGTATGTTATATGAACATTATTCCTTAGTCTCTGTGACATATTAGGAGGATTTTACGACTATTTGCTTTAAATTTCTTACATATAGCTCCTTTAAGTTTCTAAGCAGTGAATCATGTCAATTACTGCACATGAACTGTGGTCAAACTGTCGAACTAGGCAGCACTGATCAAATATGAATCAAGATTCTGTTTACTGCATTGCCTGTTTCTCACTTAAAATGTTTTCAGAAACATGTTTCAGTGTACTCAGTAGCTGTAAAGTTTGCTCCGAGCTGGTGGGCGGTGTTTTGTTTCAGCTCGGCTGTTTTCAACATGGCGGCCAGGTCAAAAACAACCTCACTGTACAGCCTACTATAACAATAAAATATGTTTCTGAAAACATTTTTAGTGACTAGTTTGACAGTTTGACTGCAGTTAATGCGCCATGATTAACAGCTGGTTCACATTCAACCTCAGAATGTTGTGCAGCATTTTGCTACAATTTCCAGGTTGAACAACATGTTTCTTTAAGACCATATGAAACGGTGTGCAACAGGCTCTGAGGTTTGTCAGAGGTGTTATCCAATCAGCAGCAACATCTATATAAATAAAAATCTAGTAGATCTCTCGTACTTATTGTGCGTACTTTTTTTTTTAAATTTCACACTTGTTTTGGAAATGTAAATATATGTATGCCACGCCCACAAAGCTGCTTTGAACTGAATTAAATGAAACCACACAGTTCTAATAGGGAGTGCACCTGCATAACACAGCAGCGTGTTCGACGCACCACAGTTTTTGTTTAGAATGACCTGTGATTGACTTTAGATTTTCTAAAGTCTGAAACAGAGCCAAGTGGAGGTGCAGAGGTGTCGTGTTCTTTCAGATCACTTGAATAACAATACACTCAAAGTTTATAGTGGGATTTTGCCCATGAAGAGAAAATTAAACTGCCTACCACTGCTTTAAGTGATCTTTTGAAATGACGCAAAAAAAAAAAAGTGAATCAGATGTGTTTCCATCAACTGGTTTGGAGTACATAAATTAGGCACTGCAAAGCATACTTTCATCAGAAGTTTGGGGTATAAGCTACGCTTTACACATGACTGTGATCCACTACTAAACAGTAGAAGCAGAGTAGAAGAAGTAGAGGATGCAAACTGGAAACAAAACAAGTCACCTTGGACATCTAACACAGCTACGGAAGAAACTGAGAAAAATGTCTTTAGAAATTTCTTTAATCTAAATAAGTACTAATCGTTCTTTCAAGTCAGCTTCTGTCGGCCGTGTTTCACGCTGTCCAGAGATGAAGACAAATTAATGTTAATGATTCTAATTCAAGGGGAGACACCAACAGAGGTCAACGTTCGCTAGGTCAGAATTTATGCACAAACCACCTCAAGAGAGCGTAAAAACTAGAGGTCAATCGATTCATCGGTTTGGCCAATTGATCAGCACAGATAGGACTGCATATAAACTGTCATTAATAGGGCTCAAAAGGGCACGTGACTTTGCAATGCATTGTGTGTAACCAGCGCCATTTTTACGGGCAAATTGTTTTGTTTACTTCGCGTTGCGCCGGGAGAGAGACGTGAAGCGAGAGATTTAAATGGACCGGGCAAAGGAAAAGTGTGTCGGACGGTACCGAGACAAGCTGGACCCTGTTCCAAAGGCTCGGTACCTTGACAAAATCCAGAAAATAGGTGGAGTGGATCTGTATGAGCACGGAGACTGGACTCGGGATTTAAAAGCTCTGCCACCGTTGACTGAAGCTGAGCTTGTCCTCTATCTCGTCAACAGTATAAGTTATTATACCGGCAACGAATTTAGGAATGCCAAATCTTTAAGGGTTCATGGGCAAGCAAACTTTGGGTGGGTGCAGGACCTCCGAATTTTACGCCTTAAAGAGAAGACTGTCGTCATTTCAGAGGTATGTAAACTTTACAAGCCTCACTGTGTCCCACCTCCGTGTGGTGCTGCCTGTTTGCTTGCTCAGGTTTTGACTAACATATCTTGGTGTCTGCTGGACCAATTTATTTCAAACAAAAAGTATTTTGAAGCATGAAATCCACTCTACATTTATGTGGTAAATATGTATGGGCTTCTCGGTTATTTATTTCAGAATTAGGGCATTTTCACACCATAAATCTCTAACTCTCCATCGTCATACATGGGTTGGCACAACATGGAGTTCATCTTTATTTTTAACTTTCACTTCTTAACCGCAATGTAGGACAAGTTTACTCCTGTGGAGACAACTTGTTTTTTGTTTCTTGTTCTTTCTTGTTTTTTTGAAACAGTGTTTTTAGTGACATCAAGATGTGTACTTTTTTTTTCTTTTTTTAAAAACGGGATTAAAAGTCCTGACTGCACAACTGTGTTAGATTTGTCCCTAGGTCTATTTCAGTTTTTGCTATCAAGATATATCACATTATATAGCCCATCAATCTTCTTCCCGTAGTGATCGTGAGAACGATTGTGGCAGTTAATGACACAGCAAGTCTGCACCATTTTCAAACGATATAGTTACTTTTAAAATGCTAAAACAACAACAACAGAACACAAGCGTAGCGTCGCGAAACGTAAACAACTTTCCAATTGCCTGCAAAGCCCACAATGCATTGCGGTTTTTCCACTTCCGCTACGTCACCCTTTTGAGCCCTATGGCGGACCAAGGCTCCAATAGTGGCCGACAGCTGTAACCTCCACTTTGCACATTTGATGAAGTTTTGCTGAATTTAGCTGTTTCAATACAGCTTTTCCAATGCAAAACTTAAAGAAAAAAAAAACAGTATAAAAATAGGTTTATGGTTTATGGTCTGTGTCTGATTGCACCATCCGTCTCTACTTCTCCCAACTTCTACAATGTAAGAAGGGTTTTCTTCCCCAGACGTTCTCGCGTGCTGCTCGGATTCATTTCTGCAAAGCAAACAAAGCTGCTGAGCTGAATCAGACAGATATTTATTTTCTGTCCACTCTGCCTGCCAGTCACTAACTCACCTGTCACTCACAGTCATACCAGCAGCTGCCCTTGTCATGGTGCTGAGCCGAGCCCGACAACAGTGGGTTTCACTCTGACCGGACACATTCTAGTTCTTGCAGTTCTATTATTTACTCCATCCTATCGGCACAAAAAATCTATAGTCCTGGTTGTGTTGCAAAGTTGTGTAGCCCAACATGGGCTCTGATCCATATCACCTGCTGACCGTGGGTCAAAGCTGCCAAACAGGAAGTGAGAGCTTCCAATGGGTTTAATGGTAGAGGGACTATACCATTTTGTGGTAACAGATAAGGAACAAATAACTTTTGTTTGCTTTTTACATTATGAAGAAATAACATTGTTTGCTAGCTTGATGCTAATGGCAGTACTCAGAGGGTTGATAAAGTGCCTCTGCTGTTTCACACCATCATTTTTCCCTTTTACTCTGTGTGGTAACGTAATTAGAGCAAATATCTAAAACCTTGGGCTGTTGTTGTCGTACAGTTTCCACGGCAGCAGATCGCTCTGTGTTCCTATTGGTCAAAGTGACGGCTGTGACAGAAGCAGTCATGAACGACAAAAAGAAAATCAAACGTGCTAGACTTTCTGTTGGAACATCATGAGGTGTCCCAGATGTGGCGTCGGTTGTCGTCTGCTATGACACACTACATGAAATGAAACGATGGATTATCGCGTATGACACTCATTGTTGTTCACGATCCATGCCAACACCGTACATCGCTGCATCGGGCTCAAATCAGGCTGATATTGTGTAGTGTGTACCAGGCATAACAGAAAGTATGAAAATAAGAAGTATGCAAAAAAATATATAAAGATTACAGATATGTGCATTATGCTACAATATTTAACACTAGTATGAAAAGTATTTTGAAAATACAAAAAATATGCATATTATGCTACGTATGCAGATTGTAAGAACGTAAAATTATGTGCATTTTGCTAAAATGTATGAAAAGTTTTTATAAATATAAAATTGTGTATTTGATACAACTGTTCACCTTTGCTCTGTCATTATGACCCATAATTAATAAGTTAATAAAATCTAAAATAAAATCTATTTTTTCCAGAGCATAACAAACATCCAGGTTTATGTGAAATTTTATTTTTTATATATTTTTTCATTATTTGTGTGTCACTTAATTTTGTCCTTCATAACAGATTTTTTGTAGGTGCCTTTATCCTCTTATTTTATTTAATTTGACAATTTATATTTGTTTATTTTAATTTGTTGTCCACTGGAAAGAAAAATCCAGACACACTAATCTGATTTAAAAGTGAAATAAAAGTCTGACGCTACAACTAGAAACAGATCTTGGGGCCCCTGAATATGACTGAAATTACTGGCTTTAAGGGGGCAGCCCTGCTCCACACGTGCGGTTGGATAGTTCCTGACAGGCAGTGTCAGTTTTCGAAACGGGTCCAGCACTACTCACCACAAACCACTGGATCATGACAAAGCTGGGCTCGTTGTTGGCGTCAGTGAAGCTGTACTGGCAGGGGATCTGAGCCGAGTCACCCAGGTACACCTCAACACTCTCATGCATAGTCAGCTCCACCTTGGCCCACGCTGAAAAACACACAGACAGACATGCACATAAATCAGCGTCATGCTTCCTGCAGGTACTGCGCCACAGCCTCATTATTATTCATGACCCAATTAAAGCTATAAAACAGTATTAAAATCAACATTAAAATATGACACTTCACTGTGACCGTGTTCTCCGTTACCTACACCGAATTCTAATTTTGACCCTGAACCCTAATGTAATTCTACACTGCATTGTGTTTGGCAGATGACTGACAGTCTTCTCAGGCCAACCTGGAGCCAGTCTGCCATGTTAGCAGAACAAAGAAGAAAAGGCTTCTTGTCCACATGGCATAATTTTCATCTCCCTTCTGCCTGGCTGACTGTAACCACAAAACCACATCTTGGCCAGAAAACCAGTTCCCCAGGCATCATCGAGAGAATGCAGGCATGAGAAGGCCAGCCAGTTTGACACTGGGCTGTTGACTCAGAGAGCCAACTGCTTTTTCAGCCATTTTGGACTTGGCTGCGGTTAACTGGGGGGGCAGCTCACACAGTGACAAAGAAGAACAAGATGGCACAGCAAGTCTGTTTTCTCAGTTTAATCTGGGTTGGAGTTGTCATGTAGGATGATAAAGGATACTTCCCCTCGTCTCCCTCTCACACTGTCAGGTGTCACAGCGGGATGCTAACTCGTGTTGTCATTGACTGTTTCCCTCACACTTGTCTGCAGGACTTTTGTTCAAAAGTAAAGAAAAAAAATCAGAACAGAGACTGTTGCCTCCTCTGTCGATGACTTATCTCAGTATGACTGTTGTGTATCTCTTACCGTGCAACATGGGTCTGTATGTCACATCAGTCTGTGTAATGAATAAAATTACAGCAATAATATCTGTGCATACAGCTTTGTGCTGCCTATGTGTGAGATAGAGCCACTGGTTTGTCTGAGGCGAAGTGACAGTGCAACACTGTTCTACTTGGTGGTTGCAGTCTGCTGAGTGATGTGAGACAGCACCTGGATGCAGGCGACAATGTGTTTACAAACACATCCGGCTGCAGTTCAAAGACCGAGACACACCAAGCTGACGGTCAGCTGTTGGTCAATGTCTTCTTTTTTGGCCAATTTAGCATTTTCAAACAGCAACGACAGAACAGTAAGTGAATGAAATCATGAAATACATCTGATTGTCAGTTCAGCTCAGCGCAAGAGAAGAGAAACAGAAGTGAGGAAAGTAAACAAAAAGCTTAAGTCAAGAGGATGTGAAAATGAACTTGTTATATGAGGTAAGATTATTTTTCTTTATCCAGTGAACTCTTTAGCAGAAACAAGAAAGTCCTCAGGTTTCCCTTTTTGAATGACAATTACAGACTACAACCCTCTGCTGGTGTGAAGAGTTATTTCCACTCACGCAGGCGCAGAACGTATGTGCTGGTTGGCCGTTGGCTGTGTTCTTCATGGTGTGTTCATGTGCAACCTTTGTTGTTGCTAGTTCACTGAAGTCGAATTGGTGTGTCTGGGCCTTAAAGCTACATCAGCTGCTATTAGCTTGAACATTCCCAGGTCTCTGACCAAACTGCTGGCAAGTGTAGTTGCACTGTGGGTAATGTAGACGGCAGGTTTTGACAAAGAAGGAAAAAAATGACATGTCTGGTTCTGTTCAACAATTTGGATCTTTTTTTTTTTTTCATTTCCCAACAGAGTACTCTTTTAGGGTGCTTTCACACCTGCCCCGTTTGGTTCGGTTCAATCGAACTCAAGTTTGTTTGCCCCCTCAGTGCAGTTCGTTTGAGCAGGTGTGAACACAGCAATCACAACAAAACAACTGGACTGAGACCTTCTTGAAGAGGTGGTCTCGGTCTGGTTACAAATGAACTCTGGTGCGGTTGGTTTGTGGTGAGAACGTGTTCCGACCTGGATCTGAACCAACTGCAGTCACATGACACATTGTTTGGGTTAAACATGAGCATGTTACAGTCCTGGAGGATTATTAATGTGCACCTCCTCCTGTACTGCCTTAATATGCACATTCAGCACATCCAATGCATCAAAACATTGTTTTCTAGTTGGAGCCGCGCCTCATTTTCAAACTGTATGGTTTGACTAAAATGAACAATGACAGCAATATAGTCCATGATGAACAGCACTAAAATCAGCCTGCGTAGTTGTCCCTCCATTGTGACATTAGAAAGTGTCACATTTATCTTGCAAGTGTACTCTTCTTCAACGTTTGCTTTACTCTCTGGATTTTTCCTACATGGAAATTCTGACCAATCAAGAGCAGCTCTCTCGCACAAGGCATTTGATCTGGTCTGCTTGTAAATGCTGCCGTGAGAACATGAAACAACTCTAGGCAATTATACAACTTTGGAATAAAATTAGTCCCTGATTCAGACCAAAGGAGATGACTCTGCTCAGTTACTTTCTGCCACAGAACACTAGAGGAAGAAGAGCAAGCTTTATGGTGTTAATGCAGAACTGTTCATGAATGTGGGCCAAATTTAGTTGCACTGTGAGGCTGTATTGTCAATGAAAACATAAATTTAGTGTGACAAGACACTGAGGGGCAAAAAACAAACAAACGTGGGAAATCCCAGTTTTTGTTTTGTACTGTGTCAGGATTTTCAAAAAATAAAGGAAAAACCATTAATGTGGGCAAGACCTCAGTGTCCTCATATGTGTTTTCAGCATTGGTTGAAACAGACCAAGCATGAAAAGAGCTTTAAGAGTCCAGTTGCCACCCTGCTGCCCCCATTCAGCCTTCTGCTCCCCCTACACCACCCTGTCTACAACCCCCCCACCTCAGCACCAATCATTTTCACAACTTATTTTTTTCTTTCTGTCCCTCCCTCCTCTGCCTGGGCCTATGCTCAGCCAACCATTCCTTTAAGACAACGGGCGCGCCATTGTTCCCCCACCTGGGTGGACCAGATCTTCCCTCACACACACACACACACACACACACACACACACACACACACAGACGAACACACCCCACCCACCAGCCAGCCAAAAGATGCTTTTCCACCCGTAAACTAAAGGTTAAAAACAGTTCATCATGTACTGAAGTTGTTGTTTACTGTGACTCAGCTGACGTGAGACAGCTTTGAGACAAGCAGCAGATTATGATGGAGGCTGGAGAGCAAAATATGTCACAGAAGTCAGTGTAAAAAATGTCGTGTCTCTTTGGGGCCATGCTGCTAACTTTTCAGCTAATCCGATTAGCGCTGGGGGGTTGCTGGGGATTTGGCTCCCAAAGCCAACCTGGGACCGGTCTTATCTGTTCCTGTTGTGACTTTATGCTGCATGGACTAAAGCACAAGCACACATGACCCATGATCTATGGACCCTGACAACCAGAACTGCTGCCTGTGGTTGTGTGTGTGTGTGCATACATTTGTAGCTGTCTGCGGTCTGTGTCTGGATGATACAGAGCTAATTCATTCAAGAAAAAACACAGCAGAATATTTGGATATGTTGACAGGATCAGGCCTGGGACTGGACAACAAGACCTCAACTGACCGGCCTGTTGGAGGGATCAGGAAGAGAGACTTTCCCAATTCAACAACAAACACAATTACACTTCAAACTGCAGATTAACTTCTCAACGAGAGGTAGAGCTGTTCACAAATCATTCAGTCATTGTAGTAACAGTATAACTGCGATTCAATAAACCATACTGGAGATGACAGCCATGACATGGTTAGCGCTGATGTTTTTTCTTTCTTCTTTCTTTCTAACATTTGGTGGGCTACTGGGGGGCAGCCCTACAACATAACGTTACAAACGTTAAATATGTTTTTGGCGCTGTATGAAAGAGAAAGACCTACTATTTTTGGCCCTGAAGCTAACGTTAGCCATTGTGCTACTGAAACATGGGCTCCAGTTTTTCTGCGACTAAGGGACAAACGAAATCTTGCTGACTAATGACCTTTCTGGTCGACTAACACCAGAATTCCACTGGATGCGTGTCCGTTGCGGAACGGCTGCGCTGGTTATCCGCTGCGTGCTCCGCCGTCCATCAACACCCACCGGCTGCGTTTGCTGTGCAGAGCGGTGCAGCTCCACCGGACAGCGGAAGTCACGAGGACCCACGAGGTCTCGCGAATTCACGCATAATCGTGTGATATAACAAGATGTAGTTTCTATAAACAGAACCATAAAACCAGAGTAGTAGGAAGACATCTTGGTGCACCTCCACGATTAACATCTCCTTGTCCGTGGTGTCAACGGGGTGAAATGACGTCTGGAAACCTCTGACCTGTTGACTTCAGGCCTGCCTCCGCCCATTATGACATTTTCAAGGTGTAGTGCAGGGAAATATGATCCGCCGTGAACACTGTGTATTTTATTTTGAAATTTAACCGGATGTTTTATTTTGTTTCTGTGCACGACTTCCTGCCCCCCACGATCTGCTCTGTGCTGAATTGCTGCGTTGTGCTCCGGTGTCCTGCAAAAATAGAAGTCCTGCATATCTGTTGCGGAGGGCTCCGGAGCGCGGCAGTCGTGACAGAGCCAAAACACAGCACAGCCGCAGCCGGTGGAAACACACACATTGGCTAGAACTGAAATGGATTGGCTCCACTGCCATTCCAGAGCGCAGACGCAACCCACACACATCTGGTGGAATTTGGGGGTAATGTTTGGTCAACTATTAGGGGGCAGCCCTAGTTTCAGTTCTTATTAATTTTAGCCATGCTAGCGGTGCAGTCGGAGCGGTCACTCCACCACCACTGACATTTCTACCACAACAATGGAATGCCAAGAAATTTGGTTCACATGTTTACGTCTCCCTTTAGGATGGTTGTATTAACTTTGGTGAACTTTTCATTGTGATCAGGCTGCTCGTCTAATGGCTGCTGATGTTTTTTGTTTTTTTTAAACTTCTCTTTTTATTGAGTTATGAGTACAGACAGATAACTTAATCATACTCATAGGACGTAATAGCCCTGTGTTTCCAGGCCTTCTGTAGGACACAGTTACAACAGATCGTGACATAAAAGTGAGTTACAGTATATAATACAGAAGCCAAAATGGACCAATA